GACTTCTCCACCTCTTAAGATTTTCTTTCTAAAATTTAGAGGATGCGATATATAACTTATATATAGTATCTCCTAAAATTTAGAAAGAAAATCCTAAAAGGTGGAAAAGTAATAGTAAAGTGTTATATATAAAAAATTACTAACTTTTTATTTTTTTTTTTTAACTTTTCTAACTCTTAGGATTTTTTTTCTAAAAGCTAGGGGACACTTTATATAACTAATATAAAGCGTCCTCTAAGATATAGAAAAAAAAACTTAAAAGGTAGAAAAGTTAAAAAAAAAAAATAAAAAGTAAAAAAAGTTAAAAGAATAAGTCATTCTATATATAGCTATAAGCTATATAAGAATTACTTACGCACTTTAACCTTATATCTTTTTCTATAAAGAAAGTGCTAAAAGTATATATATTTATATTTTATACTATCTTTTTATAGTCTACACACGTCTAATCTTATAGTAGGAGTATAATTTATAGTAGAATAATCTTCTATATATCTTACGAGTTAAGCCTTATAGAAACTTATACTAGAGGCCCTTAGATAGTAAATAAGACAAAATCTAGGGGAAGGAGTTTAATTAGTAGATAGGGTGGGGTAGGGTGGAGCTCAGCCACAGGGCCCTTATCTTATTTGCCGTCTGAGCCGCAAGCTGAGATAAGATGCTGTGAATGCTTGCTTATACCCACACGTGATATCTTCGGACCTCTAAGATGATCAAATGCCAGCGAATCTCCGTCGTTTCTACATCATTCTTGATGCGATTGAAACTGGGATGCTGTCCCACGCAAAGCATAGGGAGCTTCTTGCTTACTCTCCGCCGGCCAATTATATACCGACGTCCTGCTCTCAGCTGGGTCTGCCTCATCGACAGCAGCCGCATTCGTGCTCTGAATGCAAAGATGACGAGCACCACTTCATCACCGCCGCCCATAACTCACATTCTCGAAACATGTCTCTATGTCCGCTCTATAACCAAGTCGGTAGATTTCTACAAGAGCGTCCTTGGTCTAGACCCGTTCTTGGAAACGGTGAGCCTGCTGTCCCTCACTCCGAGCAACTGTAGCATGCCTCTCTTGTCATCTTTATCAGCCTCACCCTTTCGCTTGTCTTATTTGTCAAATAGCCACGCATCTCCGGCTTCGCTCTCGGCTCTACAACACTTTTGCTCTTCCAGCTTGGCCTCACGGCTGAGGACGTGACACTACCTTCCGGTGGCTGCATTCCCGGCCACGGACCGTCACAAAGCATTGTCGGCATGCTGTATACGGAGTCCGAGCCAAAGCAGTATTTGAAGCAGCACTTCTGTCTCGCAGTCAAGGACAGAGAGGATGTGGCTAAATGGGAAGAGGCGCTGAAAGAGAGAGGTGTACAGATCACAGGGACCGTGGACTGGGAGAAAGGCGGAAGGAGCGTATACTTCGCCGACCCAGATGGGCATGTTGGGGAGATTGGAAGTCGGGGGATTTGGAATCACTATTGAGTGCTGTTCAATGCCATCTTGTTTAGGTGTACACAGAAGTCTAGCTTGGATTCGGACTGAGCCTCGATAGTATCTCGTTTTATGTACAGCTTCTTGCCGTGGAATCTCTCCCTCACCCGCTCGCGCTTGCCTGTTGGGTCTCCCCTTGCTCATGATTTTCAATCTTCGGGCCCGGTGTGTCCCCGCTCGCTTTCATCGTGTTCGCCTCGCCCCATTGTACCTACCGTGCGACCATTACGCCGGTCTTGCTACCATGGTACGTTGATGAATCGGACCGGCGTTCCACGACGTAGCCCTCCAGTTATTTGATATCTTTGCGACCATCCTCGAGTGCGTGTTGTGGATTGAGAGACGACGGTCTCCATGTTACTACACTGCGAGAGCTTCCGACAAAGGTGGGCCATGTACCGCAGCAGACCTTGGTTATTGATTCGAGGCCATCGTTTCTGCAGTGGCCAGCTTCAAGCTCATAAACACGTTCATTTCCGGCAAACTTTTGTTTTTCTCAATCGGCATCGCCGTGCCATCCGTTGTGTCCTCGGGCTTGCGCCCTCAGGCTCTGGGCTATCTGCCTGGCTTCGCTCGCGGTCAATTTGGTGCCGACATGGGCCGCGTTCGGTTGCAGGACGGTTGCCGCTCAGGTCGAGTTGCTGGTATACAGCAGGCCGCTGTCGTTGTCATGGAGGAGGTACAAAGCAGTCTTTCTCCATGTGCGATAAATAGCACGTTGGGTTTATGGGCAGAAGGAGCGGAAGCACTAGAGTATCACGTGACGCTTCACGCCCTGACTCCGACAGTCTCGGTTTCCACCGCCATCATTCCCAACTCCCCAACTTCACCGATAACCCTCGGCTTAATGCTGAGTTGCTGTCTCACTCTAAACAAGATTATGCAATGTCGAGATCGAGTCGGCCAACCACCGCACTCGCACCGGCGAGTTTGTCTTCGGCCTTCGCTGGTGCTTCCATCGATAGAAAGCCTGGATCTCCTTGCAAAACGTCGCTCTGGCTAAAGCAGACTACCATAGGCTCGAGGCAGTCTACAGCAATGTATGAGAGCCGATATACAGTTCTCGGCATGACGGTTGTCCACCCTCCTCGCAGTATAATGGATGAACGCCGACCACGAACGCGTCTCCAGCCGGTACACAGCTCCTCGGAACCCCTCCAGGCGACCCACTCTCACCGCAACCCATTGAAGCTGTATAACGCTGGCAACGATAGCTACAGCAAGGCCCGCCAATGACTACGCCACACATTTACCAGTAGGGCGGGCAGTAGAGAGGTTGAACACAACGTGGCGGCCTTCAGGGCAAAGGGAGCGAGGCGGATCTCATGGGCAGGATCGGAGGCCTTGAGGTCTAGGTAGGGAGTAGGGGCCATGATGGGCAGGCCTTCTCGGTTAGAGATCAACCACATCCAAGCGTCGCAGTACGTGGTGCGAGAGAGTCTCTAGCTTCTTTCCTATGATTAGGTTGACACATGGGTCTGCTAGTAGTGGTAGTCTAAGAAGCATGCAATTTTCACTCGAATTCATAATTTCCGCATCTCGAAACCCGTCTGTCGTCAGTCCGTTGCACCATCCCCGTTCAGCCCTCCTTGAACAGTTTCACATTTCACTATCGTCACCAGCAACGGTCGATTCCTACTCTTGGCCTGGCCTTCGAGTCCATCCCGGTCCCTCGTGCTCTTTCAGCTTCTGATAGTCTCATCCAGCAGCTGCAAGAAACATCACAAAACGCTGTCTTCATCTACGAATCACAAGCTGTAGTGCCGCAGAGCCACTACGTATTCGTGCACCCTTCCTTCCAGTCAACTTCACCATCCGCATCGCACTAAGACGCAAACTAGATTCGTAAGGATCTATCAATGCATGCTCATCCTCTTTTCGTCCAACCTCCCTTCATCCAGTGCATCTGCCTGTTCGCATCACAGGTCTACGCCAGCTTTGGACGTCCAACCCCAGCGCAATTTGTAGGCCTCTTCCAGAACCGTCTGTTGGTCAGTTCTGATTAGAACGTTTTACAAAAGTACAAGTACTTGAAGGCAGGTTGCTGACATGGAGCAGTGAGGTTCACGCTGCAACGACGCCATGACTATCGAGAGCTCTACACAAGCCGATCTCCAGGACGGTGCAGGGGTCGATCTCCGTAACGGCGACGTGGGCAGCGACAAGAAGGGTGAAGAAGAAACTTCCGAGACACGCGACATCAGGCAAGCAACCGGCACGAGACGCGGTGTCAGCAATGCTCCGGCGACTCCCCCTACACAGGCGGCTAAACGCCATTGGAATGGTGTAGACCAGGCTGCGGACGTCAAGCATCCTTTCGAAGGCGCACTTGGCCGGGACATCCGGTTAGCCGGGGAAGCTGGTCTCCTAAATGACTTCGAGACTTGGGTGGGAACGCCCGGTCACGCCAGGGACAGGACTAGAGAGGGTACCCGGTCACTTCTCGAGTGCATCTACTACCGTAATCACGTCTTAAACGACAGCGACTTGGATAAGCGGCTCAACCACCTCGAGGATGGAACCCAAGCTGCTAAGGACGCAAGACGCATCTACGTCAACGCGAGCACCTCTATTCAACGCAAGATCTCGACGCTCCACGTCCTGCCCGAGGCCCAACGCATGGTCCAACGATACAATGACGAGGGAGAGGACCTCGTTACCGCTACGGGTCAGCGCCTCAAGGAAGTGATCATCGACCAATGGGCCATCGACCCCGAGCAGGCCGCAAAGCGAATGTGGCAGCCACTGTGTGGCACCATCGACTTCGCCGCTATGTTCCACCCACCAGCCGGCGCCCCGCAGGAAAGGCTCGATCTGATGCAGCAGTGGCGGACTTACAACTTCAACGTGTACTTGTGCGCGATGCACACAGCCGTCAAGCTGCGGATCAAAGGCGAAGAAGACGGGGCAGAGGTCAACGGTCTTAGGCGCGCATGGGCGAAGGAGTGGCGTGAGATGATCTACGCGAAGGACTTCTCGGGGATTCCTCCGGTTTCTGATGTCCCAATTGGGGCTGGAAAGGGCTATGGGAAACGTCGGAAGGGTGTGGTGCCAGCTGGACCCTCAAGCATGGGCTCCGTATACCACCTGGAGAGGATGACCTTGCGCTCCACATGTCACGGTAATTACCGATACTAACGCGAGGACATTTCTTCTGCTGGAGGACACACAGTTTCCTCACACGTGCCATTTCGTACATATCGTTGCGGGATTTCCCTGTAAATTTCTTGAAGAAAACCTCAACAACCTTCTCGGACTTTTCTGAAGCAACTGTGGGATGTCATCACGCGAGATTCGAGGCTGAAGGAAGCTACATCTGGTTCTTATTCAGGCAATAGATATTCAAGCGGAGGGGACACACTTCTGATCCATGTCTCAAGCATGAACGCACTCATTCAATTTATATGTGGAGAATCTCTGAAACACCTTAAGCATGGATATTTCTCTTGGTCAAAGCAGATCCGCAAGTTGCTCTTAGTGTGACGATACCATAGTGGTACTCCCTGGCAATTTCTCACGGCTGCGGGGAACGTCAAAACGGCGGGGTATCCGAAGGAAGGGCTGGTGAAGAGGCCGCAAGTGAAGACTGAGTGAAAGACTGATCACGCGTTGGTCATCAAACAACAGACAACCACACAAGCAAAACCGCAGCTCCTCTCGTCTGTCCCATCCTCAGCCACTCGACATCTTCCTTTTCCTCGGCCAACGCCAACACACCCACACAGCAAGATGGCGACGCCCAGGCGCGGTTGTGGAGACAGTCATGGGAGTGCTCGGTGGGACGCTCAAAGCGAAAGCTATATAAGGCGTCCTTGGGGCTCTAATATTGGCGCCAGTTCGTCCTTCAGCTCCTCCACGTCAATGCAGCATCAAACTACACCGATCAAGGCTGAGCCTCGATTGCAGGCGCGATGTCCCGTCCAGAAGAGCGAAGCAAGCTGATAGTACCGAGGTCGCGAACCAGCACTGACAGCGGACAGCGCCGGTACCGAGAGCGCTCCACCATCAGCCCAAGCCCAACAGGAAGGCAGCGTGGCTTCCTCCAGCTCGAGTCAAGCGGGCGCGTCATCGGCTCAAGATCCACACCAAGGCCGCCCGGCACCACACTTCTCCCGTGAAGCGACTCAGACGTCCACTCAGCTATCTCAACAATCTACTCCGAGTCAACCCGCCGCCGCTCGTCCACAAGGTGCCCCGGAAGTACCAACCAGAAACAATATCCAGACTCTTCGTACAAGAGACCCACGATCAACGCCACACAAACAGGACTTGATCTTACAGATCGCAGCATCCGTGCAAAAGCTGGTAGAACAGGTGGTGGCAATTGGTGAAGAACAGAGAGCCGAAGTTGCACATCGCCGGCAGATAGTTCAGGCACTGCGAGATCTTGAGGGACAGAGATTCATAGACGAGAAGCTTTGTGGCATTGCAAAACAAGCTCTGGAGAAGAGGACCGAGGACGCTGAGAGGAAGGCTGAAGACGCTGAGAGGAAAGCCAGATCGCCGAGAAGAAGGTTTAGGACGCCAACAGGAAGACCCGAATCGCCGACAAGAAGGCTGCAGACGCTGAGAAGCGGGCTAAACAAGCCGTCAAAGACAGAGATACGATGGAGGAGCAGCTTACCGCGCTGCGGGAGAAGCATCGGATGGTGGAGAATGTTCTCCATGAGCAACGGGACTACGACGTGCTTCGTCAGCGTCTAGCGGAGTCCGAGAACTGTCTCGCGGAGTGCGAGCAGCGAACAACGTTTCGCAAATTCCGAAAAGCGTCACGTCGATACCAGAGCCTGGGCAGAGGAGCGAGAGCAGGTGCTCGAGGCGCGTGGACAAGTGGCCGAAGCAGAGGGACTTAAGGCACAGTATAAGAGTATCGCCCAGTCCGAGCGCTATCACAGCCTATCCATCCAACTCCGCGATGTTCTTTTTGAGAAGAAGTGTCTAGGTATTGAACAAAACAGCGCTGCGGTTACGCAGTCGAGGCTTGACCAAGACCTCGCCACGGCTCGAGCGGAGATCAAGCGCCGCAAGGGGAAGGCGGAGAAAACCGAGGTCGTCCAGCAGGTGGGTCTGCATCGATGAAGAGACGTCTCTTTCAGTGGAGCGGGAGCCAGCTGATGGTTTGGGGAATCGTACGACAGAGAGTGCACACAGCTGGCTTGGAGACGTGTATGATACAGAGATATGGGTAGCAGCCACTTTATCAGTCCGTTTCGTATCTCACTGCATCTGACAGCTGCTGAATAAACAAGGTCCGTTTCGTGAAGTACCCCCGTCCGTTCGCTGCTCCAGTGACCAAACTTCCCAGTCAGATCCAGAATACAGATCATCCACACCATGCACATAGCAATTGCCTAACAACTCTGCCAGTCTCTCTGCGGATTCTTCTTGCCTGAGTATAAGCGGTGTGTAACCTCCCTTGACATGTACAAGCACATTTCTCTCCCTCGCGAGCGGTGGAGCTAGCGCTACTAAGCCGGTCGACGTGCTTTGGTTGAAATCTGTGGCCGGAATCTAGCAGAAGAAATGCGGCCACGCCTTTTTTTGATAACCTTTGGACCACAAGGCTTCTCAATATGTATAACATTTTGGTACTTACGGAGGTAGACTCAATACATCTTCAATCAACAGTAAGTCCAGATATAGACCATATGACTTGGTTGTTGGTGTTTGTTGATGGCATCGGAAGGTGACTAAGCAGCCGCCGCTTCCTCAATAAATACCCCTTCCTTCATACCAGGCGGGTGGGAAGAGTCCAATAACAGCCCTGCAGCATTTGTAGAAAGGCACCTTAGATTTCTTACCTAAGATATTAAGTACCGGACTCGAAGAAGGTCATGTTCGCGGTCTATCAATACCAGCCACTGCGAGATAAGCGCTCCATCCGCCTGCTCAAGCTCAAGCCATCCGGAGGGTCCGAGCTGATATGCGAGCTCCTTGAAGTCTCTATCACGAACCCGCCTAAGTATGAGGCTCTTTCGTACGCTTGGGGCAGCGGCCAGGCCACATCATTGATACAATGCGGTGGAAAGCCCTTGTCCATCAGCGCCAATTGCGCAGCTGCACTCCACCGTCTCCGCCAGCGGTTCAGCTCCCGCCTGCTCTGGATTGATCAAATCTGTATCAACCAGCCGGACGCTGTAGAGAAAAGCCACCAACTAGTGCTGATGGGCGATATCTATTCCAAGGCGCAATCGGTAGTGATATGGCTTGGGGAGGGAACGGAAGAGAGTGACCGTGCGCTGCAATACGTTCGCGAGCTCGAAGCGCTGACTCCGCCACCTCAGACATATCTGAGAGCGCGGGAGAAGGGTACTGCTTACCAGCAGGGATATCTGTTCGGCCGTGAGCGAGGTCTACGTGCGAAACTCGAAGCCTTCCACGGTATGTGTGTTACAAGGTGCAGTTGAACGGTGATAACGAAGCTCACAAGCGTAAGATGGCAGAGCACTGGAACTTCTGCACGTATTCACTCGGTCCTGGTGGAATAGGACATGGACGTTGCAAGAGATCGCGCTTGCGCGGCAGGCCACTATACTCTGCGGCAAAGAGACCATCGATTGGGGCGCTCTCTGTCACGTCATGGCCGTGATGGCTGGGATCAGATATCACCAAACTCAAAGCTTCTTGGATAGCATAGCCGTTGGCAGACTTGCCTTGTGTAAGAACTTGAAGAACCTTGTCAACGGGCTCATCAAGACTGTTCCGGCATGGGGCGACGAAAACCCACAGCCCATCCTGACCTACATACTCCGCTCGGTCCGCATGAAAGAAGTCACAAAGCATGAAGACAAGATATATGCGCTCTATGGCCTCATTCAAGCCTTGAAAATGAATAATTTCCCTCCTCCGGCCGTCGGAAACCCCGTTGAACAGATATACTCTGAAGCGACCAGGTTTGCAATTTCCCACGACCAATCCCTGGCAATCTTGTACCAAGTCGAAGGCAGCTCCGGCAACTACGCATTGCCCTCATGGGTACCCGACTTGAGTCATCACCGTAGTCTGCCCTCTCCGCTTTGGCATCAGCACTTCCATGCTGCAAAGTCCTCGAAACCAAGATTCTCCTTCCCGACGATGACGCAGTTGTGCGTGCAAGGAAAGCGCACAGACATGGTCGTTGCAATTGGGCTTTCTACCAGCTCTGTGAACCAACCAAACGACGGTGCTGGGGGCCTTGAATATATTATCCGGGCGTTCCAGCAGTGGACCCATTTGGCGATGGCGCTTGAACCTTACCCAAACGGTGAGATAGCTCTACAAGCTTTCGCTAAAACAATCGTTCAGAATGCCGCTTGTGGTCCTATGAGGGAGGAGCTCAATCCGAGAGTGGCCAGTGCCAAAGACCCGGTTCCGAATAGAGATGCGACTGCGCGTTCGCAAGCTCTGCCAGCCCGACTACTTGATTACTTCGCGATCTGGCATCCGATCATCATGGCGGACGATCAGTTCATAGGACAGGGCATTGAGAGCGTAGAAGCAACGCTCGACGTGGATACCATGCCTCCACACTTCCGCCGCAATTACTTTGAGCAAGAAAAGTTCCGCGCAATCTCCCATACTCCGGCGTGGAAGATGATCGCAGCGGCAAATCTGAAGGCGGAGCGGTTCCACTTCATGGCGTACCTGAACTCGGTGAACAGAGTCTTCTTCACAACGGCTGCCGGTTACATGGGATTGGGACCAAAGATGATGCAGACGGGTGATTTTGTGGCTTTAATCTCCGGCATGGCGTTACCTGTGGCGGTGAGAGTGGAGAACAGCTTCTACCGACTTCTTGGTCCGGTGTACCTACACGGTGTCATGGACGGGGAGCTATGGTCTGAGGACGAGGCTGACTTCGAGGACATATTGATCGTCTGAAGATTGAGACATGATGTACAAGCAAGCATGATGAAGCAACATATCGTGTGAGATTAACGTGAGACCCATTGAAAGAGTGCTGAAGGAAGACATCCGCCACAGTCTACGCAAGTCCAGGATTTTACGGATTCTTAGAGAAGGCTGAGGGTTGCTTGCTAGACATGGGCTTACCAGCACTCTATCAGCCATCATTCGGCTTCCTCTTCTTCAGACTCTGTGGGTCTGATTTTTCGGTGTCTCTGTTCTTTTTAGCGCCAGGAGCGCTTCCAACTCCTTCAACTCGCTCCGATTGGGTTGGCAACACTTCTGGCACCGTCTTCTCCAATGCCCGAACTTTCTCTTGCAGTGACTTGATCTGCTCCTTCATCGACTTGATCTGCTCCTCCATCGACTTGTTTTGCGCCTCTAGCGACTTGTTGTCAGAAGATATCCGCTTGACTTCTTCATCCTTCGCGGCAGCCTGCTTATCCCTCAGTATCGGCCACATTCGCATAGAGGATAGTCGTCTTACCCTCTGTTTCTGCGCCTCGATCTTCCCAGCCAGGAACTGGCATTGCTCTAACAGCCTGTCGGCATGCGAGAGCCAAGTGCCGGCCTCTTCTTCACCCCAGCCGGCCTCGTCAGTAGGGCGAGGGTAGTACTTCACATCTGCCCCAATTTCTTGCAAACGTGACGCGCTCAGAGGGGGATTGCGAGTAGTGCGATAGGGTGAACTTGTCATGTTTGCCTGGTAGTCTTTGGACGTAGGTCATAAAATAACTCTGAGGTGTTCTTTTGCTGCGGTGCGCGATGCGCGAAGCGTGATGGGTGACGCGTGACGTTGAAGTAGTAGAGAACCTTGGCAAGTGCCCAAAGGGTACGGATAGGGTATCACAATCATCACAAAGACATATTCTAACGCCTCGCCGTCAAGCTCTCAACCAACGCCTTCAAGTGATGCATCTCCCGTCTCATCTCCTCGACATCTGCACGCAATCGACTACAGCACTCCTTCCCACAATCACAATCTTCCGCAGCCATCCCCTTTCCCTTCTGCGCTGCATCGTTCCCATGCCTAGTCACCACGCTACCATCCTCCTCATCCTCCCAAGCTTCCTCCGTCTCAACCTCCAGTTTCACCTTCGCCTTTCCGGCGCCACTCTTCCTCCTCGGCTTCTCGGCGTAGATCTTTGACAGCGCCAACGAGCTCTTCAGCGAGCTATGCCTTGGGAAGTATCTGTTCACTGTCACCGGGCCCTGTGGACTTAACGCTCTGCCTGGCAGGAGCTTAACATTCTCCTCTGTGCAGCTGTGAGGACTCTGCACGCGTCGGTGGTCGTCATGCGTAACCCCCTTACCTTGGCGTAGATAATCTTTGGGGAAATCAAGCGATTCGGTAGTACAGGGGCTCCCTGTCGAAGCCGAAGGAGCTACAAACATCTCACCCGAACGGTACGGCCGCGCTGTTGATGCAGACGCGGTTATCATGTCTTCGGATGATGAGAAATGCGAACGGTCAGGGTTACCAAGCGGGTGGTCGAGTGTTGAGGGTGGATTCGTCTTTAAAGGTCGGTTCCGCCGACCCCCCGGAGAACGTCTCCGTGTCTCTAAACCCAATGGCTTGGAGGGGCGGCGGGTGGGTCGCCGGACTGAGGACTCGTCTTCCGAAGAGGTTAGCCAGATATCGTCTGCATCCGGCGAGGCAAGCCTTGAGGCCTTGGCGGCACGGACGTGGTCTAGTGGAAGTGCGCCTGACATCTCGTACTTCGTGTTCTGGGGACGTGCAGCCTCAGCTCGTGGTTTTGTAGGTCGCCTAAGCTTCTCCATGTACGGCGCTAGTAAAGCTGTTGAACCGGTCCTGGCTCCGCCGGCACCACTGATACCATTTGCTGCAATACGACTGAGTTCAGCCAGTAACGTAGAGTTGCCACTTAACATGCTGCGGCTAGATTCAGATCGGGAGGTAGAGGTAGCACTGGTGCTCATAATTGAGGTTGAGGGAAAGGAGCCGGGCATGTTACGTCGGTAAGAGACACGGCGTGCCTTGCGGCTACGTGGACTTGAGTGGACGGCAGATGGTATCTGTCTTGGTTGCTTTGCAGGTGACGGCCTGAAAGCGGGCTCAACGAGCCCAGGTCTTGGGATGGTAAGTCTAGGTGTCATTGCTGCGGCTAGTGAGCCACGCGGAGAGCGCGCTGCAGCACCTGGCTCGGGATCTTCGTTGGCAGCCAAACGGGGCACGGCGTTGGCTGGTGACGAAGGCGAAGAAGCGGCGTTGTCTATGAACGTCGAGCTCAAAATCCGTGGACGGGGCCTTGTGCGAGTTGGACGGCGTTGCGGGGATCTTTGGGGCGCGGACTTCTCTGGTGAGTGTTTAACAGGTGAGAAGAAGTCCATGTAGTTCGCGGTGGTCACTACCGGAAGATCGCGGTGGAGAGGTCCCTCAATGATAACGTGATTAACCGTGCCAGAGTCTGGGTTGTTCGATGATGATTCGCTGTCCATGGTATTGCTCGTTGAGGTCCGTCGGCCTTCTTCGCGCTTTTGCTGGCCATGAAACCGGCGATCCCAGACAGGTTTTTGAACAAGCGGAGATCTCGAGCCTGTTACTGGTTGCTCGCCCTTCGTGCTGGTCATGGCATTCTTCGTCGGTCCGCTTGAGGATGGGTTATCAACGAAGGTGTCAGGAGCGAATTTGTCTCTCTCAGACTTGGATACAGCCTTCAAAGTTGGTCCCTTGATCCATTCCAGGTTGATGACACAGCTGGACTCAGCGTGAAGAGTTTGCTCAGCAAGCAGTAAACCCACAGAATCGAAGAGCATAACCCTGGCATCCATCCTCCCAATCGCGATGATATTGCTCCCATCACCATCACCGGCAGTACTGTCCGACGTCCTTGTTGTTTGCCGCATCTTCCTTTCCGCTTCGTGCTCTTTCCTGCTTTCGGCAGAAACCGGCAGCTGTAGAACCGACAAGCTTGTCGCAGGTCCCCGGACATGCCAGGTCCTCAGGATCTTCCCGCCGCAGTCGAAGTCAACGAGCCGACATTTTCCATCTCCACCCACACTGACAGCTCTCGTTCTGTGGCCGGGCAAGAAGGCTGCGCCGGTGATTCCGACACTCCTGCTGCGCGTACGTGCGGGATCTGTACCGTCAGCCTCCTCCTGTTCTTGAAGATCCGATGCGCTCAGAGCCGTGGCGTGCGGCGCTGTGACATGATGCAGCCTGCTGAGGTGACCAATCTCTCCCGCGCGGCTTGTTCTGCTCGCCTCAACTTTTTGTGGCGCCCTGGTTCCATCTCGTAGGATGCGCGTCGCGTCGTACGCTGCCAGTACCCCATCCGCGAAAGCTAGAAGGAACACGCTCGGTCGTTCAGGGTGGAACGCGGCCACCACAACAGCACTATCGGACGCACGAGGTTGGAGCAGTAATGGCGGGGTACGTAGAGTAAGGTTTTGGAGGTATATCGTTGGTGGACTTTCGGAAGCTGTAAGTAGGAGATGCGTGGTTTTTGATGTTGCTAAGACAGTCGGCGGTGAAGGATGCGTGTGGGCGGGGTCTAGAAGGCGGGACTGATGGAGGGAGTAGGACTGCACGGCATTCTGCAGCGTGGTGGTGAAGAATAGACACTTCGAATCATTGGCGTATTCGAGCAGGCGGATCTGGCCCTGCGGTTACGATGAGCACATGAAGCTTCCCCATATGTTGCATCTCTTGTACTTGCATCCGTGCTCTTCAATCGGTAGCTCCTCTCCTTTCCCCGGTTGATGTCATGAAGCAGCACGACCTGGCTGTCGGCAATCGCCAGCAGCCCGCTGCCATCTTTGGCTTCTTTCGCTGCGAGGATGCCTCCGGATGGTGAGCCAAAGATGCTCCTCAGGCCTTGTGCGTCCCATGCAAGCACGTGCTCGTTTGTGGTGACGATCAAGTGGTGGCTGCTTGGGAAAGAGAAGACTCGCGGTGCTTTGACTGGAGACGGCCGGTCGTGCTGTGCTGCATGCTTTGAAGGCATTAGATATACTCGTCAAGGAGACTGCATTGTACGTTTGCTTTCTGAGGATGCGATGCGGCAATTCAAGTTGAATGTAGAGGCGTGTTACTGTACTCTCTTGATATTGTTGTGGCCGTTGCTAGGTAAGGCGCGAGAACGCGCTGTCACGTGGCCGTCAATGAAGACCAACGGCATAGCCTTATCTCAGTTAGCGACTCAGACTTTTATAGGGGTAGCCTTGGCATTAGCACACGAGCCTATAGCGGTGCATAGAGTCACTCCTGCCGTCTAAGAGCAACTAGTGTAGATTTATATAAGAGACGACTTAATTTATATAACTTTTCTATCTCTTAAGATTTTCTTTCTAAAAGTTAGGGGATGCGATATATAACTTATATATAGTATCTCCTAAAATTTAGAAAGAAAATCCTAAAAGGTGGAAAAGTAATAGTAAAGTGTTATATATAAAAAATTATTAACTTTTTATTTTTCTTCTTAACTTTTCTAACTCTTAGGATTTTTTTTTCTAAAAGCTAGGGGACGCTTTATATAACTAATATAAAGCGTCCTCTAAGATATAAAAAAAAAAAACTTAAAAGGTAGAAAAGTTAAAAAAAAAAATAAAAAGTGAAAAAAGTTAAAAGAATAAGTTATTCTATATATAGCTATAAGCTATATAAGAATCGCTTACGCACTTTAACCTTATATTTTTTTCTTTAAAGAAAGTGCTAAAAGTATATATATTTATATTTTATACTATCTTTTTATAGTCTACATACATCTAATCTTATAGTGGGAGTGTAATTTATAGTAAAATAATCTTCCACGCGTTTTATAAGTTAAGCCTTATAGTAACTCGCACTAGAGGCCCTTAGACGGCAAATAAGATAAAACCTAGGGGGAGGGGTTTAATTAGTGGATGGGGTGGAGTAGGGTGGAGCTCAGCCATAGGGCCCTTGTCTTATTTGCCGTCTGAGCCGCAAGCTGAGATAAGTATAGCCACACAACTCTCGCTTCCTCATGAGAGACCACAGGTCGCCAGGGCTTTTCGCAAACGCACCGCTGCCTCTGCTACCTTGCGCTGCAAGTCAAATGAGCAGGACCTCGGCATCCCCAGTAGTTAAGGGGACAGCAACTTGTTATCAGCAGCTGCAGCCCCTGACCTCCTCGCAAGGATCATCCGCAGAAGTACATCTCCCCAACTCCACCGATCTCGTATGCAGGAACCAGGAGAAAAGCATGCGGAGCATGATTGGCCAATTTCTTTCTTTTTTGAGGGAGCTCCATGTCAAGCGCGCTTAGCGATCTATACCTGGAGCATCCCAGCTCGATGGCGTCCATCACAGTACCTGGCGGCACGAGCTGCATATGGCCATAGCGTCTCATATCAAGGATGAACATGTTCGGAAGCGGCTCAGCCAGCCTGGATCAAGGACCCCAAGCTGCCATGAAATGGACCGCTGACGGAGGTAACCAGGACGTTGATGCTTACCTTCGTTGCTGTTCTCCTCCTGACGGCTAGCCTCTGTCATCAAAATAATGTCGCCAAGTACATCACACAGGACGATGTACTATCTACCCGATACTGCGTCCTGTAAGTGGTCTGCTCAGGGAAGCGCCATGAGGCTAGCAAGGCTAATAGCAAGGCTGCTTCAGGCACCATGGGCGACCAAGAGCATACATTCAGTCCAAAAATAGCTTGTAGGTTTATCATGGCTTGAAACTGCCCAGAAACGCAAGTCGCCTCTACTTTACGAGCTGTCATTCCTGATTCCTTTGACAACCCATCTTTTCTCCTTGACCCCATACTCACTCTACCACCTATACCCAACATAAACCATGACGATGTTCTCAGCCCCCCTTACGAAAGTTCTGGTCATCCTAATCGCTATCGCTCCTTTGGCTCTATCTCAGGATGCTCCACAAACCTTATCGAATCTCGACGCTTTCAATGACCAGCGGTCCTGTGTAAAAGGCTGCTTCTACTACATGAATATCGATTCCGATAGGGTCGGATATGAGCTGAGCTGTGGCAAGCCCGCGCTCAACTCGTGTTATTGTCGATCCGATCTACAGTCCGTCGCTTCGGCCTTCCTGTCGAAATGCGTTTCCAGTGCATGTAGCGGCAACCGCAATGACATGACAAAAGCGGTAGACCTCTACGGGGGTTATTGCACCAACGCCGGCTTCCTCGCAGGGGTACCAGCAGCTACTCCGGCCCAAACGAGCATAGATTCGCCGGCGATGGCAACCAGAACTGTCGTGGCGACCTCACCAACTGCTACTTCAGCAGCAGCGTCCGGTGAGTGCCGCGTCCATCTTGCATCCGTCACGATAAACTTCGTCATAAACACATGTAAACCTTTAACCGGCTGCGACGAACCGAAGCTGATGAATCACTTCTTCTACAGGCAGCGCTGATGGCTCTATCTTGCCTGTTAACGCAGTAACGAGCGCTCCAGGTATGCTCTCGCCCTCCCGATCCTCACAGCCGACTTTTTAACCACTGCCCAACAGCATCTTTCCTTACCGGCTTCGCAACCTCCGTATCGAGCTCGACAGGCCAGACGTCTTCTCCCTCTTCAGGGGATGCTGGAACCGCAGACAAGGGCGACGGATTCGGCACCACAGACATTGTCGCAGTCATCGTAGCTGTCTCGGGGATTCTTGTCACCATAGCCATCGGAATCTGGCAGATTAAGACCAAAGACAGCTGGAGTCGTAGGATGATTGGCAAGGTGGCATCTAATGTACACGGCACCGCCCATCCTCAGGCTTCTGGGGCCCTGCGGGATCATGCGACTCCGATGCAGAACCACCCACAGTATCCTCCAGCGGGGAAAGGCAATTGGGTCAGCAATGTCGCAGTTCGAGAGCCTGAAAGATGGTACTAGACGTGGAGTTTTGGATGCGTTTAGTTCAGTCTTAATGTTTCATTCTATACGATAATGATTGTTGTAGCAAATACTAGAGATTCTTCGTTTAACCAGAAAAGGAATGGAGGAGCGATGACACGTGACTCCTGCCAATCACAGAACAAGAAACCCTAAGGACGGCACCATCCAGCGTGCTCCGGTGAATCAATGTGCAATACTTGTAAATGGTACGACACGACAAGCGTTGCAGATTGGACCCGCCACCCGGACCATGCGAAGATACATCTTGGCCATTCTGTTCAGTAGCCCCGCGGCCAGGGCGGGCTTCATGACGGCGAAGAACGCTCACCCCGCCGGTGCTCATCTCTAGTCGTCCGTGTTTGAAGCGCAGCTCTTGCTAGTAGGGAACCGTAGGTTGACAAAACCGGCCGTTCAGCCTAGCGAGTTGGACGAAGTTGATCCAATGCTGGAGACTCTTGCGGCGTTTAAGCTTCTTCTCCTTGTGCGGGTGTCTGCAGCTTCGCTTCCAGCAGGGTGAGGTCTTTGGCGATGGAGCTGCCGGGGCACGGAAGCCGGAAATATCAATGCGGAGACGAGCCGGTTCGCTGGACCCCGGGACCCTCATCGGGGGTGTTCTTCCGCCATGGCCACTCCACCTCAGGTGCCGGCCACCTCGCACCTCGCACCTTGCACCTCACACCTCGCACCTTGCAACCCTTCAATTGCACTTGGAAACCTCGAGACGCATAGCCTACGCGTATAAGACACTCGGAGTCGCTGATTCCTGCCCATCAAGGCTGCTCCAGCCTCTTTCCACAGCCCGCCGACACCATGCCCAAATTCTCAGAGATTGCATACTACCTGCTACACCCACAGGAACTCAGGTCCATCTTGCAATGGTACGCACACTACTCCACGATTGGATCGCGACTGCCTCTAACGCCGCGCACAGGAACATCTGGCACAGTCCCGTCCACGAGCGCTACGAGGAGAGAGAATGCCATTCACTGCGCATGTGCTTCGCTCTTCTCGACAAGACCTCCCGCTCCTTCTCGGCCGTCATCCAGGAACTCCATCCCGAACTCCTCGTCCCAATCTGTCTTTTCTACCTAGTCCTTCGCGGGCTAGACACCATCGAGGATGACATGACCTTACCCCTCTCCGAGAAGGAGCCGCTGCTTCGCAATTTCCACCAGGTGCTGGAGGAGGAGGGCTGGAGTTTCGACGGCAATGGTCCGGATGAGAAGGACAGGGAACTACTGGTCAAGTTCCATTATGTTGTCGAGGAGTTCAGGAAGATAAAGCCAGAGTATAGGGAGATCATCAAGGATATCACGAAGAAGATGGGCAACGGCATGGCGGACTATGCCAACAATGCAGAACACAACGTCAACGGTGTCAACACGATCGAGGACTACAACCTGTACTGCCACTACGTTGCCGGACTGGTAGGCGAGGGCCTCACGCGACTTTTCGTGGAGAGCAAGCTCGCGAACCCGTTGCTTCTGCAGCGGCCAGAGTTGAGCGAGAGTATGGGCCAGTTCTTGCAGCAGGTGAATATCATAAGAGATATCAAGGAGGATTTGGACGACAAACGGCGGTTCTGGCCGAAGGAAGTGTGGTCCAAGTACGTTGACAAGTTCGAGGACCTGTTCAAGCCGGAGAATGAGGAGAAGGCACTCAACTGCACTTCGGAAATGATATTGATGGCGCTGCAACGCGCCGAGGAGTGCCTCTTCTATCTCGCCGGCATCAAAGACCAGAGCGTGTTCAACTTTGCGGCGATACCGCAGTCAATGGCTATCGCGACGCTGGAGAAGTGCTTCAGGAATCCAGACATCTTCAAGAAGAACGTCAAGATCAGCAAGGGAAACGCGTGCCAGTTGATGATCGACTCGACGCAGAACCTGGAGCTCGTCTACGGAATTTTTCGGCGGCATGCCAGGCTGATACACAAGAAGAATGATCCGAGAGACCCAAATTTCATGAACATCAGCATAGCCTGCGGGAAGGTACATATGTCTTTATCCACAGTACGTTCTTAGGCACATTGAACTTGCTGACTGGCGCAGATCGAGCAATTCATCGAATCCATCTTCCCGTCGCAGAAGCCGCCAGAACGAGCCGCGATATCCGAGAAGCAGCTCAGCCCGGAGGAGGAAGCCAAGGCAAAGGCGGATGCCGAGGAGGCGAAGTGGGACGTCATCTACATGGGCGCCGCCGTGCTCTTCACACTGTTCTTCATCACGTTTTTCATGGTAAGTATGCCCTCAATCCCACCATTCCCTTCTCTTTAGCAAACTTTATGCATAAGTTTTAGTGCTGTCACGGGCACCGCTCACAGTTCTACAGATTGTGATAGCTTGGTTTGCGGGCGCAAGGTTCGATCTCGCTTTCTCTCAGCTCAAACCCAGCAATCTGTTCAAACGCACTCCTGCCGCCAATACGGAAAAGCAGATACATTACGATGAGTTATGATCCCCGATGTTTGTAGATGTAATGGCTATAACCAGAATCTGTACCTATCTGTTTCATTTACTGCTGCTGAGTGTACATAACCGCAAGCCGGTAGCCTTGATACCCGAGCTTAACAGAACGAATTACCACGAGCCGGGTACCTACAGGATGGGAGAAGCGAGGTCGGATATTACGATGCCGCGCGCCAACGGCTACTTGCATGCGGGTGACTACTTCCACTCTAGCACGGATGTCAAATTGCAATTCAAGCCTGTTTTCCGTGGCTGCGATTGTGCCGAAGATGTGCTGATATCGATGTTGCTTGTACTCGGTGACGAGGCTGCCTTAAGCTGCGTCGTATCCTTCTCGCGGCGCGGCTGAGGCGGTAGGGCATATATACTGTTTCATGGCTCTATGTTTCTATACGTCTTCGTTTCTTCTATAGTTTATGTAAATACGGACAATCGGTTTGGTTCCACGACCGACTAGCATAACGTTTACACACTTCCCTATATCAGACACTCAAATGGCACTACAATCCGACCTATAGTTTCGCCGCCTGCTGCGGCCGAACCGTGAATCCGAGCCTCGGAAAGTGCACTCGCACGTCAATAGGCGGCACACTCCCCAGCCGCTGCGGCTTGATCACGACCTCCTCCGGGGTCAGCGCGAGCAGCGTGCCATATGTTGGACTAGAGTCAATGTCAGCCAAAAAACTAAGAATGGCGAACGGTAAGGGAAGGTGAAACGCACTCAGCACGTCCGGTGTCATCCGGCGCGACCGCAACCTCAACACCAGGCAACAACCCGTTCCTCCCGTCCAGCTGGATGTGTGCTGGTGCGGGTGTGGGGACAAGCACGCCGTCGAGCGTATTGAGACTGGCTGCTTTTATAGCCGCGACTGCCTCCCCCGAATCCGTCGTCCGCTTCTCCATGGAAGGTAGCGCAGCAACGAAGTCCCGAAATCGGTCAAACCACGCGCACAGCGCCGGGTACCGTTCGCTATTGAACACAGCGGCCGTCCCCTCCGCGTTCGTATCCTGCGTCCCGCCGCCTGTGAGGCTGTTAATCCCCCTCCCCGCCGCGATATCCCTGCCCCAGTCCAGCTGGTAATACAGCGCGATATCCGCCGCGCTCGGTCTCTCCGTCGCGAACACCCAGCCCCGCTTCCCACCTTTCGCCTCCTTCGCGGCGCCACTGAAAAGCGGCTCCAGCATCGCAAGATGCATATCCAGGTTTACGAGATTCGCCGGGACCTTCTTCTCCAACTTCCCCGGATCAAGCGTATGCCCGATCAGCTCCGCCCTGTCGACGCCAAAGGCCGTGCGCCAGACACTACTCGGGATCAACCCCGTCGTGACGCGGAACAGCGGCCTGTCCGTCCAGTAACTCGCAAACCCGCGCATCAGCGGCCTGTAATCCCTCCCATCCTTCGCGAGCGGATACAGCGACGGATGCCCCGGGGTTGGGAAGGCGTGTTCCAGCGCCTCGAGGATCAGCGAGGTATCGCAGTAGAGGTCGCGGCCGAGGGCCAGCACGGGGATCTTGCGGTACAGGAGGTGGAAGGACTCGGAGAGGACGGGGCGGGGCATCATGCTGGGAACGAGGACGAAGGTGTAGGGGATCTGCTTGAGGCGGAGCGCGAGGCAGACTTTTTGGGTGAAGGGGGAGGAGTCGTAGCCGAAGAGGATGACGGGGGGTGGGGGGCTTGGGATTGGGATTGGAGGTGCCATTGTGAGCGTGAGAGTAGGAAATGCAGCTTGAGGATCGGATTGAAGGTAGGAAGCGCAGCCTGGAGGTTGAGATCAAGCTGAGGAAAACTTACAGACTTTGCTTACTTGGGGGAGCTGTGAGGAGCTGTTGTAGTGCAGTCAGGAACCGAGGCCTGACCAAAGGAAAGGGCCCCCACTTGGTGAGACTTGGCGCGGTGGAGTAAGTACGACAACGCAAGACAAACAAGCATTGCAAGTAGTCTTTTAGAATGAAGCATTGAAGATGTCCAATTGCGCTGGTATATAGCTTCTCGTCTAACTATTCTAGACATGACGATACGTGACTTCGTAAACGCAATGCGCTCCACTGATAGATGACAACAGATCTCACGCCCACAGCGTCTATACATGGAAACCGCTTGCGACATGCTTCCTCTCCTTCAGCTCGGCCTGGTGCTGCTTGCGCCATTCCTTCGCATACCTAACTCCAAAGCCATGCTCGAACACCGCCCGCGTCTGCTCCAGCGTCATCTGCGCGACTTCCGGATAGCAAAGGATGACCGCGATCCAACCGAAGAAGCAGATAGCCGCATAGAACCCAAATGCGCCGGAAGGGGTCATCCCTTTCATCATCTGCAGGAACGTGCTGCTGACGATCATGTTCGGGCCCCAGTTGGTGCACGTGATCATCATGGTGCCCAGTGCGCGCACCTCCATGGGCAGCAGCTCGTTCGCGGTCCAGGGAACATTGCCGAGGCCGGTGGCATAGGAGGCCACGAAGATGATGATGGCGACGAGGACGACGATGCCAGCCCAACCGGCGTCTTCAGTCTGTAGCTCCAACGTCTCGGTGTCGATGGGGATCCAGTGGAAGGCGACGGCGGCGATGACGAGCGAGAAGGACATGCCCCACATGGTGTAGATGAGGATGTTGCGCCGGCCGATGCGGTCGACGTACTTGAGCGCCACGCCGGTGAAAATCCAGTTCGTGACGGCAACGACAGAGCCGACGGCGATGGCGTTCTTGAAGCCGACGATGCTAAAGAGCGTCGCGGAGTAGTACATGAGAGTGTTGAAGCCGCAGAGTTGTTGGATGGCCATAAGACCGCAGGCGACAACGAGCGCGCGCAGATTCGCCGGGACGCCGTACAGCGTCTTGAATGTCTGCCAAAGGGACATCTCGGAGTTCAAGGCGACAGCCTGGCTGACGCCGTGCTGGATAAGGCGCACCTTGTCGTCGACCTGCTGCTCAGTCGCGCTGGGGTAGATCTTTCTAAGAACGACTTTGCATTCTTCGGGCTTGTTATGGAAGACTAGCTGACGAGGGGACTCTGGACACCAGAAGAGCAAAATGCCGAGGATGATTGATGGAACCCCTCCGAGTCCGACCATGTATCTCCAGCCATGGGAAACATGCTCGAATGCAGCATCGATTGCGTAGGCGAGGACCTGGCCGCCAGTGATGCAGAAGGCGGAGATGGTGATCATTCGGCCCCTGAAGCGTGTTGGCGCGAGTTCGCTGATGTACAGTGGGACTATCATGCTATGTTGTGTTAGATATGCAAATGAACGACGAGCTTGGTAAACAGATCGACTCACGCAGCGGAACCGACGCCGAGACCCTACGTTCTGTTAGACAGTGTAGAGGATGAGGGTGGCAGGCGGATGAACTTACAATAATGGCACGGCCTGCAGTCATTGCGGCAATGTTGTACGACACGCCTTGCACCAGAGCTCCAATGGTGAAGAGTACCGAGGCAAACCAGATGCATGGCTTACGTCCATACTTGTCGGCGATGCAGCCAGCAATGACCGCTCCAACGAATGCACCACCTGAAGTAACAGCAGTGATGAGCTCTTTTTCAGAGTCACTAAGCTCGTGGCCAAGCGCATCTCCGATGGTGACGAGGACACCGGATATCACACCCGTGTCGTAACCGAACAGCAGACCGCCGATAGCAGTGGTCAGGGCGATGAGCCAGACCCATGTTCCTGGCTTGGTTTCTTCTATGGAGTCAAGGCCATTGACGCTGTCTTCGCCCAAGGCGAGCTCGACCTGGTGGGCGCCCGAGTCCAGCTCCTTTGATTCCTCAGTGATTGAAGCCATGACGCGGGTTTTCCAGAACAAACAGAGCGTAACTCGATACAGCAAGAGAAGAAAGAAGAAAAATTTAAAGGGAAGGCCCAAAAAACAAACGAACCTCGGGAGTGGTAAGAGGACTGCCCGTGTGCCGATCCAACATGAGCACTTCCACTAGTCCTTATATCCCCACAGTCACGATGCATTCAGCGGGTCAGAGGCCGACGTCTGGGGATTACTTGCTGCGAGATAGATGAGCGGGGTGAATGCCGCGCGGGGATGAGGTTGCACAGAGTGCTTGTCTCGACGGCGTCTGGAAAAAACTCCATGAGGGCAGTCCTTGCAGCAAAGCGCATGTCAGTGGCCGAGGCTAACGCATGTCGCCTCATGGATCGTGCCGCTTGAGCTTCGGGAGGGGCTGGCACTTTCATCTTGATCTCCATGCGAATTCGTGTCTTATTCGTGGAAGAGCTCGATCTGCAGTGCGAGTTGCCGCATGACTTGCAAACAGGGATTGTGAGCGTTGAGAGCCGCATGAAACGTCTCTCCAAGCCCAAGAATCCTATGCGAACGATAGGGTTTCAGGGTGCCAAGAGAGCTATGTAACACCCTCCATGAGCCTCCAACCTCTCCCAGACGTCTCCCAGGCACCTGTTCTACGTCTAAGGGTCTTAACTAGTGCGACTGAACCTTCGACTCCACTGAGCAACCGAGACTTGAGTGAGCCGGCGGCTGCAAGACAACTCGGATTTGGGTCTGCTGCCCCAGGACCAGGATATCCCAGCTTCATCAGGCTGTCGGCCTCTTCGGCCCGTCCGCGGCTCTTCGGACTGCGCACCAGCATAGGCAATCCGACGTCTTGCCGGCTCTTTCCGCAAAACCGCCCGAGCAATGCGACATCACAGCAGCATGAGCGGTCGAAGGTGCAGATGCAAGTCGGACACACTGGCAAATGGTTTATCCCACCACCAGCCAGACACTCTAGCCGTTCGCCGGGTCCGATCGGCATATGCAACGAGCACATACAAACGCCGCGTAAACCCGCCACGGCTTGATGGGGGGGGACTTTATAGACCCAGTATGGGTGTTGCACTTCATGTCCAGCAATCTGATACAGCCCGTAAACATTCAACGCCTTGAACCTATAAGCTCCCCCAATCCGTCCGTCCATTCCACCGCAAACAGCCGCCCACACAATCATCCCGACAAAACACCTAAACCCTCCCCCCCTTCAATCATCCTTTAACCCAACCTTCTCCAACCCCTTGCGATCGCCCGCCCCTCCCATCGCCTTGGGCACCCCCTTCTTATCCGTGACGCCTTTGACACCCGCCTCGATGCGCTCGTCGACCGCCCGGGGTTTCTGAGCCTCGCTGTGGGCGGCGAGGTCGGCGGGCGAAACGATATCGTTCCTTGCGCCCGGCGGCCTGTCTGTGGCGGCGCTGCCGGAATTGATGCATGGGAGGGACATCTGGGGGAGGTGAGTATGCTGGGTGAGGGCGGTGAAGAAGGAGCAGGTGTGGAGATGTATGAGCGAAGTGGGGCGGATGAACTTACCGTGTAGATTCGAAAGCTGTGTCTTTATGGAAGAGAGTAGTCGTCGCTAAGTTTCTGCTGCCGATGTGGTGGAACTCAAGGCTGCTTCAGAAACCTTTGTTTCATGCCAGGTCTCTCCTGCTGAAAGAAGAGTCTATATACACAAGTTTGCGTCATGGTCGCGTCGTAAGTTTCACAAGCTTGAAGGCGATGTTCTCATCACTCATCGCTGTTCGAATCGGGCCATCGTGGACCCTTGGTCGCTCAGGGTATGTCTGGGCTTACCCCAAGGAGCATCGTTGGCTCGCGAGGCGCTGGCAGCGAGGTTGAAGTTGGAAGTTGGTCCGCGTTTTACGACTCTTTCCAATATGCTTAACCAGAATGCAGTCGGTAGACGAAAGACCATTTAGGAAACATCCACTAACTCCATAAAACTAAACTGTCTCCACGACGACGAGAGACAATTTAGACGTCGTCGTAGAGCAACACCAACGCAGGGCTAGTCCGGCCAAAGACGATTTCAGCAGCCGGTCCAAAGCACCTGACCTCCTCAAAGAGAAGCAGGAAAAACAAAAAAGCAGAAACGCATCAAACTTGTCCCACATCTCAGCATCCAAGCGAACATCCCCGTCGAAAGGTGCCGCAGTAAGAGAGCGCAGTTGCAGTCTTCCACCAGGATAGTTCAGAAACATCCCCCAACAATCCATCATTCCCCCCATCAGAAGTGCCATCTCCATGACTCAGTCGTGCATGCATTTGTGAGGCATGTCTCATGACCGGTATCCGGACTCCATCCGCATCAAATCCTATGTTCGAAAATCCGGACTGATTCTGGTGAAGTGCGCTTACATTGTTGCCGCTTCGACCTGTTCGTCGACTGAGACCGCATGGCGCAAAGTGCATTTGATGGTTCGTTCAGTGTGTTTTTCGCGAGGTTCTTTTTCCTTGAGACTCTACGTCGTAGGATTCCACAGCGACCGCCTCCCGCCCCTCATGCCGCCTCTGAATGGTGAGGGTCTAGCGAAAGAGTCCGGATCAATCGGCCTGTTCAAATCCACAGGCGCTACCCGTGGTCGGGGGTTTGGCACGAATCTGCCAGGCGGAGGCACGAGGCCACCCCGTCCACCCCTTGGTGCAACTAGAGGTCTACCACCTCGGCCACGTGGCGCAGCAGGAACTTGATGCACGGCTGCGGGCTGCGGTACCGGCGACGCTCTGCTGAACTGGTTTGGGTCGATGACTGGCTGGACTGGTAGCACCGGGGCTGGAACAGGCGACGACGGTGCACTTGGTACGCGTAAAGGTCGCTTGAATACGACTATGTCTTCGTCTTCTGACTCCTCGTCGTCTTCAACTGCGAGAGGCTGCACAGCTTCGAGGCGCCCCGTCGTAGGCTCAACTGGAGTAGTGATACCTGTCTCTTTACGCCAGAGCGTAAGTCTGTTCTTGAAATCTCTCTCCTCGCGAGCGACAGCGTCGCGGACCTGCTCGAGGCGCTTTGTCTTCACGCCAAATTTCTGCGCTAATGCTTGCTTGTTCGCGTCATTGGTCAAGAAGATGAATGAATCGAGTGCGGTGTCTGGGTTCTGATCTTGATTGATACGCCAAATGATGTGATTGAAGAGCGGCTGGAGGCGCGGCGGGACAGCCTGGCGGGTGGCGTTCGCGAAGGCCTTGTGAGGCTGGATATCAGCGTCGTTGCGACCTGGGCGGCTCGATGGGCGAGAGACGGGCGTTTCGACCGACGTACGGCTGGCAGCCTTGTACGGACTGGCGTTTAGCAGGCCGGGGCTTGTAGAAGAATATGCAGAGCGCGGAGAGCTCGGAGTCTTCGTGCCTTGGGCGTCGCTCTCGTGGGAGCTTGTAGATGCTTTGTCCGATTGTTCATGAAGCTCGAGGTTACTGTGGAGCTCGTCTGTGAGACGGTCCACTCCGTTTTCTTCATTGTTGTCCCCCGCGAGTAGGCTCTGCGGCTGGAGGTGCTTCTCCACTTCCTCCCAGGTTCCGTAGGTCTCATCCACGCCCTGCAGCTGGACGCGCTGGCTGTGCGGTGTGGACGTAACGTCGTCGAGCCATTTGACGGCTTCTCTCGCCTCGCCGTTGATGCGACTGGTGCCCTTCGTCAAGTGATTGAGCTGCTCAAGCGCTGGTTACGGTCAGTGAGAGAAGCGGACAACAACCGCTCAGAGGCCAGCCGTACAGTGTAGTGGGACAAACAGGCGGATGGCGCCGCTCTCAGTCCACTTCCTTATGCCATCCCTGGTGCTCTTCTTCACGCCGGCGATCAGTGCCGTGTCGTCAACGATGCAGTTGAAGACCTTCCGTGTGGGCATCTCGGGATGTTGCAGGCGGTGATCGCCCGCCGGGGCGCCGTGAGGCTGAGCGCCGTGACGCATGGTTGTATGCGCAAGGCGCGCTGGCTGTAAATCGCAGTCAGTTCGCGGACTCTTTGGATGAGGGCGCTGAGCTTGAGGCGGGGGCTTAATGGCAGGCGTACATGTTGTGTTTGTGATGGTAGCGATTGTTCCATTTATCCGCTGTGCGGCATGTCTTGAAGTCTCGTCAAGGCGAGGCGGGAAGTATCATATGTCTGGTTTGTAGGAATAGCCCATTGCGCGCTGAGGTAGGTGATGAGCCAGTGCCGGCGACAGCGTTGGGCATTTTATCGAGTGAAGTCGGGTGGTGGGCGGAGTGAGGCAAGAGGGTGGGTGAACCTGGCGTGGGCGGACCGCACTGGGGAAGTTTCAGCCCACCACGGCGAAGTCACGGCCAAGTCACGACTCAGCCCTGCAGAGGGAAATCATTGGACGTTCAGTGTGGTGAGTCCCGGCAAGGCACAACAGCAGCAGACGTACGGAGTAAGGAAGTGGGAAATAGCAGCCGGCTCCCTGCTATGCGAGTTCGCCTTGTCATTCAGTTCATAATGCCGTTCTACTGCACTTTGCTCGTTGAGCCTCGATGGCGTCATCGCTCTCTGCTATCAAAAGATTCAGAGCAAGCCAGGAGCCCGCCACGAAGGCCAGAACAACGCTGCTTCGCTCGTAGCCTCAGCAGAACATGTAAATGTTGCCATCCGGACTTCCTTCACCCTAGAAGCTCTCAATCTCTTCCTTTCTGCCCTCCAAATCTGGCATCCAGCCCTTCGGCCGCTCTCTTCCCCTCACCACCAGTCCATAGAGTCCGTTTTCCACCTTTTCGACACACGTCTTCATAACCTCCATCTTCTTGTCCACGTCCCTCGGGAATGGTGGTCCTGGCGGGATATCCAGCATCTCGAGACACGTCCTCAGCTCTCTCAGATCTGACAGCACATTGCGCTGCGGCTGCGAGCGCTGCACAGGCTTGACGCCGCCATCCTCATCATCAGTCTTGCCATCGACGTCCATGTCTCCCTCGGCATGCTCCACCTTGACCCGCTTCTGCGGAACCGGCGCCGCCGTTGCTCGTGATTCCCCACCCGGTAGCCCTCCGCTTGTAGCCATAGCCGTGATAGCAAACCGCATCAGCTCGCCTACCATATCAAATACACCAAGCACATAGTCGTCCGCAGTCAGCTCCACCGGTCTCCCTTCTCCTCCCAACTCCTTTAGCATCCCCTGCGCATTGTCGAATGTGATGAGCTGCTGCTTCTCGAGGTAGTACTGGAAGGAAAGGCTCTCCATGAACTCTTGGATTCCGCCTGTGATGTTGCGGGCGTAGCGCCATCCGTTGATGGATTGGAGGTCGGCGGAGATGGTGGAGAAGCGCTCGCGAATAACTTGCCAGTGGGGGGCGGTAGATCTTGTGATAGATTCGGGGATGGGCGCATTCAGCTTCCGGACGCTGAGAAATGTCAGTCTTCCCGGCTGCACTTGTGGAGGAAGTAGTGGTTACCGCTGTAACGAGAAAATGCTTGCATGGTGTTAGCAGCCAGATCCGAAGACGCGAGCTGTACTTATATAGTGCTCACATCTTCTTGCTAGCTGCTGTAATGTCCCGCGATGCTTTGATGACGCGCTCACGTCTATCCTGGTGCTCGTCAAGCTCCGCGCGGAAAGCTTCGAACATGGGAATAAAGGGCGAGGAGGGTGGGGGATTTGAATGGTCCATGATCTCGGCGTGAGGGCGCTTCTGGGGCATCAATGACAGATAGAGGCTGGAAGCATGTGAGGAGAAACGTAGGGAAGTGGGAGCAGCAGTGAGTTCAAGCTTGGAGATGGGACCTCGGGAGCTCCATCCGTCACATCTCAGGGCGGTGAAGGAGGCTCGGCGGCAGTGTTCGGGAGCCCCTTGGCGCGCCTACGTTCGGCTGTTATTTTTCTGAAACTCTCAGGTTGCTGGTTCAACATCACCGTCAATTGAGGGAAATGCCTGAGAATCTCACGTCTGTCATTCTCTGAAATCTTGCTGATAAAGCCCATGCTTTAATTCGTTTAATCTTGCATCGTGGGGTTAATATATAGAGGTCATGGCTCGTTTCTTCTCCAGCCCAAGTCTTGTGTTCACATCTGCCATTTCCCTTCGAGCGGTCCTTCTCGTATACGGTCTTGTCCAAGATGCATACTCGCCCATGAAGTACACGGATATCGACTATTACGTGTTCACCGATGCTGCTCGCTATATCTCCCGAGGCCGGTCTCCGTACATGCGGGACACTTACCGCTACACGCCCCTCTTGGCGTGGCTTATCTATCCGACCACCTGGGGAGGAAGGTGGTTTGCTTTCGGCAAGGTTCTATTTGCTTCAGGGGATATCATAGCTGGGTGGCTGATCCTACTCATTCTGAGATCATCCAAGAAGATGCCAACAGAGAGAGCCTCGAAATTTGCAAGTATCTGGCTGTTGAACCCTATGGTGGCACAAATCAGCACGAGAGGAAGCTCCGAGGGACTACTCGGAGTCATTGTCACCGCGCTTCTATGGGCTCTTCTGCAGCGGCGCATCAGGCTCGCCGGCTTCCTGCTCGGCTTTGGTGTACACTTCAAGATTTACCCATTCATCTATGCTGCGTCGATAGTCTGGTGGCTTGATGGTGAAGATAGGGAGGCAACAGCTCAAGCAAAAGGTCAACCCCAGGACTCGTTGCTTTCTCGTTTCCGCTCCTTTTGCAATGCAGACCGAGTGGTACTCGCCGTCTACAGTTTTTTGACCTTCATGGTCCTCAACACAATCATGTACAAATTGTAGGTTTCTTCTTTCTAGAACGATGATGGAGTTGCTGACTCGAGCAAGCTACGGATGGCCCTTTGTCCAGAATAGCTTTCTGCATCACCTGACGCGTATCGACCACCGGCATAATTTCTCGCCTTACAATATACTCCTCTATCTCAGCGCTTCTCCCGGAACGCATTCGTCATTACGGCTGGAGTCGTTGGCTTTCCTTCCTCAAATCTTCCTGAGCGCCGTTGCCATTCCACTCACCCTCGGGAAGAAAGACCTAGCGTCGACTATGCTTGCCCAAACTTTCGCCTTCGTCACCTTCAATAAGGTCTGTACCAGTCAGGTATGTCAACCAAGCGCTTCCAAAGATTATGTGGTTACTGACTGATTCAGTACTTCCTCTGGTATCTTGTTTTCTTGCCGTTCTATCTCCCGGACTCTACCCTGTTACACAGGCCGTCGACAGGCCTTACGGCACTCATCTTGTGGGTCGTCGGACAGGTAAGCCTGCTCAACGAACGTGATGACGTCTTGATACAGTCTGATTTGGGACAGGCTCTGTGGCTACAGCAAGGCTACCAGCTCGAATTCTTGGGCCGGTCTACCTTCCTCCCGGGACTCTGGACTGCCAGCATCATTTTCTTCCTCATCAACATCTGGATCTTGGGCGCTATTGTTTCAGATGTTGCGCACAGAGACCGACCTCGAAACGTGGCCGCTGTTCCAAAGAAGGTCATCTGACCTATCCCCCTCCGTGTGCGCAGGAGAGAAAATGTCTCGTGCATCGATTTAAGGGCAGACTGTGAAGCGCTCGCCGTGCCGTACAGATCTAGAGTGTTCAGATACGCCAGGAGCTTACAACCCGACTAGAACGCTCAAGGATAGCGCTTATGCCGATCTTAGCTGCATGATCCCCGCATTCGGCTACTGGACCGGGACCTTGGTGTGGGGGCCGATCGCGCTGGATGCATTATATGGCAGTGTGCCGCCTGTATTACTATCACTGCACGGATGCCTGAACGGTTTGGCTTTGGTAGCGCAAAAAAATGGTGTCGAACAACCTTATCGTAGCCGGCGCGCTTTTGGTCGTAGCCTTGGTCGTTCAGCGCATCGCATCAGCTGGCCCTCGCTGCCCAAAGGATGCGAAGCTCCCTCCGGGACCAAAGGGTTAGATCATTCGTGCCTCTTTGGTTCTACGGCTACGTGCTGACTGTTACGCAGGCAAGCCCCTTGTCGGCAACCTTCTCGACATACCGCCGTACCACTCTTGGCTGAAGTTCAAAGAATGGGCCGATCAGTATGGTCCGCTGTTTAGGTTGAACATCGCAGGCAGGGAGCATTATATCGTCTCGACGGAGAAGATTGCGAACGACTTGCTCCGTGAGAGAGGCACGCTCTACTCAAGCAGAGAACAGTTGCCGGCGGCGGCACAGTTGCTGGGCGACAACCTGCGGCCGCTGTTCCTGCCATACAATGGTATGCGGAACTATTGCTACTACGAGCGTAGAGCGTTTGCTAATAGTGCAACAGACGTCTGGCGAAAAGGCCGTCGTTTGATGCATTATCTGACCATGTCAAGCGCCGCTACGAGCTATCAGCCCACACAAGTTCTCGAGTCAACTCATCTTCTTTATGATTTGATCCGCTCACCGAAGGATTACGAGACGTGGTTCGAGCGCTACGCGTCTGGCTTAATCTTCCGTCTTGGCTTTGGGAAGATGGTCGAGACAGGTGAGGAAGATGATGTCAAGCGGATACTAAACATCGTCCATACGGTCGAGCGTGTCGCATCTCCCGGGGCATATCTCGTCGACACGTTCCCGTCTCTCATGTATCTACCGAAGCTACTGGCGCCTTTTAAACAAGAGCTAGGGAAACTGCATGAGGAGGAGCTGTCCTTCTTTCGTCGGCTGCAGGATGACGTTCGCCGCGAGATGCGGGACGGCAACGCTCCTGAATGCTGGGAGCGCACTTTTCTCGAAAAGAAGGACGAGTACGGACTTACGGACGATGAAGGCGCGTACGTAGTCGGCACGCTCTTTGAAGCTGGCAGCGGGACCACCGCAGCGGCTATGATGTCTTTTGTGCTCGCCATGGTGCATTACCCGGAGTGGCAGAGGAAGGTCCAAGAGGAAGTCGATAGCGTCGTTGGCGGACATCGGATGCCCGATTTCGATGACATGCCATCTCTTCCCACCGTGCGCGCCGTGGTCAAGGAGACGCTTCGATGGCGGCCAGTAACGGCCGGCGGCGGCCCGCACCAACTCGTTAAAGACGACATCTACAACGGCATATTCCTCCCCGCCGGAACGAACGTGCATGCCAATCAATGGTGAGCCTTTCCACCTCAACCTCTGCGACAAACCACTGGAACGTTGCCATTAACTCTTCGCAGGGCGATCCACAGAGACCCAGCGCTCTACCCAGATCCAGAAACCTTCCTCCCGTCCCGCTGGCTCAATCCTAAATACCCCACCTACCGCGAACCCCTGACTACTTACCCGAACCTGCAGAACTTCTCGGCCTTCGGCTTCGGCCGCAGGATCTGTCCGGGCCAGACCATCGCGGAGCGCTCGCTGAACCTGCTGGTGGCACGGATCGCATGGGCGTGTCAGATCAGTAAGGCACGGGATGGGGAGGGGAAGGAAGTGAATGTGCCGTGGTATGATTACACGGCGGGGCTCAATGTGCAGCCGAAGTGGTTTCCTTTCGAATTGGCAGCGAGGAGCGCGGAGCGGAAGGAGATGGTGCGGATGGCGATGGAGGAGGGGAGGAGTGAGGATCCGCTGCGTGGGCGGAAGTGAGGGAAGTGAAAAGAGGGGTGTTTTAGGGCTTTCGGAGAGGTTTATGGCACTTTTGTAGTTATCTGGGCGGTTCGATGTAGTAGCAGCGAAAAGTTTCGAGACTAAATCTGCATGATCTATTGTCTCATGTCCTCGGTGAACATTGCGTACAAAGCGATAACAAGCCACCTAAGCTCCCGACATCGCAAACTAACGTATCTGGCTAGGAATTGCAACCGGTACGGTGTTACATGCATCATACAACGACATGTACACCCACCTTGCTTCTCTTTCATCATCTGCTAATCGTAAGCGCTGGCGATCTAGACAATGTTCCAGCAGCTTAAGGTTTAGGCACCATCGATGTCATAGATAATCATTATGTGACCGAAACATCATTAGAGGAGGCCTGTAGAAATTAGGGTTTGCAAGCTCCAGTGTTCGGCATCGCCCCACCGTCAAACGGACGAGGGTCCAGTCGTGCGTTTCGCTCGACACGACGTTTTAACAATGTAGCCGATTAGGTGGTCTGCTAGCTGCTTCAAATAATCTATTAGCTTAATGTAGTAGGGCTTTAATTCCTAAGGGTCGAGATTCTTAGCGCGACTAATCATCTTCTTAAATACTAACCTTTGTAGTGAAGAGGCGTAAGCGTTTAGTTAACTAACCACCACGATGCTTGTACCTATAACCCTATAGTCCAGTAGCCTAAAATAGCTAGCGGTCGTCTAAAGCACCGGGTGCCGTCCACGATCTAAACGGATGACTCTAAGACGAACGTCGTCTCAACGATATTAGACGCGCGATGCCGAACACTGTGTGCAGCGATCGTGTTGACAGACTGGACATCCACCCGCAGCAAAGTAGATAAGGTTACCGTCGTTGCATTGACAACACTTCTATATGTCAGCTGGGTAGTAGTTATTGTAACTAGTACTCACTCTCCACATATCTGATAGAACTGGTGAATCTATATCCGATCCTTTATAACGTCGTTAGGTCTATGTAAGATGAAGCATCAAAAACTTCCACGGTAATGTCCAAGGCAACTACTTACTAGGTGAGGATGTGCTTAGCTCTTCGTCTGATACAGCATGTAGGAGCGATTCCAAATCAGTGTCGAGTAGAGCACCTTGCTCTGATTCGGCAGCATCGAACACATTGACTCCGGTCATTTCGGGGGCAGTGACCGCCTCGTCAGCATTCAACGGTAGTGCGAAAAGTGCGATGTCCTCCAGGTGAGACCCTAGGTGCCCTTGCAGCTCTTCAAGCGCCGATCGCTTCAAACATAACGGGCACTGCGCAGTCGTGGAAGGTTCTTGTGGCCGTTCGCATATTTCCAACAGGATTGGGAGCTGTGGCTCTGTGATCAAACTCGCATGTTTTGTTTCCAGATGCTGAGCCATTGCAGTCTTGGTTTCAAAACTCTCACCGCAGTCTCCGGAACAGACCCACCGGCGTCTGTGCATCTGCATTTCGTGGTTGATCCAGTCATGCCGCGTGACATACATCTTCTGTGGACTTTGGCAGTCCTCAAATGTGCATAGATAAGGCCGCAGATCTCGAAAAATATGTCGTCTATAGTTACCGTTAAACACGTTCACATAAAGCTTCAGGGACTACTTACTTCCACGCTAACCGAGCCTGCATAGCCTCACAATCAAGAGCAGAAAAGCAATAGGGACACGGGAAGGTTAAGGAACCCGTAGGTATTGATGGAAGATCAGGAACACGAGACGTCCGCACTAGGCCGACAGCCGAAAGCTCATAGACCGTCTTTGGTCGTCCCGGAATCGTCTCATTATCCTCTATGGCTGACTGTGCGACCTCCGAACATAGGCGGGAATATTCGGTCCGGCTTGAACTGACCGGCGGCGAACTCTGCGGCGCGAGGTCTTCTCTACTGTGACCCTCTTGCATATCGATGGCTGTGGAAGTATAAGGTATATCCGGATGATCCACCCAATACATGAACTGTTCCCGACGTTTCATGTTGGCTCGTCCCAGTCGGTTTATCAGGTATGTGGCCGCCTCAGTGTCACCTGCCATCCGTGCCAGAAACTTTTCCTCGGTAAAGGGCTCTTCAGTTTCTGGATCCTGTGCGCTTTTTGGAGAATCGCGCCATTGGTGAATTCTTTCAACTACGTGCTTGCAATCCGGAAGCGCATTTGTAGTTTCTTTTGTAACCGATCGCATGTACTTCTCGGTCACAGTGGGCCTCCGAAGGAGCGCTGATACACGATATAGAGATCGTATGTGTCTAGATGCCAGCTCAACCAAAACCTGAATCTTGGCCCTTCGTGATTGGCATTGTGGTGGGTTCTCCGGGTCGTCGGAGTCTACGCTCACACTACTGATAGAATCTTGATCAGACCCTTGATTTTCATCATAAGTTCTCTCTGCTATCGTTGCCGCTATAAATAGGTCAGAATATGCAAGAACTGAAGCTAACCTCCCGTGCGAGAGAGAGGTCCGGCCGTCCTGGCTCTGCTGCGAGGTGATGATTTGAACCTCGTACCTCGCGCTAAGTTATCTTGAAGTAGCTTCAGGATTTTCTGAACGGTCTCTTTCAGCTGAGTATCCCTGCGAAGCAAATCGTCCAGAGATCCTCGTACACCATCCGGGCGCGCTGCACCCGTTTGGACACCCCACAGCTTGAGCCTGCCACACTCGTCTACGATCTCCTGTGGACTCACTTGCCCGAGGCGTACGGCTCGACAGCTGTCTGCGGCCAGAGCAAGAAGGAGCCGATAGTGATGGTGCAGACACTGGGCATAGAGGGATGAGATGGAGAGCGACAAAGAAGCCATTGTTTGTGGCGTCTGGTATCAAGCCGGCAGTTCGTGTGCTGCAAATGCGTAGTCGAAGTCAGCTGTAGGGGAGGAAACACCATTGATGGTGGGGGCGCTTCTAGTCATCAAACTCCTGAGGACCTTTATCATCAGTTTTCATAGCTCCCAAGAATTTAGTTAAGCTGAACGAAGCCGCTCGGGTCTAGGATTGAAACCTGGAAGAGACCATCAAAAGTCTATACCCCGCTCCTTTGTCATCGTGCATCAACAGCGAAGCCAATCATCCGTGTTCAAGTTGGCCCTCACGAGGCTGGCTTACTGCTTGACCTTCCAACCCACTCTGCGGCTCCGCTGTGTAGAGACTGTACAGCTTGACACTCGCAACGCTCACCTATGCGAATTCCGCCACAAGGCCTACTTCGACAGACAATCCACAATGTCCGGAATCGAAATTACGGGCTTGGTCTTCGGTGCGATACCGATCATCCTCGCCGCAATCGATCTATATCTTGGCCCGGTCAAAGGGATCCGGCATTATAATGAAACCCTCGAGTTCCTGAGAATCAATCTATTCATCCAACAGAGGTCTCTCGATGCCAGTATCGATAACCTCGGCTTAGGCCGAAACCCTGTTTTGAAAGAGTTGGAGGAGAATCTTAAAGAGAATTATCCTGATGACTATGAGGGAATAGCTATGACTATTAGGCGAATGGAGCGCTTGCTTCTGAAGCTGATGGATAAACTAGAAATTGATGTTGAAGGAAAGGTTCGTATGCTTCCATTATCCTGATCGCTGCCAAGGGCCGCCCGGCGGCCGAAGAGTTCGTTGCTACACCTTTGCTCCAGCTTTTCCAATGTCAGATTCAAAATCGATCTGGATTCACGATACTGTCAATCGAAGAGCAGGTAAATCGACTCCATGCGGTGGAAAGCAAGCGATGTTCACCAGTTTGGCTTCTCGGTGAATCGATCGCACGAGGTGTCTTCGATCTGTGGGTTGTGCTTAGGGGCTGGTCTCTCTCAGGGCTACGAGTAACTTTCAATGTGGCAACGGGCTTTTCGGATAGTCCTTGAAACATCTACGGCTCTCTGTCAGATACGTTAACGTGGCGCATTTTGTGTTTCGAAGAGCTTTCACCGTCATACTTGGCTCCTAACCTTGCTGATCAGCGTCGCAGCCCAAATGCCCACCAAACCGAGCGAAATGGGAATGGCGACGCGTGAAGAACGGCTTTGGCAAATCCGAGCACGAGCAGATCATCAACGAGCTTGAGCGGTACAATCTGTTCTTAGCTCGCATCTTCGAGAAACCAGAGGCCTCTTGCTCAGACCCGAACGATCAGCAGCTTCAACGTTTGCGGGACAGCTTTGATCCTGTCCGATGCAGCATCATCCGAAAGGAGGCGGTAGCGATACATCAAACGCTTGAAGGGGGCTGGAAATGTACATGCAGCCAACCTCACGAGGGCAGTATCCGCCTCGACTGGTATGATTCTTCAAAGAGGAGTCCAACGTTTGATATCGCCTTTTCTTACCACGAAGCCGGAGCCAGCCCAAATGTGATGGAAGCAAAGTGCTGGTGCGCTACGAACGTCCGACTCGAAACAGCGGCTGGCACGAGTACTCAAGTACCAAGCGCCGTGTCTGCAAAGCCAAGCAGCTCTGCCGTCGCTGTCACAAAATCCGCCGCCCAAGGAAGCTCTTCCAACGACTCACGTGCGCATCGGCGATTGGCACCGATGGGTAACATATGTGCGGCAAAACCCCCGCAAAAGCAATCTGTGAGCTTCAAGGAGACGAAACACAGCACCGTCAGTCCATCAAACTCCAGTAAGTCAAGCGGACTCCGGCGAAAACTACCAGCAAGATCCTGCTTGTTTCCATCTGACTCGGTTCAGCAGCAAGCTCTGCAGCCACCACACCCATGAGGTGCCTCTGCGAAGCCATTCGAAGCACTAAAGATTGCGATACCGAACTAGGGTTCCTCAAAGACCCCGACGCTGCGCAAGAGCGCCGAACACTGATCTCAACCAACAAACAGTTACTCGGCGCCGACATAACTTCCGCTCATCTGGGACTGCTGTTGCCAGCTGCACAGAAACCGCCGCTTGCCAACCTCTCTCTCAAGGAGCGGTGTCGTATCGCTGCGGCAGTGTCATGGATGGTCCTGCACCTGTGTGGCTCCCCGTGGCTGAAAGAAAACTGGGATAAGGGAGATATCCATCTATTCTTGCAAAAAGTTGGACCGACCTGTCGGCTCTTGACATCTGACTCCTTCATATCGTGCGCATTCCGCCGCGCAACAACTCCAATGAATCAAGTGCCAAGCAATCCTGCCGCGCAATTCCAGAACAGTCTGATCAGAAATCGAGTTCTTTTCAATCTTGGCATCCTGCTGATTGAGCTTTCCCACAGTCGGCCTTTCGAACATATCAGGAAGGATCATCAGTTGTCAGCGGCACCAAGCGCGCCTTCGCTCGACTTCGCCATCGCTGATGCGGAGGTAAACAAGGTTTACGATACAGTTGGGGATCACTATGGATACGCGGTTCAGAGGTGTTTACGGTGCGAATTTCCCGGTCGCGATGTTACAAAATTCTTAAGCTTTACGGAGTTCCGTCAACACTTCTACAATAACGTAGTTGCACCATTGCGGCTAACTGCTCTGGCGCTTGAGAACATCTGAAATTCTGGCGCTTGAAGGGCATTGCTGCACGATAGATGCTTTCAGTTCTTTCCCCTCGATTGAGAAACTACAGGGAATAGACTGCTTATGAGAGTGCCACTTGTTTTAGCCTTTTTGTAGAATTTTTGTTGATAGTGATTGTGTGAATATGTAGAGAGTTCTACAGCCTTTTACCACCTTTTAATCACGAGTCGACCTTTAAGTACGCATAGCGCTTTTACAGTGCTGAGGACCTGTAGACCTTGAAATCTTGACGAGCGAAATGCGGGAATGGTGGATTGTCTCGATGTTGACTAGCGCGTATGGCTCGTGCATGTCAATTTTCGAGGAGGCTTTGGTGCCCGGCGGATTTGAAGTCTCAACAACTCTCAGTCATTCCGTATTACTGTTGTCGTCACATGGGAGTGCATCTAGGACATCCCTTCCTCGGACCAGGCGACCGAAAATCAAACCAGTCCGCTGCTCGTCAGGGCGTACCGTTTCACGTGCTTTAACTCAAATCGAGGAAATTTCTAGGCAATATACCTGTGAGATACCGCTAACCTGAGGAACCGGTCTGGTTGCCATTTGCTCATACTCCTCCACATTTGCAGAGCGCGAATTACAATTCACAAGGGCGAATCACCATCAGAGAGCTCGCCACCGTCAAACCACCACCGCCGCCATCAGGTCCAGTTGCAGTTGTTTGCGTGTCCGATACGCATGGGACGAAACCGACCTTGCCCGATGGTGACGTCCTGCTGCATGCTGGCGACTTATGCAACATGCGAGAGCGCGGTTCATGGTCATCAATGTCTGGTCAGCTGAAATGGCTCCGCAAGCAGCCGCATCTATACAAAGTTGTCATTGCCGGTAATCACGACCTCGTCCTGGACTCAGCATTTGTCTCTTGTTTCCCGACCCGGATCAGCGGGGGGCCAAATGAAGCAAGGCTACTCTCAAACGGGGCGATATCATCTATCTCTGTAACACTGCAACAAGGCTCAAATTTCCCGATGGCCGTTCGCTGAAGATTTACGGTTCTCCGTTGACCGAGTAGTGGGGCATTGGAGTCTTCCAGTATCCTCCGGGGCGTGACGTCTGGTCTCACCGGGTGCCGTACGACACAGACATCCTGCTTACCTGTGGCCCGCCAAAGGGACATTTGAACTGCGACCGCTTGGGCAACAGTAGGTTTCTGCTCAGCGAGATATGGCGCATGAAGCCGCGGCTAGTTGTGTTTGGTCACATCCATGGCGGCTATGGGCAGGAGGAAACCACGTTTGATGCTATTCAAGCAACGTATGATCGAGTGTTGCCGGCGGGGAAGGGTCTCTTCGAAGTGGTCAGGATGGTATACTCAACCTTCATACAGAGGATGTCGGCCATCATGCCGTTCTCGAAAGGCAGAGGCCATTCCAAGAAAGTGACTTGCATCAACACGGCTGTAGTGGCTAGGCCTCGTAACAAGCTGACCAGGCCAGCTATTAAGTCGTAAGACGAGGGGTGCCAGTAGTGTATATAGCATTCAAGTCCTGAATCTTTGGATGGAGCTTGGTGGTTAGGCAAGAGTAATGTTTACTGCGAAAGACGGAAAGTCTACGAAGTTTTGCGTCATGAATGTGCTAATACGGAAGGGGTAGAGTGAGTTGTTCACAAGGCACCCGGGCTGTAAATGGGTTCATAGCAGTGCTACTCGACAGACTTCTCTATCAGTCATCCTTTTCACATATCAAGTCACGTGGAGCTAGCGTAATAATTGTGGTAATGAAAACCGAAAGTCCGCTAGCGCACCTGGCTCGTGCAGCAAATGCTCTCAAGACGACAGAATCATTTTCAGGGCAAGAGCAAAGCCCGCAGCAACAGCAACAGAAATCACCACCACCAGACGGACATACATAAAGTCCTCCTCCGTCCGCCGCCTCCTCTGTCCTCTTCACACTCCACAACAATCAACCTTCGCTCATCTTTTGCCCGGCGCAACAAACTCAGTGCTTCCATCGGTCCCTTTGTATTATCAGCAGATCCGTCCAAATCTCAACTCGCTCTCCTCTCAACTGGTTCCATAGAACGTGTGCTCAACAGCCCCGAAGAACCATCAGCAGCGCATAACATCCAGCCGCCGAAAGAGACAACCACTCCACAATGGCTGACATTGCGCCAATGCCCTCTGCGGTCAACCCTCAGTCGCCCGTTCCTCTGGACACCATCCCCATCTCGCCTGCGGATGGGACAAACGGCACCAACGGTACCGATGCTGTCAAGGAGCCTCCCGTGGAATATGTCGATACCGACCCAATCACCGTCTTCCACGATCCGGACAACTTTAACGTCAAGCACCCGTTGATGAACTCTTGGACGCTGTGGTTCACGAAGCCGCCAAGTGGCAAGGTACGGTTTGCGATCTGGCCACAAGCGGCACACAGCTAACACCATATCAGGGCGACAACTGGAACGACCTTCTCAAGGAAGTCATCTCTTTCGACTCGGTTGAGGAGTTCTGGGGTATCTACGTACGTTTGATCGTCACATTCTCACTCTTCATCTTGTTTACACCCTGATGTCTACCATCTCGCATACGCAACCTTTCTCATTATCTCACAACTGACAGCCGCCTCCGCAGAACAACATCACCCCCACCTCCGAACTGGGCCTCAAGTCCGACTACCACCTCTTCAAAACCGGCGTCCGGCCCGAATGGGAAGACCCGCAGAACAAGCACGGCGGCAAATGGGCCTTCCAGTTCAAAGAGAAGAAGCTTATCAACATTGACGCACTGTGGCTGCACGTTATGCTAGCTGCCATCGGCGAAACACTCGAGGATGAGAATGATGGCGAGGTCATGGGCGTCGTTGTCAATGTTCGCAAGGGTTTCTACCGTATTGGCCTCTGGACTCGCAGCGTCGGCAAACCATTCCCAGGTGGTGGTGAGGGCAAGACGGCCGGTGGCAAGGGCAGGACTACCGAGGAGGGCAGGGAGGTCCTTCTGAAGGTCGGACGCAGGTTCAAGGACGCCCTGGGTTTGAAAGAGAGCGAGGCGGTCGAGTTCTCGGGACACACGGATTCCGCGCACTCGGGGAGCACGAGAGCGAAGGCGAAATTCACCGTCTGAGCCTAGGCTCTTACGGACTGGGTGTCGGCACCGGAATTTCTGCTATTACTCTCTTCTCGGCACCTCTTCCGGCTTTTGCTTGTGGCTCTCCGTGGTCCGACATCCCAACGGACCTTTTCTTCGATGGGCGGCGGCGTTGCATCTGGATATCCCGCAGCAAGCACCAAGCGGTCGTGTGGTAGGTTGAACATGTGGCCCTTCCCCAACCCGCTTGGTTGCTTGCCTGCTTCTTCTGGTTTTCATCATAGGGGGAAAGGTGACGGGATCGCTTCCAAAAGACTAAGCATGGCGTATCGGGATATTCGAGCATATTGCAGCATCTTTTATTTGCTCTACGATACCTTTGCGGGAAGAAGTCTGTGGCTACGGGACAGGTAACACGAGGGCTTCGAGAACTGAGTGAATAGTTGTAAAACTAGGAGAACTATACAAGAGCATTTACTTCATCAGTATGCTTTCAAATGGACTTCTTTCTGAAGTGTGACTTGGAATGTTCATTTTCACGCACGTTATACTATTGAAAATAGCGGTGTAGGAGGGCCACTTGTGGGCCCCAGCGATGTTGTTGGTACAGGCGCTGCACGGTTCGGCGCTTCTTTGCGAAAGAAACTCTGCGCTCCCAAATTTGCCAAACCCTTGATCTTTCGCGGGGAACTTTATCATAGAGCTTTCTCAAACACGTTTAATCCGCAATACCACCACTATAATAAGCTAGGAATAAGTTAAGGCTGCTAAGATATCATGCTAATATATAATATTATAACATGCGACCATAAAAAAGCGATATTTTAAAGATTATAAGTGACGTGTTTAAAGGACGGCGAAATAATTTTTGCTCATGTTCAGCTGGGAAGAGGCGCCGAACCGTGCAGCGCCTGTAAGGTTCAATCAGGAGAACACGTGAACGGATACCTCCCCTCTAGACGAACAAACTATTGTCGCGACCCAGTTCCTATCCAGTGTTTGAACCTAAGCAGGCACCGCTTCAGCCTGAGCCGAGGGCGAGCGCAGCCTGGGCATAAGTCAAGTAGAAGGGAGTCGGTTGATGCAGACTCGTTATGAGCTCTTCCAGGTGGCTGTGCTGCAGAACGCTAGAGGGACTCAGCTGCATTAAAAGCCCGCTGTCCTCCGCTACGCTGCGTTTCGGTTTTTGTGTAATCAAACTTGTTTGCATTGCGGGTCTAAGAACTTCCTAGCTGTTACTAAGACCAGGTAGTTCGTATTCAGCATGTGGTGCCACTTGATGCGTCGCTGTCAATCAAAGTACAAGTCGTTCCGTCGAGCGCACGCCCAAGGTGTCGTAAACGTACGAACCTATTTCTTCGCTACCGGGTACGATGGCTCAGTTAACTCAAGCAGCAGCAGCATGAATACGTTCCCTTAAATGACGCTCAAAATGAGATACGCGTGCTTTCCTTCGTACTGCCACCGAAAGACAACGACTGGAAGAATTTGGACTGCGTCATCAGTAACGTGTCTCTAGATCAGTGCCACCCTGATTTCGAGGAATGGCTCCAGGAAGTCAATAAGACTCACGAAATACCACTCACACTTGCGGAGGTACACCGCCGCTATACAGGCTGGAGGGACAAATTTGCCCAGTACGTCGAAGACCGGGATGAGAACTGGAATCTACAAGAAACACAGTATTCCCGACGAACCACCCCCGGCTCGCGGTTCATTTGGGGCGACTTCGAGGCTTTATCCTACTCTTGGGGAGTAGATAATATGGATGGGATGATACGATTAAATGGAGTCGAAGTCTGTATCTCCTCCAATCTGGAGGCTGCCTTGCGCGCCTTGCGGAACCTGCCCGAGACACTACACGGGATGCGATATTGGGTTGATGCTGTTTCTATCAATCAAAAAGACACGGTCGAACGCAATCACCAAGTAATGCGGATGCAGGAGATATACAGCAAGGCCAGGTCAACTGTGGTATGGCTTGGAGACGAATGCGATGGGTGTGGAACTGCAATCGACATTATTCACAGGTATGGCCAATAAGGTTTAGCACGATACACCCCTGGCGAATGTCCAGAGCTTCTGCTAATGCACTTTCAGGTATCACAACAGCACGGAATCCGAGCAGTCAAAGTGGTATGATGTTATGCCCTTGGAGACACTCCCTGATCTGTTTGCTCGACCCTATTGGCAGCGTGCTTGGATTGTGCAAGAGATTGCCAACAACCACAACGCTACACTGTTCATCTACGGAGAAAAGCAGCTGGCCCGTAGAGATTTGATGGTGGCGGTCCGATACTGCCAAGGCCACATCGATGAGTTAAGAGAAAGGATCAATGCCAAAAAGAAAGCGACATCGAGTGAGCAAGACCACAATCTGTGGACCACGATTGCGAGAGCCGAGACACTACTCTCGCTTGGAAGCGGTGTCACATCGAAGCCGCCCTGTAGTTCCGTTCTAGACTTGGCCAGGCAAGCCAACACTACGGATCCGCGCGATAAGGTGTATGGCTTCCTAGGCCTGCTAGAGGACAAAATAACCTCTAGGCTCACGCCTGATTACGATTCAACCGTCCTTGATGTATATACGGAGTTCGCTATCGCTCTCGTCGATGGCCATCAGAATCTTACAAGTATATTCGCTTGGTGCAATTCTGAGCTTGAGGATAACTGGCCATCATGGGTTCCTGACTGGCGGATGCCGTTCAATCGAAACCACGTGAGATTCCTGAAGGCGCGGGAAGCTGGCAAGAACTCTCGCTGTTTTGCTTCGTTTTCGAGCCAAAACCGGAAGTTGACAGTTCGAGGTTCTAAGGTTGACACAATCTGTTCCTGGAAATGCAAATCTCCTGATCCGCTGAAACCAGACGCTCCCATGCTATCGGAAGACTACAGGTATCCCAGAGCTAGGTATACAGGAGTCAACAGTGATACTTTACCTGAAGCGTTGTGGAAAACGCTTATGCTCGACCACCCCCTCCGGTGCAAAGATGTCGCTTCTGTACTGGAGATTCCTTGGGAGAGCTCGCCTCCAAATGTGGGCACCTATCGCGCACAAGGCCTCCGCAGTTACTGCTTCACGGAAGAAATCTGTAGAACCTTCAACCAATTTCGAACAGCAAACAAGGACATGGACATCTATGGCCGCCCGCTGAAGTCGTTTTTCGGCAACGTCAACCACGGGTACTCGGAGTGGTTATCCAGCACATCACCCCTCAACTTGCGGCTTACCGTTGTCTCTCTTGTGGGTCGGAGGTTATTCACTACGGTCTCGGGTTTCATCGGTCTCGCGCCAGAAATCGCGCAGAGTGGCGATGTCATTGCTGTTGTGCTTGGTTGCAATTTCCCAGTTGTTCTTCGGCCTTGTGGAGATGAATACCGGATCGTAGGTGAATGCTACGTGCATGGATTAATGGATGGTGAGGTGTTTGACCTTGAGAGAGCCGGTGAATGTACCTTCGGGGACATTAGAATTTGCTAGGAGAGAACACTCTGCCGTTACAGCACCGACAGAGGATGTGGCTTGGCCCTTGTACTCATAGGTCAAGTGTACGGGTTCTCGTCTCTTCGTTCTTGTTTCCTCCTGTTCTCTACTGCTTATGCTCTCGCTCTTCCGCGCCAGTCATACAATTCACAGGAGCTCGCGTATTTGCTCCACCCGAGTCACTTTATTACCACGCCGCGGGTCGCGTGACCTTGGCCGCAGACAAGTTAAATCCAAATCAAATAAGCCATACCAACCCGAGAATCCATCACAATCTTGCGACATCCGCTCTTTGCAGTACAATGCAGTTATCAAATAAGCCCCCGGCTCAGCACAAAACAGCTCGGCCTTCCAGAAGACACAACAAACAACTTACTCTTCGGCAGATCGCATCGACTGCGCGCCACCAGAAAGATGACGGTTCCACGGAACGAAAGAAAGGCTTCCTGGATTTGCCCGCCGAGCTTCGCAACAAGGTCTACAGGCACCTTTTTCGTGGTCCTCACCCATACCGCCTGCATCCGTTAGCAGGCACAACAAACCTCAGACCGTTATCGATGGTGAGCGGCATCACGCTCTTGAGCGCTTGCAAACAAATCCACGACGAGGCCAGTTCTATTCTGTACGGCGAGAACGGGTTCCTGTTTGACATACATCTCGACGACAAGCGCAACAGAATCGTCGTGAGCGACTTTCCAAAAGGGTCGGTTTGGCCAGCCCAACGATACCATAAATGGGTACAATGCCTCAGGCTACGAGTAACTGTATCAGCCGAAGGCGCATGGTACCGTCCAAAGGCGCCGCGCCGTCATCAAGAGAATATGCGTGGGCTACGGACCTACTATGAGGACATCTGGGCGGACAAAGGTATGCCATGATTTTTCTAGAGCTTTGCGTGCAACTCCATGTTCCCACACTCACCTGCGCGCTTGCCTTCCAGCTAACACCTCTTTCATTTGCCAGACCTAGCCATCCGCTTCATTGATCCCAAGGACGAGCAGCTCAAGCCGCACCCTCTCACGTTCTCCATGGCGCGCTACGTCCTTCCCATCTTCCTCCCACTCCAGCGCCAGCGTCCCATCGATGTCCAGAACCTCTCCCCAGAAGTAACGTACTGGTTCCAATCCCGCATCCTGCAGTCGAATGCACCCAAGATCTCTCCGACAGTCTCAGCCGCCCTCTAAGGCGGTCGTCTTCTCTTCTCGGTGAGTTTCGATCGCACGGACACTGGGGACTTCGTAGAGCGGGTCTTCCCTCACAGCCCTAACCGGGTGCGAGCCATGCGTCACGAGGAGTTCCAGACCTTCCGGCATCGATTTGAGGATTTTACGTGCAAGGCCGGCTTGGGCGTATTGGGGGGGATGCTGGCCGATGCGGAAGCTGGGGTAGTGGCCGTGGTTGAGCGACCTAAATTCAATGCTGTGTTGTTTCCATCGCGGGATCCGCGTGCGGCTATGTACCAGTATCTTGCATATCTGGAGACACGCGGGATTCATTTGGGGGAGTAGGGATATGAACCAGTACTGCTGTTCGCGGAGGAATCATGTTCGCTATGGCAAGGTAGATGATCCAATAAATGCTTAGTCATGCGTGGAGAGAAGCAGTACTCATGGACGCGTAATGGCATGCGAAAGAAATAAGCGGAAACATCGGTAGAGTAGCAGGATACTAGAGGCGGTCCTTGATTGGCAAAAAACAAGCTAGGTACACAATGGAATAGACTGAGAATGGGAAGCTTACGGTGTACAATGGCCTAGTAGAGCCGCTTTATGAGTTAAGGAGACAACACTCCCTGTTACGCTTACTTAAACTTCATTCTTAAAGTGGGTGCTTCTAAGTGTGATTTTGGATGGGTCTTGGCGGAGAATTGCCTGTACGACCGTGATAACATCTCTTGAAGACGTTTCTTGCCCTTGCAGATGTGGGAGAATAGAGAACCGAAACTGTCTCGTACCGAACGGCGAGGACATGTCAGATTCAATTACCAAAGACTTGTAAATGACAATCTTGTATACTAAGCTGGATTGCATCTCTCATTAGTTACATCTACCTCACACCAGCGCTCAGTTCCGCCGCACCAACCCGCCACCTATCCCGTCGCATTCGCAGGCCGCGACGCGTTCGCCGGCGGATACGTGATGAACATCTGGCTAAAGTTGGTGTAGGAGTACGCGCCCGTCTCTGTGTTGAGCGTCAGGTTCGTCGAGCGCACAGTGCCCTGCTGTAGATATCCCGACTCCACAGACCCGCCCGCAACCGGCCGGCTGAGGTGGTTGGCACCGGCCACGACGGTGAAGTTGGCGAGGCTGATTTCGTACGGGTTGCGTGTGGCGACGGAGGGGCAGCCTGTGTATCTGGTGTTAGTCTCTCTCCGCGATTCCAGCGATATTGTTGCGCAAATAGCGAGGGCTGTTGAGTGATTTAATGTATCAAATCTCTTGGGGTCGGCAATGTGCATCCGGGCAACTCACCAAAGTAGCTTGCGTTAACAGAGTCAGGGCTGATCTGCAGTTCGGTATATCCACGATAGTAACCCTCGCTCCATTGCAACTCGGAGTTATCTCTGACCAGCAGGCGTGACTGGTTGTTGCCGGTAGGAATGGAGCGGCCATATCCGGTCGAAGAAACCGCGGTCACGGCAAACTCGACGCCGATGGCACCGGCCCCCGTGGCTGGGTTATAGTCGGATTCATCGAACCACACAAGATCGCTCACCTGGGAAGTGTCAGCGGTAGATAGGATGGGGCTCAGGGGAGAAGGAATGGGGAAATAGTTAGTCGCTACTTACCCAATTGGCATGAGAGTCTCCTGCCAACATCACATTATTTCCAATATTGTTTTCGTAGAGATGTTGGTATGTCCTGTTCCTGTTCGACATGTAACCCTACGGCGAAGAACATCAGCGTAGTCCTGGTATGGATTCAGAGCAAACCTTACATCCCACTGGTCGCTGTTGTATGGATTCTCGAACGTCCCAAACCAGGACGAAACGTTTACTCGCGAGAAGATGATCTGGTTGCCAATGATACGCCACACTGCGCCACGCTCCGCCGACCTCGAGAGTGAATTGTAGAACCAGTTCTCTTGATGAGAGCCCATAAGTGTACGGCCAGCATCGTTCGATATCTCGTCAATGTAGTTGTTATTCCAGCCTAGTTGCACCCGTGAGTTTCTGATTTGTACTGGCCGCCATGCTACGGGACTTACCCAGCGTCGTAATGCTGCGGTCGTAGTTGCGCGTGTCCAGCATGATCAAGTCAAAGAGCTTGCCCATCGAGAATGATCTCCAGATACGAAGATTGTCATCCATATCGACTTGGCTAGGGTACATTGTCAGCGGATTGCGGGTTCAGAAATGGAGTGGCTGATGTGCTAACCGAATAGGCATCCATTCGAAGTAAGCACGTACGGCGTTCATTTTGCGCTGATCCACGCTGACACGTCCACGAGTGACAAAGGACTCCTCGGTGTTGTTCAGTCTGCTGGAGCCGTCTCTGTAGGCATTGTTTGCAACCTCTGACATGCCAACTTAGAATCTTGCGTTCTCTGCTAACGGAGCCTTGTAAAATTCTTACCATGATCATCCCAGACAGGTATCCATGGATACTGGCGATGCGACAACAAAAGGTCGAGATCTGTGCGGTACTGACGCCAAATACATGAGTCGCCAACTTTTCAGATCATGTGCTTGGCCTTACCTGAGCTAGACGAGTTCTATAGTCGTACAGCGTGAAGATCTCGCGAGGAGGGTTTGAGGCACGCGGGTCCCTCCCGAGGACACCCACGGAAGTTTCGTAGATGTAATCGCCAAGATGTACCTATGATACCGTTATGACTGCAGCTTACGTAGGATTGGGCGCAGATGATACTCACAACATAATCAACGTTGTCCTTTCGAGCAGCATTACCGTAGGCATTGAAGTATCCGGTGGCTGCGGAAGCGTCAGCGCAGTTTTGTGCCGGTATGCTACTCAAACGCACGATAGTTGCTGCATGAGAAGACCGCGAGGCCGATCGAGGTAACATCGTCGTCAGCAGCGGGGCTCGTCTTTGTTCTTCCCAAGGGGCTGGTTCTGTTCGATCCGCAGACATTGAACTGATAATAATACGTCGTATAGGGCTCGAGGTTCTTGGCCTCGATCTGCAAGCAGTAAGTATCTTAAGCAAGGAACAAAGCCATGGCCAACGCATACCTTAACGGTATAATCAATATCAGAGGTTGTGTATGCAGTGCCATGATCAGCAACGTCTGAGAACCCCTGATCCCCAGCAACGCGGTATTCGACGCAAACGGGATTGGAGGAGGCTCTGATGTACTGCTCGGTGTCGTGGTTGTATAGCGGCACGGTGCCTTCCACTGTAGCGTTCGATCTATCGTTTTCAAACATCGGGGAGATCCTCGTCCATAGGATGACCGAATGCGGGTAGGGGTCGCCCGAAGCCACGCCATGTGTGAAATTCAGCTGATTCGGGTCCCAAGAAGACGAATCCGTTCTGGCTTGGAGACTACGCTTCGCCACTTTTGGAACATCGATTCCCATGCTAGGATGCTTGGACGATGGGCTGCGGTAATTGAGATTGCCATGATAGCTGGCAGAGGCAGCTACCGCCAGCGAGAGGCCTGTGACCAGGTAAGGTAGCATCTTGACAGAAGCAGAGTTCAACCTGGGTAATGGTCGAAGGTGACGACCGTTTCAGCGGCGCTGAAGGTGGCTGCATCTTATATCCATCAGGAATCCAGCTTCGTTCGTCCGCAACCCCAAGGTTTCCTTGAAGTTTTACCCTGTGTCAAATCCAGTCCGCGCCATTGGTCCGTCGGAGTGTTCTTCCCGACGAAGTGCATATTAAAGGCTAGAAAGCATCAAGAAGAAGTGCTGGAAATCCACGGGAAGAGAAGTTGAAGAAGAATCCCGTGGCTGCTGCAACAACGTGGATTGGACGATAACCTTTGCGACGCGCTGCAAGGCACGCAAGGTACTTCGTCGGCTTGGCGGCCTGCCGTCTTGGCGTGCGGAGAAAAAAGTTGAAAGTGACGATGAAGGTTTGACCTCTACGGAACAGGAGAAGGATAGAAATGGCATGTTTACCCACAGTGAGGAACATGGGTATGTTTAAGATTACGAGAAGACAGCCAGCCGGCGCGGACACTCTCACCGGTGAAAAGGGCTACAGACATGTGTAGTGTCTCCACGAACTTGATCTGGAGCTGTTCCAGCAATTGCAAGCACTACTTTTTGGTTGGATGCACCTGCTCTGTAGAACTACCTACGCCGAAGTATTGGACGGCTTTGCTCTCTATCTCCGAGTATTAGTATGGCGAACGAACACCCGTCGGGCCTCGAGTGCGGTTTGAACATGCGTAGTCGCTTGCTTTGCACACGCCCAGAGTAACCCTGAAGAGATCAAGACACTTCGTGCGATGTGAAACATTTGTTGCGGGATCATAGTCTCTTAGATGATCCCAAGATACCATACACGTGCTCTCCTTTCACCATGCGGCAGATGGAGACACAGTGCGGGCTAGACCTGTTCCTGGATTACGTTCCTGAGCAGCATTGTTTGAGGTGCACCTTTGGTCCCGTACGTGTCTTCGGTGGGCATGAGCCACTTTGGTGAGTGACTTGGTGAGTGACTTGGTGAGTGACTTGGTGAGTGACTTGGTTGACATGCGCTGTCTGAACCAACCTCAGAGCCTGACGCGCGGAAGCGGCGCAAGCCGTCATCAGCCTCACAACTCAGCCCATGCGAAACATCCGTGCACGAGATATTCAAGACATCCAAGACATCCAAGACATCCGCATCAGCAATATTAATTACATCCATCTCCACCACCGAAAAGCTCCCCTCTCCATCTAGAATTCCCAGACTCTTCTACAGCCACTTGCCATCATGGTCGCCGACACAACCTACTACGATGCGCTGCAGGTGCCGCCGAACGCCTCTGACATCGACATCAAGAAAGCGTACCGCAAACTCGCGATAAAGCTCCACCCCGGTAGGCTGCGCGCCCGCCTGGCAACAGGCTGCCCTAAAAACATCCACACATACTGATGCGCTTCTACAGACAAGAACCCCGGCGACGAGTCTGCGCACGAGAAATTCCAGGCTGTAAGCCTAGCCACGTCGCCGTCATTACAGAGCGCTTTCTGATGCATCACGATAGATAGGAGAAGCATACCAAGTCCTCAGCGACCCAGACCTGCGCGCGGCATACGATAGATATGGCAAGGAAGCGGGCAAGCCGAGCGGCGGCTTCGGTAGGCACTGCCGATGCGCTTGACAGCGGACAGCAGCTGACAGCGTCCCAGAGGACCCAGCAGAGTTTTTCACCATGATCTTCGGCGGCGACGCTTTCGTAGACTGGTGCGTCTCACCAGATCTCCGCTCGTCCACCCCTAACCACCCCCTGCTAACCCGTCGCGTGGTCACAGGATCGGGGAGATTTCACTCATGAAGGACCTAACAAAAACCATGGACATCACCATGAAAGAGATGGAGGAGGAAGAGCTCACCGCCGCCGAAGCCGTTGCGAACGCCGAAGCCAAAGCCGCCGAACAGACCGCCGCACCCGGCGCGACCACCGCCTCCGCCAGCAGAACGACCCCAGTACCGCCTCCGCCCACTGTAGAAACACCCGCCGAAACCGCATCCGCCTACTCCGGCACTACTGCCGCCCCCTCCGCACGCACGCCTTCGCCGTCAAGATCAGGGACCAGCACACCGCGGCCGAGAGGTATACCGATACGGCCAGCCATAATGGACAAATCCGAAGAAGACGCTCGACTAGAAGCCGCCGGTGTAACAGACGCCGAAAAAGATCTGCGCGCCAGAGAGAAGAAGAAAGGCGGCCTAAGCAAAGAACAGCGCGAGGAGCTGGCCGCCTACGAGATGGAGCGCAAGAAGATCCGCGACGAGCGCGTAGCAACACTCTCCAAGAAACTCATCGACCGCATCAGCGTGTGGACCGAGACGGACAAGAGCAAAGACGTGACGGAGGCCTTCCGCTCTCAACTCGCGCACGAGATCGAGAACCTCAAGATGGAGTCCTTTGGGCTGGAGATCCTGCACGCGATCGGATACACGTACCTCTCCAAAGCCTCCGCGTTCCTCAAATCGCAAAAGTTCCTCGGCATCTCCGGCTTCTTTGCGCGCCTAAAAGACAAAGGCACGCTAGCGAAGGAAACCTGGAACACAATTTCGACGGCGATCGATGCGCAGATGACGATGGAGGAGATGGCGAAGGCGGAGGAGAAAGGCGGAGAGGACTGGACGGACGAGAAAAAAGCCGAATTCGAGAAGAGGGTTACGGGGAAGATTCTCGCGGCGGCGTGGAAAGGGAGCAAGTTTGAGATTCAGGGCGTGCTGAGGGACGTTGTGGACAAGGCGCTCTATGATAAGAGCGTTAAGCTGGACAAGAGGATTGAGAGGGCGCATGCGTTGATCATGATTGGGGAGATGTTTCAGAAGGTATGTTGTCCCGTTTTTGTTGTCATTCCTCCTGCTGTCCTTTCGAGTTGGCGTCCATGTTGGAGTGCCTAGGCTGACAATCATTGCACAGGCCGCGCGAGACCCAGACGAAGAAGGCGACTACATGGCCTTCGAGCAGCTCATGGCCGAAGCAGCTGCCAAGAAGGACAAAGACAAGGACAAGGATAAAGAAAAAGAGAAAGCGGAGAAGAAGAGCAAGAAGTCGAAGCGGGAAACAAGTCCTTCTTCACGTTCGCACCGACATTCGCAGTCGCACTCAGCATCATGATCCGCATAGGACACGGAATTGGTTTGTGTTAAGCTTAGTTTGGGGATTTACGGGTCGCGAATTCCTTGGAGATTGCCTCTATGCGGGTTAATGGAGAGCTGAGCGCATTGCGGTTCTTGTTTGGGCATTGTTATAGACTGGCGCTTCGAATAGGCGTGACATGTTTTTATTGTAGCATTACAGCGGATTTTGTTTCGGCAGCGCGGTCTTTTGAGAGTAAATGCATGGTTGGATGAGTATAGAACATCCAGCGTTTCCCTCCTCTTGTATATCTGAGCCTCGCCGTTACTGGATCACTTTAAGGTGGTGTCCAGTCGGTATTCCGATCACCCCTGTTGGCGTCACTCTGCTGAATCCGCCAAGGTCACAGTACCGGCCTACGCTGGCACAAGATGCATCCTTCAGCTTCCCCCTGCGCCTACTAATCTTACAGCATATTCCTTCCGGGGCACTTCCCACCCCGAACCTCACGGGGGCCACCCTGAACTCCTCCCCTGGTCTGCTCCTGTGCTCATCCTCCACCCCACCACCCCTACAACTCCCCCACCTTCGCCCCTTCAATCTCAACATCAACCTCCACAACCCTCGCCTCACCCGCCTGTTCCCTCCTCGCCCACTCCGCCTCAACGCTCATCCTCTCACTCAACGCCGCCAGCGCCGCCCCGGCCTCCCCAAACGCCGCAAAGCCCGCGGGGCGGCCCCTCTCCGTCACAAAGACCAAATCGCTCGCCTCCCTGCGCGTCTGGACGTGGTACAACGCGGCGCCGGCGACCAGACTGATTAGCCCGGCGGCGAAGGTCGCGAAGGTCACGAGCACGGAGGTCGGAGTGCGGTAGGCGCCGGAGACGGTGGAGGGGGCGAGGGCCGTGGAGGTTTCGGGTGGGTGCGCGGGGATGATGTGGGTGTGGTGGTCGTGGATGTAGCCTGCGCCGGGGAGGGAGTGGATTAGGTGCTGGGGTAGGTGGAGCAGGGTTGTTAGAGGACTGGAGGGGGCGGGTGGGGTCCAGGGGAGGGTGATGCCCTTTTCGGTGCGCGCGGTTTCGAGGGCTGCTGGGTCGCTGGAAAATTTGTTGAGTGAGAGGACATCTGCTGCCACGACGTCCCTTGATCCGAGGAGACTCCGCCTGCTCCGTCGAACGTAGGCTTCTAGCCGTAGATACTTGCTTCGCAGCGTCTCGGCCAGCCACGGCTGCGGGAGCGGCGGATACAGCATCAAGCTCAAGTAACCCAGCGCCAGACAGTCGAGGCTCGTGACTCCCTCATCTTCCTCGTTAAGCAACCAAGGCTTCTCGCCCAGCAAATCGTTCAGCGGCGCTAGCGTCTCCGCAGCCAACCCATCGAGCTTAAATCTCGTCGTATACTCCGGCTTCTGCAGCGCCCCGAGCACGCCGCTTCGCTTGCCAAGCGGTATAACGCCTGGTCTGGCGCCAGCTTCCAGCTTCTTCCGCTCGGATGCATAGGCCCCGCTGATGCTCTGGTTATTGTCAGGCTGTCCCAACGGACTATCGTCGATATCCTCGACGTCCAATCCTTGAAGCCCAAGGTGTGCGGTCAGCGCTCTGGCGGCGCGCCGGCGAGCGGGTGGGATGGTGTAGTTGAGATGCGGTGGGAGGATGGCGGTCCAGGCGGAGGAGGTGCAGTGGTAGTAGTTGGCGTGGGTCGTGTATAGCGTCAGGGCGAGAAGGGGCGCGGCATGCTGAGCCAAAAGCGCTATATAGGCTATGCTGTCGGCGCGTTGGCTGGGGGTGAGGCTCCCATCAGGGTCGACAGAATAGGCGGATCGGTGTCGGAGGTAGTGTATTATGCTGTTGAAGCCTGCTGCCCATGTGTCACCGTCACGGAGAGCTGGAAAGTCTTCTACGGGGTCAATGATTAGCCTGCGTGCAAGTATCCAGGGCAGTCAAGCTTGATGCTCTCACTGTTCGGACTCAGGGAGGTGTCGTAGTCCGCAATGAGTGTCCACTCGCCACTCGGTATAGTTTTGCTCAGGTACGCGACTGCTGCTATGCATTCGGGCTCGATAGAGGGCAGGCCGAATGCTGGGCCCCAGACATGAAGCTCTAGCATTACACTCCAAACTTGGAGTAAAGAGGCGAGTTCGGTTTGTTAGATGGCTCCTTCTTGAGTTCTAGTCTATCTCGGTGGCGCGAAGGCGAGCGATGTGGCAGGTCGTTCCGTTCTGTAGGGGATGCTGGTCGCAGACAGCTTCGTCTCATCTTCGCTGAAGCTGTTCGGCAAACCTTCCCTCTTCAAACTCCGCAACACCGTCATCCTCCAAAACTCCAGCAGCCCCCGAATCTACCCCTTCCACTCCCAGCAGCTCGCCTCCACCCCATGGCACCTACCCGCCGCTACCTTCGTATAACAAAGTATTCTGTCCTTGAAGTCCGCGTCTACCTCGACGAGCCGTCTCAGCAACAGTCGTGGCTGCTACGCTCGAATGATCCCGCCCTTCCGCGCGTCATTGAAGCAGTCCGGCCGCTTGTGCTGCCGAAGCTGCGCGAGGAAAATGAGCGCGCCAAGGGGAAGAAAGGCGGGAAGGGAAGGGGCGTGAAGGATGTGGTTACCGGAGGTGAGTGCTTCGTGGCTGGAGGTTATGCGCCGGCGCGCATGGGTGCCTCTTCTATGGGCAGAGGCGCACTAGTTTTTACCAAATGCTATGACAGAGGCAATGGAGTGTGCTGAGTGCTGTACAACGAGTGACCACCATCACGCGTACTATCAGGTAGCTATTTAGGCTAATATATTCCCGATCCATCAGACGACTTCGAAGTCTCCGTCTTCCTCACCGAATACTCCACGCGGCACTCCCTTCTCACTAGGTCTAAAGCCTTCGCCGAGAAGCCGCGCATGCGTAGTAACTCCGGCAAATTGACCGGTTGGCTGACGAGCGGAACGAGCGAGGCGCCGGTGACAATCAGAGACGAGAACGACGAGGACAATAACACCGTCAGCCTGCTCGATATACCGGAAGCGCCACAAGATGAAGCCACAGACGCGGACGATATGCTGGAGCGGCCATCAAGGAGGGGCAAGCGGCGACGGGAGACTGCAGCAGACGATCTATTCGTGCACAGCTCCGGTTCGGATGACGAGGACGCCTTTCAGACGCAGCGGACCCCAGCATCAAAGCGTAGGCGGCGCCGCGGAGGACCTGTGGCAGGCGCTGATCCGACGTCCGAAGACGGGGACGAGGAGACGAACAGCGACCCCGGCAAGGATCACAACGACAAGAAGAAGCTCGCCATGAAGACATCGTACGATGGCTTCAGCATATACGGGCGCATCCTTTGCCTAGTGGTCAAGCGTAAAGGCCACAGAGTTGGAGCTGGACGAGCTGGTGGCAACAACGCCGTGCCTAGCAACAGCCAGCAGGCAATGATGGAGAACTGGGTGAGCACGCAAGCGGTTAGGGAGCATGGTGGAGACGAGGAAGATGAGGGATGAGACCAAGGAGCAGGGTTCGCGAGATGCAAGCCAACATGCACGAAGCTCAACAGCGCTTGGAACCAATCTGCTGGAAATGAAGGCGTCTGGTGCTGCGGGTCAGCCGACGGGGACACGGAGGTCGCTAGAGCGTGCAGGCGCTTCGCGATGGCCACGTGGAAGTGTGCTTGTGCCATCCTGGCAGCAGGTTGTGGCTGCAATGTGCCGCGTTAGCTTGTCCAAGTTGGCGGGATATGCTCACTCTTGGACGCCACCGATGGGACAGGGAATATGTATCGAGAGCCGAGAGGATGACTCGAGGTGAGAAGCCAGCAGCTGATGCAACAAGTGGTGCCCTCCCATCTCGCCATTGTTTCTTTGGCGTACAGAGTTGGCATCGTGTTCGAAAGCCACGCGGCTGCTCCGTGCCACTAATGCCGAATATTGATGGCGGCGGCAAGCGAAACCGTTGCGTCAATTTCGCTCGCCGTTGACTTTTATACGAGTCGGTCTTCTAGATTCCAATACTCTTCTTCGGTTAAGCATGATAATGTTGGACCACGATGGTGGGCTGTGTTCGTAGCATTTGCCCTTCATGGAGCAAATAAACGTCAACAAAGCTGCCAACCGAAGTCATGATCTGGATGAACAGCTGGGGGTCCGACATTTCTTGAACGTTCGTTAATGAAACGACCTCGGAAAGTCCCGATGTTGTTTTGTTTGATTGCTGTTGAATGAATCTCTTGATGCAAATTGTGGTAGCACTTTCGCGGTGATCTTGTTCCGGAATTGGGTGTAGCGACTTTACTGCTCCTTTTTACAACCCCTTATCCTACCGCGCTACACTTGGCGCAGGCATGTGATGCTCGCAAAAGCTTCAACAGCTGTGGAGAATTGATGCAGGGGACAGGCAGTAAGACGCAACTCAATGATGTCCGTGTGACCTGCAACCATGCAGAGACGGTGAAGCAGTGGTATGGCCTGCCAATCCTCCGTGGTGTTGTATCGGGATCGCAACGGACTATCAGGGTTTCTGCTACTGCGTCATACCGCGCTGCTTCCACTTCCAAGAATGTCGTCTTGCCAGGATGATGCTTCAAGGAAGAGAGCGGTGTACGTCGATCAAATCCCCGCAATTGATTCACGCAATTTCCTTTCGGTAGTCCAGAGGTAAACCGAGCGGTTGGGAAGTTTTCAGAGATTTGCTGAGGCTCCTTCACCGTGCGGGCGCCCGTCAGAAAACGGCTGTTTCATGTCTCCGCAAGTCTGACGCGTGGAAGGTTCGATGAATGTCACACAAGAGCCCCTGGCGATCTTCTCCTGACGTTCCGCCACTCATGCAGGTACCGCGACCGAACCACGGGCCTCGTCTTGTTGTACCACTGGCATCTTTTCTCCGCTAGTTCGGCGATTTTCTAAGCTGCATGATAACGGTCCTCAGTTCTGCTTCCCCATCCTTCTGTGCTACTCTACTGCAGGAGACACCATAGCGCAAGGATATGGTGGCAGCCGGCTGATGGCTCCAGGTATGACAGATACAGCTGTGCGATTTGCAGGCGTCAGCTGGACTGCCGGTGTGCTTGGTTACGCGCGTAAAATTCTGCAGCCGCACAGAACTGGCCTCTTGGGCGGCGTGTCATATCTGATGCCCAAGTTTGGTAAGAAATCTGTTGCTTAGATGGACGATCTGCGAAGGGTGAGGTGGTTTGCATGCCGAGGTGTCCAAGCCGCCGCGACGATGTGATATCCCTGTTGATTGGATGATTGTCTCATACCGCAGTCCTTTACTGGCGGACAGCAGTGTGATTCAGGTCGGAGTGATGACCGGGCACAGTTTTATGAGAAGATCAACGGCTGGTCGTCCCGCAGAAGATGCCGCTTGTGTGCAAGAAGGACGAGGCCGTCCACGAGGCTGAAGCCTCACGCAGCAAAGCGAAAGGAACAACTGTCAGGATTGTTCCAGGCAGCAGGCAACGCAAGCCATGAGATACTTTACAGCCACAAGTGGCTTTGGCTCCCGGCGTCTCCGGACGGCTGGGAGAACAGGAGAGCGCAGCAGACTGCAAGGGATACCGCAGAGCGAGATTGACCCAGTGTCCGAAGAGGACAAGCGCATCTCTGTATCATTTCCACGTCGGGTAGCTCAGGGTGAAGATCCCAAGCTGGCCTGGCAGAAAGCGCGGAGAAGGCGCGTAGAAAACATCGTTTAATGACAGCGTCGCGTTCCTTTTACGCCTGAGTCAGGAGCAGGAAAATCTAACTATGTCCATAATCCAAGAGCCGAGCAAAAAGAAGGCTTTTGCGCCGTCGGGGAACCGGTGGATGTCGTTTGGCGGCTGGCGTTGACCGGTAGGTTGAGCAAATAGGAGAGTCGAAGACAGGAATGCCTAGACGCACCCTTGCCTGTTCCTGGATGACACGCGATGGGATCCATGGTTGTGTTCGCACTCGCGAACGGCCACCTCGTGATGCCTCGCCGGAAAATAGGCGTTGCAGTTCTGCATGGGGTTCCGTAAAAAACCTGATGCTCCGAGCGATCGCGGACCTGCTGATGTCACTCGGTGTTTTCTTATCAGCCGCCGTGCCGGGTGCGAGGTGAATGACCGGGCACAATGCTTTCCCAGCGTTTCAGGCGGGCCAAAAAGTGCACGCTGATCGCGGTGATCGAAACCTCAGTCGCGTCGAGGGGGCGATGAAACAGGCGAAACAGGCAAAATTGGCTCATCCCCGAGCTTTGCGCTGCCAATCCGGGATGTGCGATCTGCCTCGGCCGCATGCACGGCTCAGGGAGGGCCTCAGCCTTCCATCAGCCTCGAGCTGGGGGGGCACGGGGGCGTTGATGAAGCACAAAGAAGAGCAATTAGGCAGCGGCAAGGTCTTTCCTTTCCAGGTTGGCGGGATGTACGCCTCAGCTTCACCGCTAGGACCATGCTCTTCGCATGATTACACCATTGTGTAAGACGAGCTGCTAAAAATTAGTATGACTGTCGATGACATTTCACCTTCGCTGCTGCCCGACTGGCCATAAATATCACCATCATCTCCCCAGCGTCCACACCTTCTGTTTCTCTGGACAAACCAGTTTCGCTGCACCACTCTACCACTGCTCACTCTAAACTCCACATTCCAAACTCAGGCTCTCATCCTCTTGCCTCTGCAGCCACCCACCACATCTCGGAAGCATACTCAGCCAAGCTACATCATCCCTCACAATGCCTCAATATACCAGCTTCCCTCCCTGCCCTGGCCCGCCTCCAACAAGGCCGCTGCCTCCGGTTCCGACCAAATAGCCTTCGACATCGCGACAACGCCCATCTACATCGCCTTTGGCGTTCTCTTATCGCCCGGTGCTATGGGTTCTACTCTTGACTCCTGTCACTGCTACCAGCAATTCTCGAGCTTTGCTTGCGGACAGCTTGCTAGCGTTTCACCAACGATGAGGGGCAGAGGCCAGTCTCACTCTGCAACAAATCCTCATTCGCAGATCGATCCGGCCCTCGACTAGCACCTGGACTAAATTTACAACACCACGTGCCGCTCCTTCACCTCAGACGTGCATCGCGTTTCCGTCCCGCATTGCATACCGGATTCTTCTTCCAGCGCTTATTGGCTACCATCTCTGTTACCCGCGGTCACGAGTCGCTCCTGCACGCCACCAAAATCTGCCGCCTGTCAAGGCCGCGCGAACGCTTCCAACGTCTGCGCCAGCTTCTCATCCACTCCCACATTCGGCGCCAGGCACAGCCCGCTCACCCACCCACACACCTTCACCGCTTCCGCTTAGAATTTCCTCATCGATGGACTATTTCGTCACCGCTGGCTCGGTTTCTGTCCTGTACAACTCTTGTAATCGTACTCTCCGACGTCTTTCGGACTATTTTGCCGCGCATAGCGCGAAGGATATGTTGCAGCTTGGCAACTGGGAATGGGAAGCATAGATATGGGAGTTTGGGTTTTGCCTTTGACCTATCAGCGGTTCAGTTTCACAATACCCGGGATACGCCCACAGACTATTTGGTTCATTCTTGTCCACATTATGTTTGGTTCTTGAGGACCTACCTCCTATCTAATTCAACGAGAAGTCATCATGCGGTACTGACTTCATGATTCTACCTCCACTTGTTCCAACTCACAATACTGTATGTGATTGTCCCCCTAAGGACCAGCAATAATAGACCGCCCTGTAATCTTTGAACCCGACAGTGGCCACACAGGTTGCACGCGCTTGTCGTGAATACCACACTCATCCGCTCCCAAACCTAGTGCCCCGCAAACGGTTGGAACGCAATCCTTCGCCCCATGCCGCGACTCCTTCAAGGCTGTGATTCTCTCGCATAACGCTCGCACAATCGGCCCTATTTGTAGGTGCCTGACCGTCCCCCCGTCAGCATCGTCAGCGTGCCTCAGCTCTCGTTCCAGCGACACCATTCGCTCCCCTGTCCAGCCCCCACGCATGGCCCCGCGTCTCCCTTGCAATCCACGTGGACACCCATGCCGCTCAGCTGCGGGATTTATTCCCAGCGTCTGAGGCCAGAACTGCCTACTAGGTGCCGCTTCAGCTACGGAATCTGCAAATGTAACAATAGTTACCTATCAGGCGTCCCCCTTAACCTCGACTAGACGGGCAGCAACTTGTTATTTCGACGTTACGCGTCGGCATGCAGGTTTTGGATCCTTCGAATCCTCTCGTGCGTCCGTACTCAAAGCTCGCTCAGATTGCCTTGCACTCAACGCGAAACTGCTCAGCCTTGCACATCACCTTATCACTTGGTCACCACTTGGATGCCTGACGCGGAACGACGTTTCTGGCATGCAGTCCTTTCTACACTTATGGAATGAGACAGGGCAGCAGGAGCTATCCAGTCCCTGAACAACTAGGGTAAGGTGATCCGCGCCCTCTGAGATGCAGACGCGGACCTGTGCAGGTACGTGGGGATGCTTGCTGGTACAGCGTGCCTGAGCCTTGTGGTGTGTATAGAGGTAGGGCTTCCCCGGGACGCCGAAATTTTATATTCTATTTTTTCCTATGGCCAGTGTCCTTGAATTACTCTGCAACTATATTCGGAGCAAGTTCCGGTGAAGGACTTCTTGGGAGATTTCCAGTGGAAACTCCGGTCTGCGTCAGCCGTTGCTGCTACTCACACCGCTTTGCTTGTTCCAGTCTGTTGAAACCAACTCACTGTACGTATGGCATCAATCGTGCCGTTAGAACGGATTCGACAGTACAAAAACTGAGATTTCAGGTAGGCACTATACTACAGACCACATTCATCGTTCCTTTCTCTTGCATTCTGCAGCGTGGTATTTCCCTCATGATGGGCTTCCTTAATCGCGTCCAAGTTTTGCTGGCACACTTCCTGGAGCTCGTGACTGCCATGGCCCTACGAGCGCAACTTGTGTGTTTGAGGTCCTCTTACGTGTCAAGCATTGCTGTGTCATCTGCAGGCAGCATTGACTTGTGCCGCTCACACAAGAAACTTTTTCTGAGGTGCATTCACACTTTCCACTCCGCTTGCCTTCACGCCTGTATGCAGAGTCTGGAGCAGCATCACAGCGGGTCCGGACATCCCGGTGCTATGATTAATGACTCTCACTGGGCAACTGCGTTGGACGCGAAATCTTGCTTCAACTTCTCAACAGAACATGATCCAGAACAGCTCCTCCAGCCAGCCACTTGATGAGTGACTTGGTCCGGCCCGCCCCAGTGCAGGTGCAGCAAACATGCACTCCACCACTTCCACGAAAGCGCTCAACCCCTGCTAAACCAAGCGGCATTAGTACCACTTGAACCATGCAAGGAGCGAGCAGGAGTTGGCAAACCCTCTTTCCTTGACAACATTTAACTAAGCTTTCGGCGTTTCCGAAAGCCATGCAGTACCGACGCTTTCATGCTTTAGGTTACAATGTGAAATACGCACTGCCCCCACCAGCATGCTCAAGGCCATAAAAGAAGCTAATATCTGCACTTAGGTCCGATGATATGGTAGCATGACCGTTATGTTTCATTTCCAAATGCGCGGTTATATTTGACTCACATTTCTGCTCGAGCTTCTTATAAGAGCAACGCATGAGTTACAAGGTGCGACATTTGCAAAGGTCCAAGCTGTGTTAGCCCGCTTAAATTCATCTCAGGATGTGATGAGAGCTTGCGGGTTTGTTCCACGTCTGGTTGAACACGGAGGATAATCAGTCCCACCATTGGTATGCGACTGGCTGCAATACACTCGATTTCTCCAGCACGCACCCAAGGTACCAGACAAACTCCTTTCCCCTTCGAACCCAATGAAAACGAAAAACATAACCCCAAGCGGACTACCCAAAACAGCAAATCCACTCCAACCCTCCTCCCGTGAGCCCGTACTATCACCACAACGCCACCCAAATCTAACCAATCCCCGAAAAGAAAGAACCCCATCCCAGGCCCCCTACGTTCCCCCCTGACTCCTCAGCCTCCTCCCAACCCCCAGCCCCGCCCCCGGCCCCACCGACTTCCCCAACTCGCCCCCAAGCGGCAAATTCTCCCTATCCACGCCTCCAATCCCCGCGACAGTCATCCTGCCCGCCTTCTTCGTCGGCAGCCTGCTCTCCTTCTCCGGTCCGGGAACCGTGGTCCCGCGTTTGAGGAGCGGTGGCGCGATGGCGGCTGCGACGGGCGTCTTGGGCGCGGAAGCGGTGGGGGAGCTTTGGGTTGTCGCGGCGGCGGCGGCGGCGGCGGCGGCGGCGGTTGGGAGAGCGTTGACGTCGAGTTCGCGGAGGCTGTTTGGGACGGATGCTTGGCTGGCGGAGGAGCTCTGGGGGCGCGATTGGTTTGGTGGGGCGGGAAGGAGGGATACGGCGTCCTCGTCCTCGTCCTCGTCCTCGTCCTCGTCTGCAGCAACGGCAGATCGGGCGTCGGTGAAGACGGTGCCTTTGGTGGGACTGCGGGATGGCTCTGTAGCAGAATTCGAGCGCCCGCGGAGGCGGGAGATCAGGACATCGTGGCTTTCCGTTCGCGGCAGGGACAGAGGAAAGGCGTATTGGGTCCGCTGGGGCGTCTCGCCTGTGGGCTGGTACTCCATGAGAGCTTGGTGAGCGATGTCTTCGCGGAGACTGCGGAGGGGTTGCCGGATGTCTGCGTCGGCGGATAGGGCGGGAAGAGTGGAGTGGAGCTGGCCTGTACGGGCTTCCATGTCGGTGCCTAGGTCCTGGATGCGGGAGAAGGAGGTCGTGAAGTGGTCGCCCACGCCTGTATAGGAGGTTTGCACGGCGGAGGAGAGGGAGGAGAGGGAGGAGACATGAGCGGCGTGGTGAGCATCGTTCTGGGCGCGGACCCGAGCCACGATATGGTCGAGAGACTGGAGCTGCGTGTCCATGTGCGACATTTGGTCGGCTACGATGCGGACGGTGTTGTCGTGCACGGAGGTAGTGTTCTGGCGGAGGGAGGTGGTGTGGTTGTTGGCAGATGCAAAGTCCGCCTTGATCTTGGTTTTCACGTTATCTCGAGACTTCAGGATGCCGCCGACGATGTCCTTGGATTTGTTGGTCCAGTCGTTCATCCCCTGGCAGTAAGTCTCCTGAGCCTTCGCGTGATCCACATTGGCTGACCCTATGCTTCCACCAAGCGCGCGAAGCTGGCCGTCTATCCTGCTCTCTTGACCATCTACAGCTGCTTTGATGAGTGTGGTGATCTGTGTGAGCAAGGTTTGACGCTCCTTCTCGGCAGACTCTTTTTCGTGTGCCATGAACCCGATTAGATGATCTTGCGTTCGCTGATTCGCGGCAACGAGCTCCTGGTTTGCTATAAGTATCTGCTGCCGGAGTGAATTCGCCTCGTCTTGCTGTTGGTTTAGTCTTTTGACTAGATCATCAAAGGTGCTCTTAAAGTCTCGTCCAAGTGAAGCGTAAGAGGAATGAATCTGAATGTAGGTCAGCAAGCGCTGTGCAATCTGAAGCTGACAAGATCGTCGTACCTGTGTCTGGAAAGCGTCTAGCTCTGTCATGATACTAGCAGAGATCCTCTGAGCGGCGCCCGAGAGATCATTCAGCCCAGCCCCAACTTTCTCCTTCACGTCTTGCCGCAGAGTCTTGATCTCCTCTAAAACCTCATTCATATCGTCTCGTGCTTGTGCAGTTTGCTCGTTCACCTCCGTCTCGGATTTCTGAAAAGCCTGAACCTTATCCTGCAAGAACGACTGTGAAGCGTGAAGCTTCTGTAGCTCATCTTGAACGAAGCTCTGCATTCGTGAGGCGAGACTTGTCATAAGATGTTCCTGCTGCGACTGGAGCATCTGAATCCGGTCTTCGACCAGGAGAGTAGTATCGGAGACCTGTGCCTGGGAAGAACTCCACCGTCCTCGATTGACAGATTGCATATCTGATTTCCGCCGAATCTTGGAGTGTAGGCCGTCGATATCTGTTGTTGTCCTGCCTAGACTGGAGATGAGATCCTGACCGATGGATGTGAGCTTATCTTCTGTGTGCTCGTGCGCTTTTCGCAGCGTGGTTTCCTCGGACAAACTCTGCCGCGTGTGTGAGAGTACCACTTCGGTCTTCTCCAGCAAGCTCTTCGTCCCATCAAGCACCATCTTCGTCGCTTCATTGTCTTTCTTGAGAACGTTGAAGTTACTGGTGAGCGAGAACAGCTCCTGAACCTTGTTCCGCAGATTGGTCTCCATGGTTTCTATCTTGTCGCGCTGTTCCTCGCTTAAGATCCTTCTTGACTCGCTCTGGGTTGTAATCTCTTCGTACGATTCCGCTGTCAGATACACTCCATTTCGCTGTCTCGTAGCAATCAACTCGCTCTTCAGCTTTTCAATCTCGGCAGTAAACTCCTTGAGCAGCGTCTTTTTGGAGACCATCTGGTTGACCTGCGGCTTATTACGAATGTTCTTTGCTCGGAAGGCATAGTCCAGAGTTGAGATGGTCTCTTCCAGATTGGACTTGGCTGGTGATAGCGTAGCAATGATGCAGGTTTTCGTCCGGCCACCGAGAGAATCTTGCAACAGCCGCGTCAATTTTGATTCCCTGTATGGGATGTGCGAGCTCTTATCGACGAGGGCATTGATAACTCGTCCAAGGGTCAGTAAGCTCTTGTTGATCAGACCAGCTTCCGCAGCGCGTTTGTTTTCCGCTCCACTGCGTTGAATGTTCTCGCTACCCGCTAGATCGACTAAGTTGAGCTTGCCGGCGCTCACAAAGTCCTCTCCGGTATCAGAGGTTCGCTTGAGGTACACAGTGATAGTGAAAACTGTATGACTTCGGGAACTCAGGTCGTTGCATTTGGTGGCTGCAACCTGTCGCTTGTGACTGCCTTCGCGAAGAAGCTGGATACCCTTTGACGCCGATTTGATATGAGACTCCTCCATCCCTTGCACGAGCGTCGAGCTGCCGCCCTTCTTGGTACTGTCGTCGAAAATCTTGAGCTTAACGTTGTCATCTTGAGACAGCAAATCTCGCAGCTCTTCGTTGTAAAGCTCGATGAAGGAGCATTTGACTGAGTTCTCTGACTCTTCATCGCCGAGTTTTTCGAACAAGGAGTGTAGGACGCGCGGTATTATACCTGCAGCGTCAGGTAGAGGGAGGACGGATGAGATATCGCCGGACATTGTGTACGTCTTGCCCGTGCCCGTCTGGCCATACGCGAAGATGGTGCAGTTGAAGCCCGCAAACACCTGCTAAATCATCAGCGCCTCTCACTCTCTAGCTATCTTCCAGTCCAAACGAACCTCGTCGAGTATCGGCGCAACCACTCCGTCAAATATCATCCCTTGATCTGCAGCCGGCGAAAAGACCTTGTCGAAGTGGTACGTTTTGTTGCTGAGCGCGCTCGGTCCCATCGAGAGCTCAACACTCTTCCCCTTGGTGCCCTCAGTGGAGACGACCACGCCGCTGTTCTCGCGCACTTCGCGATCACTGCGCCCTCTACACCGTACAACAACATTGATGTTCGTCTCTTCACCGCCCTCTACTTCGAAGTCTCTTTCTTTGCGCTTAGTCCCGCCATACTGCGACGACGCTGGAGAGCGCGCGCGCGACGTGCCGGTCGATGTCACGGATTCTGCGGGCGAGGCGCGGCCGTTGGTGGAGGGCGTTGCGGACTGAGAGCGCGCGTTCCGCGCCATTGGCGGGCGCATTGAATTGAGCCTCTTTCCCAGAGGTACGGGCCTTGATTGACTGGTCATGGCGAAGCTCGAGAGGCGACTTCGAAGGGTATATCCTGTGTGATTAGCAATGCATGTGCAGCGTGAACGGGCGCGAGAGAGGAGTCGAGGAGTCGAGGAGTGGTAAACAAGCCCAAACAGATAGATCTGCGGCTTGGCGCCGATTCGTTCCAGCCGCTACCAACCGAGCGGCACCACCAGGCGGAGGACTCCAGCCAGCAGCGCGCGCTTCCCCATGATAGAGCCGCCGACTTGCCTGCCTTGCCTGCCTTGCCTGCCTTTGCTGGCAGGTAAGCATCAGTTTGCTGCTGGTAAAGACGGTAGTAGAGTCTTCAAGCGGGCTACTGAGCACAAATCACTCTCTGTGTTTGCTCCGCAGCGCGTGAGACGAGCACGTGGAGACAGCTACCTCAACCGCCGCTCAACCGACCTGCACCGCTTTGCTCTTCGCCCTTGTGGTAATGCTTCCCTGAACTAAATGCCCTGAACATGTCCTCGGACAGCGCTGCTGCTGCGACCTGTGAACCGGTACAGGTTACCCCAAATCGTTCCGTAGGGCTCTTTGGTGAGTGGTGCTCTCCGAGAGTATACACCTATGATTCGCTGACGGCGACTGCTGGCAGCGCTGGGAGCATCCGTCCAGAGCGTTTTGTCGTACCTAAAGTCTGAGCCGGCTACCTATTCGACCATCGATGTATCGTATTCCCATGACGCCCCCATAGCAAGTCCCATCCTTATCAGCCTTCCACGGAACGGTCTGCGGTTACGCTTCGACGGCCAAGACCAACGCTTGCGCTTGATCGAAGTGCTGGACTTCACCAAGACAAGGCTGGGCTACAAGAATGATGAAATATTTAGGCACGCCGGTGGAGCGGAAGGTCGGCCAGGCACCGCATCCTCCACGGGGCCGCTCTTTCGACACGTTTACAACCTGATGGGTCCCACATTCGCCGGAGAGTACATGCCACCAACGTCCGACGGAGAAGGTGCCAGAGGCACGTACATCCTCTCATACCCGGGAATGGCTTTCAGCTTCCCGCTGCTAGCGTCGGCTTGGTCGCCGACAGTGGATTTTGTCTCGCTGCTATACTCGTCCGCAACTTCCCCGGCGACAAACATGGTTGTCTTCAACGGCGAGTCCTGGCAGGAAGCCCGACAGAGTCTCTTTACCCGCAGTCCGCCAAACCCCAGATCGCTGTGGCTTGCTGGCAAGGGCAGTGATAGTGGTGCTCCTGATGAGATAGAGGCAGCGAAGATCTACGGGGAAGGACGGATAGAGCTTGTCAGGAGATCAAGCCCGTCTTTCTGGATTATCCTTAGCGAGACCACTCCACAGGACTTGGTTGCCGAGCTGGGTCCGCCAGACGCGATCTACAGGAAGAGCGACCGGCGCCTTTCCATCCATCGAACACCTACACCGAATGGTGTTTCGGGTCTCGCAGACGGTATTGGCAATGCGGCACGTGACAACATGCAGGCCGACGACTCTGAGTCAAACCACTCCTCTGCGCTTCATACGGATTCTGAGCACGAAGCGCTGTCTGATGGTGACGAGGATCAATTCGATGACTCCGATGGGGACACCGACCTCTCCACGCCAGAAGATAGCGAAGTCACAGGTCGCCAGCACGAGAACAGGGAGTGTTTCTACAACTACTTCCACCACGGTTTCGACCTACTCATCTCAAAACCTACCCACCCGAGTCCACCATCACCAACTGCCGATCGCCGAGCATCGCCCGAAGAGCGCTCGAGCAGCCCTTCCAACGGCGATCCATGTCTGCCCAGCAACCATCTTACTGCCACTAAGATCAGCTTCCATGGCAACGTGCCAGGCTCTTACTCCTTCAACCGCCACCGCCGCAGCCGGTGGACGCTTGAACACGTCCCGACAGAGCATTATCGCGAGCCTCTGAACTCAGAAATGTCATTCACAGACATCTCTGGCCGGCTCAAGGAAGTCTACCGCGGCGCCTACGCTAGCAAGGAGGAAGAGAGGCTCCACCAAAGGGGCATGGTAATCAAACCCGGCTTGGGGGACAGTCCAGGAAGCAGCTGCGAGTTGCTTGGCGGTTGGGAAGACAGCACCGTTGTTGCAGGTGCGAGAAATCCGAGCACTGATGCCACGGCAGTGAGCGGTGAGAGTGGGCTGACGACGGAGTTATTTGGGTTTCCCGGGATGGTGTTCGAGGTCATGAAGAATGGCGCTGTGAGCTGCTTGACTGTTTACTAGGCTGGTGCATCGAATGTTTGATGGGTGTTGGGATGGCGTTTCTTCTGGGTTAGAGATCGCGACGCCTTGGTGAGTTATACCCTGGGTAGGTTCATATGTCTTGGTTATTTAGAGAGAGCGTAAGGGTTGCTTCTCAATGGCCGTCGTCCAGCTGCTCTAGCGGTTCACTGAGACGAAGTTGGCAAGCGCCTTCCAGGACTTGAAGTGCGAAGAAGTGACTCTCATACGGGCGACGTGACTGGGCGCCAGTTAGAAAGCCCGATCTCCCAAATTCAGAATCCAACTCTTCAGCTTGATTCAGCTTGATCGAAGCAGTTGTCGTGAAAAATGGACGCAGAAGCAGACTCGGCCCTGAGCGGAGCTCTCCCGCGTCGGACTTTCAGGCCTCAAACCGCCGACTTGCATCCCATCCCCAAAAAAGTCGCGAGCTCCCATCAACCCGCAGCTCCCGCATCCATACCGCAAAACGATGAGCAGAGCATGTTAACCCCGACCCGCCTCCTCCGCGCATCATGGTCCACGACGCTCAAACTCCCCAAATCCGCCTTTCCCCCGCGCCCCGCCGACCCCAAGACCTTCCTCCCTCGCTGCACCGACGAGCTCTACGCGTGGCAGGCGACCCATAGACCTGCTGCGAACGTCTTCGTGCTGCACGATGGGCCGCCATATGCGAATGGTGACTTGCACGTTGGCCATGCGCTGAACAAGATCCTGAAGGATATCATCTGCCGCTTTCAACTGGGCCAGGGGAAGAGGGTGCAGTATATCCCCGGCTGGGACTGCCATGGGCTGCCGATTGAGATCAAGGCGCTGCAGGCGCTGCAGCTGCGGGGGGAGGGCGACCATGAGAAGATTGGGGCCGTGGAGGTGAGGAAGGCGGCGAGGAGGCTGGCGGAGGAGACGATCGAGAGGCAGAAGAAGGGGTTCAAGGAGTGGGCGGTTATGGGAGATTGGGACAATGCGTATAGGACGATGGAGAAGGGGTTTGAGACGAGCCAGTTGAGGGTTTGGAAGGGCATGGTTGAGAAGGGTGGGTGAGGATCCTGTTTCTTTCGGCCTGTGATGAGCTGAGGGGCGGCTGGACTCAGCGGCGGTCGTGAGGTATAGCAGGAGTGCGCTTATGCTGACTGCGTGCTTCAGGCCTCATCTACCGGCAGTATAAGCCTGTGTATTGGAGCCCTAGCTCTGGCACCGCGCTCGCTGAAGCTGAGCTCGAATACGACGACAACCACCGATCTACTGCGGCTTTTGTCAGATTTCCTCTTATCACACTAGCCGGTCCCCTGGCTTCTTTGCCAGGAGTAAAGCCGGACGCCATCAGCGCGGTCATCTGGACGACCACTCCGTGGACCCTCCCGGCCAACAATGCGATCGCCGTCCATGCTGATCTCGATTACTGCGTTGTTGAGCTGCCCAGTAATCATCAGCTCATTGTAGCTCAATCTCGTCTGAATCACGTCCTTACATTTCTCAACCTCGAGCTCAAGTCTGTTAAAGTCGTTGCTCCCTGTAGAGGCTCAGACTTGCTAGGATCAGAGTACACCAACATTCTGCAGCATTCCGATTCTGAACCAGCCCAAACGCAGCCCATTCTACAAGCAGATTTCGTCTCCGCTGACTCTGGAACTGGGCTTGTCCATATGGCTGCAGGTCACGGCATGGACGACTATAACGTCTGTATGAAGCTTGGTATCCCCGCGTTCGCGCCGGTCGATGATCAGGGACGATTTACCTTGCTGGCGTTGCCAGCGCAGCCTGGGTTCTTGGCTGGAAAGGCTGTGCAGAAGGAGGGAACGGATGCGGTCCTTGAGTGGCTTGACAAACTCAACAGCCAGTCTGGAGACGGTCAGCTCCCCCTTGTACTCGCGACTCACGAGATCAGGCACAAGTATCCGATCGATTGGCGCACAAAACAGCCCGTCATCATCCGCGCGACCGAGCAGTGGTTTGCAGATGTAGATGAGATTAAAGCCGGTGCTCTGGAATCACTCGAGGACGTTACGTTTATCCCGGAAACCGGTCATACACGGCTCTCCAGCTTCGTTCGGGGGCGCAGCCAGTGGTGTGTTTCGAGACAGCGAGCTTGGGGTGTTCCGGTTCCTGCACTTTATCGGAAAACAGAAGACGGACTGCAAGCCGTTATGACGAGCGGGACTATTGAATATATCATGAAGGTCATCGATGACCGAGGTATCGATGCTTGGTGGACAGACGCCGAAGATGACGCTGCTTGGGTTGCTCCGGAGCTGGAAGCCGGTACCTATGTTCGGGGCAAGGACACAATGGACGTGTGGTTCGACAGCGGCACCACCTGGACGCTGCTGGAAGATCGAGCTGCGCAAGGCTTGCCCGTTGCAGATGTCTACCTAGAAGGAACGGACCAGCACCGCGGTTGGTTCCAGTCATCGCTGCTCACGTACATTGCGCATCAGAGCGCACAGATCCTAGACGCGAAGCACCCTCTTACCTCCGCTCTGAAGCATCCCATGAAGGCTCCCTACAAGACTCTCATCACCCACGGTTTTGCCCTCGATGCCGAAGGCCGCAAGATGAGCAAGTCCCTCGGCAATGTCGTGTCTCCTGCACAAATCATGGACGGCTCGTTGCTGCCGCCTGTTAGCCGCAAGAAGAAGAAACAGAAGGGGCAGGAGAAGGCGGCAGCGTCAAGTGCAACGCCGTCGTATGATGCTATGGGTGCAGATGCGCTCAGGTTGTGGGTCGCGAGCAGTGATTATACAAGGGACGTCGTTATTGGGCAACCGGTGCTTCAGTCGATCAACACGAGCTTGCATAAATATCGCGTTACTTTCAAGTGGCTACTGGGTGTGTTGAATGACTATGATCCTAGCAAGGCCGACTCAAAAGCGTAAGTTCTGTTTCAGGCGTTTTCCAGAGACTTCATGTGAATCATCAGAAGACTGACACCCTACTTCCAGATCCTCCTCCACCGACCTAGCCGACCGCATCGCCTCGCACCAGCTCTCCCTCACTTCAGCCGCTGTGCACCGCTCCTACCAGTCCTACGACTTCTTCAAGGGCGTGTATGCAGTGAACAGATACATCACGACCGACCTCTCTGCCTTCTACTTCGAGCCCCTCAAAGACCGCCTCTACGCCGGCAGCGCCTCGACCCGACTAGCTGCCCAAGCGGCCCTGTACAAAATCTTCAACGAGCTGCTCCACATGCTTGCGCCTGTCACGCCCCTTCTGGTAGAAGAAGTGTGGGCACACTGCCCTCCGAACCTGAAAGAAGGACGTGAAGGACCGGGCAAGGATGTGTGGGCGCCGTTTGCGGCGCCCAGTATGGCGGATGAGACGCAGCGAAGGGACATGGAAACGACGATTGCCTTCATCACAGCAGCGTTTACGGCTGTCAAATCTGCGCAGGAAATCGCCCGCGAGGAGAAATTGATGGGTGGAGGACTGGAATGTGGCTTTACTCTCTACGTTCCTCCTACTGGCATCCCCTCCGTCGAGCAACTGCTCAACAACAGCATGGAAGAGGAGCTGGCGAGTCTGTTCGTCGTTAGCGATGTCAAGATTGTCCGGTCTCATGAACCAGAGCAAGAAGAGTCTGGCGGTGCGTGGAGTTTTCGAGAGACCTTCGAGGTTGAGCTTGAGGAGGGGACGGAGAAAACGAAGGTCACGGGCGCGGTGGTCGTCACGCCTGCGGAAGGCAAGAAATGTCCACGCTGCTGGAGGTTTGTGGCGCCGGAGCCGGAGACGCTATGTGGACGATGTGAGGGAGTGGTGAAGGAACAGGGTTGAGCGTTAACGAGGAATAGGGTTCTCATAGAGAATGTCTGGACATGTCTATCCGTGCTTAGGCGTAATCATAGAATAGACGTGGCAAGGCTCGCTGTACGATAGGGTTTGTATACCGCGCGAATATTATCACGCTGACCCATGTAACCCGGTTTTAAGTGAAGGGTTTGCGGCCTTTGTCACACTGCACTCCTTGGCTATGATCGAGAGGCTAGATGGCGAAGCCATACGAATTGGTTGACATTGTTACCTCAGGCTGTATTACCAATCGTCGCTATCTCGTTTCTTGAACCTTTCTTCCAATGCCCTTCCAATATCCGCGTCAGCCAGACTGAGTTGTACGTCAAGGAGTGACCCGTCAGCATTCTGGCTAGGGAGCAGCTCTATCCGGGTAGAAGTTGAACTTCCATCAGCAGGATCCCATTCGTCGCTGCTCTCATTCTCGAGGATTGAAGATGCTTGAGCGTGCAGCGTTGGAACGTATGTCTCAGTAACCGATCGAACACGTGCACCATTCATGTTCTCGTCTTCCTTTGCTTCGTCGTAGAAGGGATAAGAATTTGACCTGTGGTAGACGTCACGGTTGACTATGGGAGCGGATAAGCTGCGTGACGATTTACTGGACGTCGCTGAATGTTGATGGTATTCGGACTTAAATATGGGCCGCGGAGTGACAGGCGGTGACTTTTGGTGCGTTACTATGGAAGTATATCAGTCTCGTAATCCACCGGCGATGAGTTTGGGTGGGGAGGGGAATTACATTTGAGCGACTCCTCGACAATGAGCGAACGTGGAAATCCACTGATTGCGAAGCCTTGTTCAGGCTTCAGATACAGAGAGATCGTAATCCGCGCGGCTTGCTTCGACGTATGTACCGTAACCGGTTCCATGTTAAACCTGGCCCGGGATATCATGTCATAGATGACGCTCTCCCTGATAATGACACGCTGAGCGTGAGCTTCTCTATATCTCTCCTCGATCGAGAAGTAAGGCTGAAAGTCGGGAGTTTGCTGCAGCCTTAGGTAGTCTCCGAGTGCTCGCATACTTGCAGACTCCCCACCAAACCTGCAATAAATTGCACCAGAGACTTGGAACCCCGAGTCAGTCTCCGACAACGAGCCAGCGGTCTTGTCGAAAAAGAAGCAGCTTGCCACAAGCCGAGCCGCTATTTGTTGAATCTGCGATTTGTAAGGCGCCGCTCCATACAACTGGTCCCGTGCAGCGGTCTGGACGTTGTCCAATTGATCGACCGCATCTAAAGCGGGAGGGTCAAACCCTAAATCAATGTTGAGCCGGATGTAGCGTTCTCGCTGCAAAGATTGCGGTTCCGCTACGTCCAACAGAAAGCTCTCCCATATCCGGTCGGAGTCCAGAACATCCCTCACCCGATTGACTAGCACCGTCCACAAGTGGGTCCATTTGGGTTTCCTCGCCCAATCTACTAGTACTCTATTACTCTCAACATCATGTGGAGGGTACGTAGAGCTGGGTGATGGCGATTTCCTGAGTCGATCTCTTGACTCTTCTGTAGTATTGAGATAGTGCTTGCTACCAGACCCGATCGATAGGACAATGTCCGGGTGCGAATTGGCCGTGTCTGGCCACAGAAGTTTTCGTTCGTGATTTGCAACGTTCACTGGGTTGTTGTGATAGAGCGCACCATCCCAGTACAGATTGCCGGTGCGCTCACAGAGGAACGGTTTGAAATATTTTGGGGCAGCAGATGTAGCCCGAGCTGCTTCCCAGACTTTGAGCTCAAGATCCGGCTTATCAGGCCGCTCGTACCTGTAGCCTTCTGCAAACTTGTCAGTGCATACAATGGAATAGGTTTCTAAGACAGTCCCATACGTTGATCATCAGAGTTCCTAGGCCGATTGTAGTTACTGATGACTACGGCCTGTTGTCCCGTGCCCGTTGCACTTGTGACCGCCACCTTTGTTTGATAGCTGTTCGAGTCTTGCAGTCCGCCAAACAAACGGGCTTCGCCAAAAGCCTCGCAAAGTGCTCCTACGAAAGGCCGTGTCTTATACATGGCATGATGATGCACGAAGGCTAGCTTTCGAAAGCCGGGGATCCCGCGGAAGTCTCGCGGTGAGAACGCCCTACCGCAAAGCGACTTGAACTTGTCAATGCACGAATCAACTGACCAACCTTGCACGCCCAATCCGAGAGCGATGATGCCGCCCGTGCTAAGACAACAATGAGCTTGTGGGTGGCACGGTAAGGATCGGCTGAACAAACCTTGTGCCAACGATAAGATCGAAGAAAGCCTGGATAGGGATTTTGCCCCCTAGAGTGCGTTCAACGGCTTTGAGAACCTCAAGCTCCACGATACCGCGGAAACCACCACTTCAAAACACAATGAGTTAATGTAAACGGCATGGGATGATTGGACTTACCCATCCAGGGTCAAAATGCGTACTCCGGCGTGAGGAGGTTTGAGTCTGACCAGGTATGGTTCCTTCCACACTGTGTCGTCGGTGTGTAGTGGACATCGCCACATGGATATGCAGTATTTGTCCACGGCAATGCCGTAGGAATTTATGCATGGTGTACACAAGACATGCCCACAAGGGAGCGCATGCTCGGGGAGCTCTCTCAAACAGCAGAAACAAGTCGAATGACTGACAACTTTGTAAGCGGAGCCAAACTTTCCGTAAAAGTCATTCAAGCGGTGAAGGTGCAGCTTGTGAGCCGCAGCTTCCTCACCGAAGCTTGGATTGCCAAAAATCTCTCTTTGAAGAGTCTTTTCGATCTCTCGAACATTGTCCTGCAGCTCCATTTTCCAAATCTCACAGTATGAGTCCGCGGAGAAGCTCGACTCAAACTCTCCTCCCGCAATGCTTTTGCCTCTTTCATTCTGATGGCCTTTAGCATGACCAGCCCGAGTATTGACGCATTTGCCGCTCCTGTTTGCGAAGTGACAACACCAGTGGAAAGCGCAGAAATCCTCGAGAGCCTGAAAGCAGTGGTGAAGATAATGCTTGTCAAACAGTTCCGTAGCAGTACCTAAGATTTGTTAGATGGTGTTTCGGTGAAACGATCAGCCAGATCTGCTGCGAGCAAGACACCAATGAAGCGGTAGCAGTATGATCACAAGCATTAGAATCCCGAAACTAGTATGCATTTTGGCTGCAAAATATAGATGAGACGTCTTACCTTGGTATTTCTGGCGGGCAAAATCGAGCATAATACACGAAGCGACCATTGGTCCAAGAATCTTGAAGATCCGAGGACCACTGCGAATCGAGTCCTGTGACCAATCTCGGATAGCCAAGGCCAACTTCAGAATGTTGCCTCTGAAATCGAGCGGTATAGGGTTATTCTTCAGAGAGACCTCTATGAAATTGAATGGCGTATCAAGATCACGGGAGAAATGATCGAATGCGGATTGAAGGTAGATCTGCAGACCGTCCGCATCGCATAGCATTCGTGCCTTTTGCCTAGCGATGTAAGCATTGTTGCAGGCAGATACGATTTCCTGATGCAGTTTTTCAACTTGTTCGTTGATCAGCATATACCGGCCCTTGGTAGGTATCCTCACAACTGTTACTGAAGAATAAAAGCACTCTATGAGGTCCTTCATAGATTTGATCTTCTTGCCCCGATTACGCCAATACTCGGCATAATTAGCAAACTGCGGTACCAAGGCGATTGAATCATCGATATCCGAGAGCAGCCTCTGAGTAGCCTCCTTGACTGTCCACTGACTAGGATCAATCGAATTCTCTGTAGCATTTAATGCGATGATGGCATGTGGTAGCAGCGGTTGGTTCAAGGATTTCTCGATAGAAGCTGAAGCCCAATTCAGCAGTTTCTCAAGCACGGCCTCGAATGTTCTAGTCCTGGTATTAGAAGACGCTCATCGGGTGGGTAGTTATACACACGCACTTCGAGTTGCGAAGGACAAAGACTATAACGTCCGAGAATGTGTACAACACACGTGGATAGAGTTGAGTTACTGCAAACTGCCTCTTTCGCTTCTCAGGCGTCGTTGCCCATTCGATCCGAGAACAACGGGCAGCTTTTTGCAACTTCTTGACCGGCTTGGACTTTTGCCTCGCACGTAATGCAGGACGATCGTCCGCTGCCTTGTGTTTTTCTGCAAGCGGGTCTCTTTCCCCCCCTTCGAGACCTTCGCAGTCTGCATAAAGCAACGGACGCTGTTGGTAGTAAGTTCCAGGGTCGGCGTATAAGTGAACATCTGCTGAGGTTGGCGTGCTGTTGATCGCAGAGCCCACAACAGGCGAAGGAAATTTGGAACTACTATCAGTGATCCCAGGTCCTTGATGGTTGATAAGCATCTTCACAAGCGTGCTCTTTCCCGCTCCCGTTTGACCGATGAAGGATACCAATTGCGGATATCTCACGTCGGTGTCTGAACAAAGACTATCCGCCATGACGGAAGCGTAACGATCGTAGTTTTGGAAAACTGGCACATTGTCCTCATGAACAACGCCAAACCATGTAGTGTCCAAATCTTCCCTGTGCAGCTCATCTTGCTCGGCGACCGATGACGGTGGAGATAAAATATCGCGTAGTGCTTCAACAACCTGCGGTATCCATCAGCAACATGAAATCTTCTGCCCCAAACAGCCATTCTCTCGTTGGGCATGAAATTACATTGAGGTCGGTCTTTTCGTGGGGCAAGCCGTCTTGACCAACTTTGCCTGGTCGATGAGGACCTTGCCTTTTCCAGCAAGGATCACAGTAATGCGAGTCGCAGCTGACGCAGTAATGGGTAACAGTGACTTCCTCGCAGGATTCGCATTGGCGGTCAGTGGACATATTAGGGAAGTTATGAAGAAGTTGACTCGATGCGGTACAGTGGACTGCTCGCTATATGCCAGATGATCTTGGCTGAGATTTCGGCAAGGCTGTCGCACGATACAGACAGCTCCCCTCGTACTTTCCGGAACGTTCTCGGAACACACCTTAGCTGCGGCAGACGTGGAGGACTTATACCTCTCGCAAACGCACAAGCGAGGCTTCGAGACGGCATGGCTGCAGGGCTCAAACATTCGGCACGCAGTATCCTTGATGCGCGCTAATCTGTGGTGGACTCACTAAAGTGTAACGAGAGAAAGACAGCTTATGGAATGGAGGTCTCGACAAGCCACCAAATGCTCGCATGCGATGTCAGGGAAGCCGCTTCACAAGACGAGCCTAGTTCATGGAAGTGCGTATGGGGCTACCTTTCAGCCTCACCAGCTGAGGAGTAAAATGACAAATTTACGCTGACGACGGAACGTAACCTACAATTTTCCTTTCAACAGCAAGATGTTATTTCAACCATGGTGTAGTCGGATGCAGTAAGTATTGACTCGAGAGGGCAAGCGGGCAGATAACTTAAATCTGCCCTCTGTTTCCGCAGCGATCACGTTGGTCAGGGTTGCCGTCGGAGGTAAGCCGCATGTGCAGTGGCAGGTGAGACACCTGTTTACCGTACCGGACCCCCATGCCCATGCTCAGCCAAGCTGTCGCCGTGTGCTATTCCTGTCCTTCAATACAGCTTTGGCTTGCAGTAGCTGTCAACTCAATAGGCAAACGCAGTTCTTGGACCTTATGTAGTAGTCCAATCGCTTGTAAAAGTTCCGTGGCCAAGATCTTCGGATGGGCCGGGCTGCCCAAAATAACCAAGGGCTACCTCAAAAGAATGAGGCGGGTTTTGATCACCGAAACTGCGCGCACGGACCCGCCGTGTACTTTTAAGGTCGCCCTTGGACGCAGCCATGCAATTTCCCCTCTTCCGTCCACACACCCGTGTACCGAGGGGTTGACTTAGTCTGTATGGACTAATCGAGTTAAGTCTTTCAACTAACGGTATTTAGCTTAGCCTAAGTAAGGCAGTATGAAGCTCCAAACCCCGCGCGCTCCCATCTTTCATCTCTTTCTATCACCACTGCGTAGATGTTGGAGGCTATAATTTAGGCTGAGGGTGGACATATTAAGTACCAGACACTCTAGATAGATAGATTAAGCCTCACTTAAGCCTTATTAGCACTAAAATCGATTAAAATCGTGATAAAAACATCGATATGAGCTTAGTTGACAGACTAAGACACGTTTTGCGTGGGCGTACTTGACACACTTTGCCAAGGGGTCGGTACATGCCTCTCTGCGAGCTTCAAGTGGACCGTTTAGTGTCTGCGGCGCATCTGCCTCGCAATGTGGCGTGTTCTTAGGTGTTCGTCAAATACATGGTGTTCAATCTTGCTTGCCTCCTCATTATGCGACTAGCACGCCGGGCCACAGATCAGCAAAGATGTAAATCATGCAGTGTCAACTATCTCTCCATGCATTGCTATCAAATAGCAGCAAAATCACGCTTTACCGCTGAGTCAACCCTGCACAGCATCTCCCAACTCCTCCGAAACTTCCTCTCGAGAAAGGGTGCTCGACTTGCTGTGTCCGATGGCCTCCAGCCACTTCGGATCGATATACTCATATTGCATATACGGCGAGACGTCCGAACCCGGGATCGTGTTCTCCATTACGTAACCCATACCAAGGAAAGCCCACATATTCTTGTGCAGATACTGGATTTCGAAGTCCTCATAGCGCGGGCCCTCGATGACATGCACTGTGATTTGTCAGCATACCACTTCTTTGCTTGCGTAGGCACGGGTCACCTACTGTAATGCAGGGAGGAGCCGGGCCACACAGCTGTGGAAGAAGTCAGCGACTGATTAGAGGGTGGTAGCTGTCGCGTGGGTCTCACCGTTTACCCGCCCGGTCTCGTTATTCTTGTACCAGGAACGACATTCTTCTTTCCAGACCGTGTGTTTGATCCATTCCTGCGATGTGCGGTTAGAGTGGCAGCTCGATGTCACAACAATCCGGCCGCAGTCTTACCTGAGCATGCTCATTGAATCGGTCAGTGATATCCTGCTTTGGCACCCAGCTCTTGATGTAATCCCTTTGCATCTTCTTGATCAGGGAGATTGCGTACTCAGACACGCCGAGTAAGGGGCCAGCCACACTTCCGTTCTCTACTGGCCTGCGACCAATCTCAACAACAACTTCTTTCGTCACTTGGCTTCGTTGACTTACCATGTCGGCCCGATGAACATGACAAAGTTCGGGAAGTCCGGAACACCGATCCCAAGATATGCTTCAGGCCAGAGCTTCCACTTCTCCTTCAAACTAACTCCGTTCTTTCCCACCACTGGGAATCTCGGCTTATACGTTACATCAAACCCGGTTGCACAGACGATCGTATCTACCTTTCGCTCGATACCGTCTCCGCCTACGACACCATCTTCGGTAATCCTCTCCACGTGAGTGAAGTGGACGTCAACGTTCTTTTCTTGGATCGCCAGCATGTACGGATCTCCTGGAGTTACACGGCGACCTCCAAAATAGAATCAGTATCTAGAGACAAGTCATCTGCCATCGAAGGCACACTCACAGCCAATCTCCCACTTCGGAGTAAATCCATCGAGCAACCGCTTATCCTTGATGAATTCTGCCATGCGCGCTCTGAATATCTTTTGGCCCTCCTTCTGGGCCTCCGAGCCGGTGTAGAACAAGCCCCAAAGACCGTTAACCTGGTTCTCAATATCTTTTGCGTGTGCAACCATGCTCTTGGGGTCCTTACGGAAGCCTTCCTTCTGTTCTTCGGTATACTCATGGTTCGCGCCGAAGTTATTGGCGATCTGGACGAACCACACGCCTGTCCGGACAAAAACGTCCATATGCTTGACGTGTGGTTGCATGTTCGGCACGGTTTGGATAGACGACGCACCGGATCCAACAACTGCGACGCGGTCCCTCTTCCACTCGTCTTTGTGGTAGTCCTTCGGCCAGCGGGCAGTGTGCACGATTCGGCCCTTGAAATTCTCCATGCCTGGGATGTCCGGCAATTTGAAATCATTCAGGATGCCTGTCGCGTAGAGAAGTAGATCGCAAGTATCCTCAAACTCGCTTGGCTCACTGCCGTCAGGCTTCGTCTGCCGCAGCTTGACCTTCCACTTTCCCTGCTCCTCCTGCCAATATGCTCCAACAACCTGTGTGTTGAAGTTCATGTACTTCCGCAGCCCAAATGTCTCACAGACTCTGTCGAGGTATTTCCAGATATCAGGTGAGTAGGAAAAGAATCGCGGCCAGTCCGGGTTGAGCGCAAAGGCATAAGTATATGCGTGAGAGGGGATGTCGCATGCGCAGCCGGGGTAGCGGTTCTCAAGCCATGTACCGCCGATGTCTTCATTCTTCTCGTAGATGACATGCTCGACATTCTGGCATTGCTTCTGGATCTGGTATGCCATCAGGATACCGGAGAAGCCGGCGCCGATCGTGATGACCCTGAGCTTGCGGGATTGCGGGTCCTAGGCCTTGTCAGTCATGCTTCGAGTGGAGGTAGAAAGTACTGTACATCGTAGACGATGTTTGGGATGCTGTAGCCTGATGATCCTGGGGTCGAGTAGTCCCAGCGGCCATCAGCGCTTAGTGCGTTAAGATCCGGTGCCATGGTGCTTGATGTAGAGGAGAAACGAATTGACCAGACTCCCAGCAATAGAGATCCGCACCGTTTACAATATCACAGGAAGAATAAGAAATGATCACGGAAGTTTGTTTCAACCAGAAAGTGGTCTTCGCTCTAGATAGTCTTTGACAAAGATAGCAAAGAAGGTCTCAGCTTGCAGCTTCGCATCAGATGGCCAATTGCGTATCGAATCTCTCTATAGCAGATCTCAAACCCGATCAAGCACGACATGGATCCCCCTTACATATATATTCCAGCCCATGATCCGGCCGTAACGTCCCATAACAGCCCGAGGGTATCGGCGACCCCACTTGACATGTAGATGACAGCTTCGGTTCCTCGGATAAGCTCTGCTTGGCAAATGAGGTGGGTGCCTGTGGTGATGTTTACAACCCCCAGGGGACCTCGGGACTAACAAGACGATGGTGGCTAAGCCACTTTGCGGGGTCCCCACGTAATCTTAACCCTAACCCTACACATGGGAAAAAATGGCCTCACCGCGATCGTGGAACTACTGGCTGCATTAACAATAATGCTCCCTTTAGTATCACCGTGATGCTCCATAAAACGGTCCGAATAGCTTAAGTTCCAACAGATAGTCACATATTTTACATCTATCTCCTCACTCATCACTCTTTCCAAACCTTCAATTGCTCTACCAACTTATCGTAAACGGGAACCCCACCTCACCCCTCAATCAACCTCACGCAAACCAACCATGTCCCACAACCCCCAAAACATGCAAGTCATCGCCGTGGTCGGTGCCGGCCCAGGCATCGGCGAAGCGGTAGCCCGACGATTCGTCTCAGAAGGCTTCATTGTGGCCCTGCTAGCCCGCACCGAAGACAAGCTACAGACTATGGCATCCGGCATCGAAACCGATTTCGGGGCCGGCACTGCAAGATACTATCTTACCGACCTCCGAGTCGAGTCTCAAGTCATATCTAGTTTCGCCTCTATCAAAAAAGAACTCGGCCCAGTTAATGTGCTGGTCTACAACGCCGGCGCTCGCCGCGTCAACGGCCGCTCGATTCTCGACACCACAACAGAGGAATTCGAGAACTTCACCAAAATCAACCTATTCGGCGCCTTCTGCTCCGCAAAATGCGTGCTACCAGACATGTTATCTGCTCAAAAAGGCACCATAATCTTCACCGGCGCGACGGGCTCCTTACGGGGAATGCCTGGCCTGTCGTCCTTCTCCCCAGGCAAATTCGGGCTGCGGTCTCTAGCGCAGATTATCACGCGCGAGTATCAGAGTCAGGGGATTCACGGTGCGCATCTGATTGTTGATGGGCCGGTGGATGGGAAGTTGATTGGGGGCGTGACGAGGAGGAAGTGGGAGCGGGAGGGCGAGAAGGAGAAGTTGGCGGAGGCGGATAGGTTTATTATGCAGCCGACGGATTTGGCGGGCATTTATTGGTATCTGTATACGCAACCGAGGAGTGCGTGGACGCAGGAGTTGGATGTTAGGGCGCAAAAGGAGACGATGTTTTCGAAGCTGTGATGGAGAGGAGGGTAGAATTCGAGACGGGGGTTCGTATGAGCGCTTGCAGCTCGAAGAGGGATCCAGGAGGCTTTTGAAAACAGCGTCATGATTTGGAGCAAAATCAGTTTGAAGTTCTTCAACACCTTCCTCTCCCTTCTTAGTGACAGTCATTACAATCCCAAAAACAACTCAAGTAAGCGAGATGCCATCATAACTGTACAACCCTACCATAAAACCCACGTTCCCCCCACCCGCCTATAATTTACTCTCCTTCGGCGGCAAAACAGCCAACGGCGAATACGGGACCCCCAAATGCGCAAACACCTGCTCCCACCTATCATTCCCAAACCACATCTTCTTGTTGCCCTCGCTCGTCACGCCCACAATCCACGGAGCGCCAAAAGCCCCCGATGCCATCGTCCTATCAATGACGATCTTCTTGTTCTCTGGCGTCACGGCCTTTTGCATGATTTCTTCAATTTCCTCTTTCGGGAAAACCTCTGATAGGGCTTCCAGAATGCCTTCTGGCTTTGCGATATTGATGCCTTTATTCCAGTACCCGGAAACTAGAGCGAGGAAAGTATCTTCGAACTTGTCGTCGGGGTAGTGGTCTTTAACCCAGGTTGCAACACGCACAGCCTAGGAAATCATCAGCCTCTTCCTCATTAAAACTTCACACATCCCCCTCCACATCCCCATATCACCCTTCCAAACCTCGCATCAAACCCACATCAACGCACCTCACCAAAAGCCAAAAACAGAAACAGAAAAACACAAACTCACAAACAAACTCATGATCGGAAACTCCTTCGGCTGCTTCGTCTCCAACCCCAGCAGCTTCCCCGTCATCTCAGAGTCCTGCTTCGAAAACGCCTCTTTCCATTTCGGCGTCGGCATCCACGGGTTTCCGGCGCTGTCGCGCGCGCCGCCTAGGAAGAAGGGCGTGATTTCGACATGGACGCCGTGGGCTTGTAGGGCTGGCCGATAGTTGCGGATCGAGGTGAAGCCGAACCAGGAGTAGGGCGATACTGTGGGTTTGTGAATTTTTGGTTTTGGTTTTAGCAAGAGGGGTGGAGGGGGAGGGGAAATGGGAACATACCGCAGTCTACGTAGATGGTAAGTGTGGCGCCTTTAGGTGAAGGAGGCATTGTTGCGAGTTTTCGTATCCTGAACTAATATCTACACTCAAGTCCTCTCTTCTTTTTGATTACCCTCTTTGGTATGAATGCTATTGATACTAGGTGGAGAAATTGGTGACGTGGATAATTCAGCGGTATATTTAATGTAATTAATATGGAATTAATGTCGGATTATTAGCTAGTCCGGGCTTTTCTAGCTCGACTAAGTAAATAAACACGCCGATCTTTAGTATTTACTTTCTAAGCGAATCAAATAAAACCGGATTGCACTATATAACCGGATAGACCTATAAGTGTTTACATTATTCATCCTACTGATCCTTATCTATGTCCTAGATGCCTGTTCCAACCGGCTCTCAAAATAGCCGCTCAATCTCGAATGTGCTATTAAGCACCTACTCTCTACGCTTCACAGGTTTCAGTATCCCGCTAGCTTCGATCTCGGCTTTGATGACCGAGCCAAAAAATGCTGTCTGCCCTTCCCTTTCACAGATGACCGATTCAGTTCTAAGAATCTTGTGAGTCAGCAAACCCTCACTACCCCATTCATCCAGCAACCGGAAGCCTTCAGCAGAGCTTTGTGTCGCTCTGTTGATGGCCGGATTCCCCACCGGCCCATCGATGGACGCCCAGGACCATGTGGGAGCGCTGGCACCGACACTTCTGCGATGGGTGGTTTCTACAGGGCCATCTCGAATGCAGAACCACAGCAGATGGCGGTGGAACTTATCCTCCCACAATCCGTAGAGATACGTGCCCAATGCCTGCTTTGGGGTGAACATCTGAGCCACGCCGGCTAGCGTGGGGAAATTGTCTTTTATGATTGTGAAGCTGCGCTTGCTGAATTCCTCGATAATCCAGGCCCAGTGGTCGTGCAATTTTAGCGCTGAGATCTCGCTCTTGCCTTGGTCGGCCAGCAGCATCTCTTTGAGATGCCAGAAACCGTCCTGCACGCTGTAGCTGTCCATCAATTCAGGAGCCTGTCTTCTCAGATACAAGCCTCCTTGCATTCCCAATGGCTCAGCTCGGAGGTCAGATGCAAGACCCGGGCAGACAGCGCTCGTTCTTGAAATGCGCACCCACAACCGGCAAGCGGACTGGGGTTGATAGATTTCTTGATGTGGCAGAATATGAGAACCGCGTGGGGACGTGATGGTTCCTGGCCATCGGGAGTCTCGAGCGGCCAAGGCAGCGGCACGGCACTCTTATGTCTCTCTGACCTTTCAGAGAATATCCCGGCTCGGGTGTCAACTGCGGCGTCGGCGGAGATGGTGAGCAGTGCTTGGCTGTAGACTCTGCGCATCAGAGCGGCCTCACGGATCCAATCCTCGCGGTCGTCTCGAATTATGCAGAAGGCATCGATCCATAGGTATCTTATACCTAACTTACGCGTTAAGACCACGAGGAATGGTGCTGCCAATGTAGCGGCACCTTGCTCTCTGGCCACTTGATGTCCCGCAGTGCAAAGAAGCGAGGCACGAGCCAATTCGCGGAAGGTCGGTACAAAGCTTGCAGAGAGGCATCCTGGAGAACGCCTCTCAATTCTTAGTGGTATTGTGAAAAGAAGAGGGAATGTCACACACACTCGTGACCTGCCCGCCGCCTCGTATTCATAACAGGCGATATGTCAGGACGAGGTGACTAATGTAAGGGGATAGAAGCTACTACTCTTGTGCGACGACTCCGACTCCAACAAACCGTCGGCTCCGGCGGTATGGTAGTGGGCTATCAGTCAAGAATAGGTAGAATAAAATTTGGTGCAACGTGTTCGTCAAACTGAAGGCACAGCCCATCACAAAGAGTTTAGAGTTTCGCTTTGCTAGCAGTGGAGGTCATCCGCTTTAAAGACTGCCGTAGGGATAATGCTCCAGAAACTTCTATTCCGACTCTTAAACAAGTGGGTATCGAATGCCACGCGAGCTCATAGATCGGCCGTTAGGATCCGCAAGGCATTGAACTACGTGATCAAAGAAACTGCCGTGGTCTCAACTCTGATGGCGTCAAGTAACAGACTACAGTGACGTGATGATCTGCTCTCCGCGTCAAGCCTTCTCGGGCACAGAATCGCTTCTGGCATCCTCCGAGTTCCTCTGCACAGCCTCCGCTTCTCTTCTCCGCTCCGACCTTGCGGTCATATACAACAGGCCGGTTGTCCACAGAGCCAGTGCAATCGAACATCCGATCATCGCCCACATGCCCCTCTACCATCTTCGTTAGCTGATGTGCCAAATGCTTTCACGCGTGTCCTTGGCGGCATGCATGACAGAGCTTACAGTAAACCACGGCGCAAAGTTCGCACTGTAGAAGACGATACTCCACCAAGCATTGACGGCGTTACTTCCCATATTCATGCTCGCAATCACCACAGCTCGCAGCATGTCATCTTCATACCTCAGCGCGTCGTTCGCCCAAGCAAAGAAGGTTGCCTGGCAGGCGTAAACACTGCCGGCCCAATAATAGGCGCCGAAGATGCTCGCTGTGCTCCCGTGAAGTGTCAGAATCATAACGGATGTGACAATACCAGTGATAGCGATGAAGTAGCCGACAAGGTAGCGCTTGCCGCCCATGAAGTCGGTTAGGGTCGCCCAGAAGATCGTGCTGATAATGCCGACGGCGGGTACGCCAGTTGGGTAGTTGTTGAGCTGCGCGACGGTATACCTCCTGGTTGGGTGACTCTTCATGTACAGTGCCAGCAGGGCGTTCGTGCTGAAGGACTCGGTCTCTCCGGCGATGATCCAGAGGACGACGAAGCCGTACCAGTACCAGGAGGTCAGGACCTCCTTAAGGAATGAAAGGCTGAGAGGCGACCGCTTATGTGATGGCGGAGGCACGCGTGATACAGCGAGGCGGCGCTCGACAGCATTAAGGTAGGGAACCCTCGTTGTCGTAGGTGTATCTGGGAAGAGGAGGAAGCCGTAGATGGCTATGGGTAACGTGATAATGCCATCGATCTGGAGAGTCAGCACCACATCCTCTTCCGCGATGTGTTATACAGGGAGGACACTTGCGGACGCCCAAACGAACCGTCTTGAGCATGAATCGGTTCGAGAAAGCGGCTTGAGTAGTGTCCTATGCCATGCGATATAATTTAAGATTTAGGTTAAGAACTCAAGCTTACGATGAAGAGCCAGCGCCAGCCGCTGAGCCCGCTGCGGCCATTGAGCGAGGAGTGAATGCCAGTTTGGATAAATCCACCGATCATAGTGCCCGCAAGACCGGACGCAGTGAAGATGCCGCTTCGCTTCCCTAGCTCTCTTTCCGTGTACCATGAGCCAAGGATATAGTGAGTTCCGACAAACGTACTGGACTCGGCCAGTCCAAGGAAGAAGCGGATTGCCATAATGGACTGAGGACTCTGTACTGAGGCTGTGACCATCGTCAAACCACCCCAGACAAGCATCATGGCAGGGAAGAAGATGCGGGGCCGGATGTAATACAGGGCCAGATTCGAGGGTACTTGGCCAAGGATGTATCTTTACCTCATGAGTTATCAACCCGTGCGGCAGGCAAGAGTAACCTTCACACTTACCCGACGGTAAAAACTGTATTGATCTGGTTGAGCTGGTTCCCTACGAAGGATAGCTCTTCTCGCATGCCAGATACGTATGCATTGGCCAAGTTCGAGCGGTCGAGCTGAGAATGGATGAGCATCCGCAATGGTAACATAAGACTGACAAAGAGGGAGATCTCACGTAATTGGAGAAGTACATCAAGCAGCAGAAGGTCAAGATAAAGAAATCGAGCTTCTGCACTAATGCTCTCTCGCCGGGCAGCCCTTCGCCAGGTCGCAAGTAGTCCTTGACTTTACCCATGATTCAAGAGATTGGGACACAAGAAAACGATGACGAAGGGTCTCTGTTGTCTCTAGACTGCCGCACTCCCTGGCTATTAAGCATACTCGACCCTATATCAGCAGTTCCCGCATACACAGGGTTCGCGATAGCCGTTAAATTGGCACTGCAGGGGCATCGCACTCCGGTCGAGATAAGTGGCGTGACGGAAGCGGGAGTGAGAGACGGGCTATTTACTGCTGCATGAGGCCTAGAGTACTGGAGAGAGTTAAGATGACTCCGGAATAGCTACTCCTCATCTTCCAAAGACGTCCGAGGTAACATCAAAAAGGCCTCGGAGAGGTTGGGATGATCTGCAGCCGCGCGTGACATGGTGGAGTGGATCGCTGTAGGATTCGGCATCGTATCGGCCCAGTGTTGTAGCGGACCTAAAGTACTCCACGAACAGCGGGGTCCTAGACCACTTGGATCCGGGAGCCTTTGAAATCAAGTATCTCCTCGTAGGTGTATGGATGACCACTCCCTTGCCTTCCTTCGTGGTACAATCAAGATGAGCGGAAAGGAGAAACCTCAGTGGGAGCAGATAAGCGCCGCCAAGCGCAAGGCGCTGCTCGCGTCTCTTGAGGGTTTAATACCGGACCCTGACATCCTCCCTCCGGACTCCCAACTCGATGTAACAAGCTTCCCGGCCAGCTCAGGATGGTTCAAGGAACGGGAGTTGGAGATCACGGCGGCCAGTGCATCATTGATCTTGACCAATATCAAGGGCAGAACATGGAGTGCGGAGGAGGTTACCAGGGCCTTCTGTAAGAGGGCGGGCCTAGCGCATGTACTGGTAAGTACTGTCGTTGTCCTGATACTGGTCCTACATAAGCAGAGTCGACCACTGACATGCAATGATCGCTTCAAGGTCAATTGTCTATCCGAGACGCTCTTCGACGAAGCTATCGCTACTGCCAAATCCCTCGACTCCCATCTCAATTCGACCGGTGAGACCGTCGGTCCTCTCCATGGCCTCCCAATCTCCCTGAAGGACAACTTCAACATCATAGGCAAAGACTCCACAGTTGGCTTCGTGTCCTGGGTCAACGATCCGGCCAAGTACAACAGCAACATCGTAGACCTACTTCGCGATGCCGGAGCCGTGCTCTACGTCAAGACGAATGTCCCCACCGCCATGATGATTCCCGAGACGGTCAACAACGTGTTCGGCCGCACAGTCAATCCGTTGAACCGCAGCCTCACTTCTGGCGGAAGCTCGGGCGGTGAGTCAGCCCTCGTAGCATTCGGCGGCAGCCCGTTGGGTGTTGGCACGGATATTGGAGGCTCTCTGCGCATACCTGCAGCATGTACGGGCATCTTCACTCTGCGGCCTTCCTTTGGCCGTTTCCCAACGCTACGAGCACGCACCGGGTTGGCGGGACAGGAGGCTGTCAACAGCGTCAACGGGCCCATGGGCCGGACTCTGGAAGACATCGTGCTCCTTTCCAAGGTCATAGTCAACAGTGAGCCATGGCATAAAGACCCGAAGTGTCTGCCGATACCCTGGCATCCCGTCGAAGCTAAGACGAAGCTGAAGCTGGGCGTGCTGTGGGATGATGGCATGGCCAAACCTACGCCACCCGTCCAGCGAGCGCTCAAAGAGACGGTAGAGAAGCTCAAGAAGGCCGGACATGACATCGTAGACTGGGCACCAGACGGCCATGCACAAGCACTAGGGATCCTCGGCCGCATGTTCGTAGCCGACGGCGGCAAGAGCATAAGGAAGATACTAGAACCGGTGAACGAACCGTGGAGGCCGGAGATGGAGTACTATACAAAGGCACAGGAGCTGGGAGTCTATGACATGTGGCAGCTGCAGCTCGAGCGGAGCGAGCTGTGCAAGCAGTACCTGGACCGATGGCACGCTTGCGATGGACTAGATGCCATTCTTGCACCAACCACACCGTATGCGAGCGTTGAGAACGGGAAATTCAAGCACGTTGGGTACACTGGGGTTTATAACATCTTAGACTACTCGGCGGTGTCGTTTCCCTGCGGAGTTACTGCGGATAAGGATCTCGATCAGTCAACTGGGGAGGAGCCTCTTGGTGACATGGACGCTGAAGTACAAAACAACTGTAAGCCTATTAAAGCATTCTAAGTACGATGGAAGACTCGTTGCTAACTGAACTTGCAGATGACGCAGCCAACGTTCATGGTATGCCGGTGAGCCTGCAGCTTATCGCGAAGAGGTTGGAGGAAGAGAAGGTCCTCTCAATGACGGAAACGATCCTCAAGGCCCTGTAAGTGGGGCGTTTGTTGGGCGCTTCTTAGAAGGCTGCAGGACCGGGTGATACTAGAGCCACGATACAGCAGTACTACTTCGCCCTAACCGAGCTTACAAACGGAAAGATATGCTCGCACAAAGAAGCCTGAGAATCATGCAGCGGTGCGTGGACATGCTTTGATCAGTGAATCTTCTCATGCAGGATAAGCAGTTGTGTTCACTGAAGGTCTGTCATGCTCACGGTCCTACACCGTCAGAGGGTCTTCATTCCGATGGTCCTGCCGCGAGCGTAAGTGACTTAACGGAACATACGGGCCGCAGGAGTTAATTCAGGGTCAGTGACGTATCCAGGGTCTTGCGCGCTAATGCCGCCCTTCCGCCCCACGCATGCCATGTGCCGGCTGCCGGTCGATCATGAAGCGGGTAGGTTTCCGGGTTTGGAAATACACGCGCTTCCATCCAAACTTTTCTGAACTCGCATCCAAACAACATTGCCTGTCCCTCGAACTTGTCGACTCTTATTGTACGTCGATACCGCTCGCTCCAGCCATACTATTCACCACGATGACAACCATCCTCATCACAGGCGCCGCATCCGGCATCGGCCTCGCCTTCCTACGCCATTACGCCGCGAGCTCGCACAACCATCGCATAATAGCCATCGACCGCGAACCTATATCTTCCCTCTCTTCTGAGCCCACCAAGTCCCAGATCACCCGTCACCAAGTCGACCTCACCTCCGAGTCCTCCATCACATCCCTCGCCAGCCAGCTCAACACCACCCCAGTCGACCTCGTCATCCACTCAGCCGGCATCCGTGGCCTCGTGCCCTCCGTCGAAGCCGCATATCCCAACAACGTCGCCGCATGCGAAACACTAGCTGTGATGGACAAAGCGACCCTAATGCGCACCTTCGAGATCAACACCGTGGGAACCTTCCTGCTCATCCAGGCATTCCTACCCTCTCTCCTTCTTTCCGCCGCTCCGAAGGTCGTAGTCATGGCGTCGAGAATGGGCAGCTTGGCGGCCAATACAGCGGGCTCGGCGTATGCGTATCGTGCGTCCAAGGCGGCGCTTAATGCTGTTGTGAAGAGTTTCTCGATTGATGTGCCGGAGGTTGTGTTTGTGCTTGTGCATCCGGGACGGGTGGAGAGTAGGTTGGTGAGGTGTAAGGAGGAGGGTGCGATTGAGGCGGAGGAGAGCGTGGAGGAGATGTTAGATAATGTTATCGGGAAACTGGGCAAGGAGTGGAGTGGGCGGTACGTGGATCGCTGGGGAAACGCGATTGCATGGTGAGTGGCGTTGGGCATGGTAGCAAGATAGGAAATGTCGCGGAATGGGTATTTGTGTGGGTTTGGGTCACTGAGGAGTTGGATAAGAACCTTGTCAAAAGTCTATAGCATCATAGGAGCAGGGTGTTTGGGGTTTGGGAAGAGAAGGAATTGCCACGCCATCTCTCAGACAGGGCGGCCGGTAGAATTGCGCTCTGGTCGTAGAGTTTTCCGCTGATAGTGATGAACCTTGCGGGCTTCAATCGGAGGATATTCTCATGAAGGAGAAACATGAGGCATGCTCACATGTATAAAGAGGATATCAACATGTTAGAGATAGAGTTAGATGATAGATTACGCCGCATTACAGATATGCGAAGGCCTTCCTACCCGCGTTCTGATTCGCTCTGCTCTGTGCAGAGCCAGCGCACACTACGCATGGGATATCCTAAGTTTCAACACACAACGCCTGCCGCCGGAATCCGAGATGCCCATCCCAGCGCTACCTGTGCCGACCAAAATGCAGGACATGAAAACACGAAGCCCTCAGCCGCTCCTGTCTTTCAAGGATTCCTTCTCGTCTCAATTCTCACCGTCGAATACGCGACTCCGCTAACTCTTCTCTTCCTCCCTTGCGTGTCCGGCAATCTTATCTAGATCCTCCATTCCCGCGTCGAATTTTCGAAGTACAGCCCCCATAGCCGCGATCACATCTCCACCTGCTGCTTTCCGCGCCTCTGATATCAGGTCTTCCGCATCCCTCCTCTTCCCGGCTCCCGACAGTGTCGTTCCTTCCACGCGCAGCATGAGACCAGTGTTTCCTGCCTCCTTTGCCCCCTCGTCCCACGTAGGTGCCGCTGAGACTGCCGTACCCGTCACCTGCCAATCCTTATTCAGACTTTGTGCCTTTGCCACAACTTGTCCGTCTGGTGCCATATCCACAACTAGAAATCTCTCCTTTACCCCTGTTCTGGGGCCTGGCAGTGGTGATGTCTGTATCATGCCTGAGCTCTGCTCGTCGGAATACGCTCGAGCAGCTGGAGGAGCGTCAAAGGAAGGGTTGAGCGCGCGGAGGGAGGCGGCGGTGACGATCTCAGGGTCGTCATCCGAGAAGATGTAGTAGGTCGATGGATGGTAGTGTTCTCCGGTCGAAGCATCTTCGATGAGTGTGAAGAGAGGTTGGAAGTTTGGTGGAGGCAGGAGACTGCCACCTGCACCATCGTTGGGGCCTGTACTAGGAGGTATGTAGGTGTCGTCCTCTACTTCGGCGTTGCCCTCTTCTGGCGGTGTTTCTTCTTGTTTGCTGCCGGAATTCTGCGCGTACGAGGTAAAGCTGGGAGCTGGTGAGTGCGTGCGCAGCCGCTCATCTCCATCGCGAGCGTTGGGATTGTTGCTGAGGAAGGACCGCCGCTGGGTTCTGCGTGCAGTGGTTAAGGCTTGAGTGGCGGAAGAGGCTGAAGACGATACATCTTCGCGAGGAAGAGGTGAGGGTAGCAAAGGTGATGGGCGTGGACTGTTCGACATGGTATTGCAAGAAGGCCAGGCTGTGGTGAGCTTGTGAAGTCAGTGATCGGCGGAGTTATCGATAGAGCTTAAAGGGACACGTGATTCCGTGACAACATCGCGAAGAACTTAGAGGTCGTCTGCTGGAAACTGCGAAGCATGGACAAGAATCTGCGGAAGATGAAAGCTATGCAAATCAGGTGACACGCCAGCAAGAACTCGAAACCGTGAGCATTGGTAAAAGCGCATCAAGACGGTTCAAGTTTCAAAGCCAACCTACAGAGCGCCTACACTAGGGGTATATCCATGTGAGAAAAGCCTGTGAACTCCGAGCAATGGCGTGGTAGAGAATCCGTGAGTGATATTTTTCGAGATCTCTGAGCGCGGAGTCCCTTATCCGGCGTGCCCGACAGCATCCTTCGCCTTGAACACTGCAAACAATGGTGAGCCATTCCTCGCTGAAGGTTAGGGAAGTCGGTCCCAGGTACCTTGTCGGCACATAGGACACTTGTCTTGGGAAGACTCTTGTCGGATCCATTTGACGATGCAGTGCTGTGGGTGCGGGCGCGTAGTCAGCGATAGTCGCTCCAGTTTCGGGGATGGCAACTGCTGGAGGCTCACCATGTGGAAGGAATGGTTGCACTCGCCCATGACTGTCGTCCTGTCAGCTCAATACCTATCAACTGTAGGGAGGTAAACGGAAAGGCTAGAACACACGCAACGGACACTCGTCGCCAGGGAACTTGCAGGCGGTGCACGTGCTGTCGTAGGGATTTCGACAGATGCCGCACATGTCGTCCTCGGGCATGTCCCAGCGCCAGGCGGCGACGGCGTTCCACTGTTTGATCGTGACCTTCATCTCCGTGGGCTGGACAGACGCAAGAAGACTTGAAAGTGGAGACACCTAGTTGAGTTGGGTACTCGTACTCAGCACAAGCAGAACTCGCAGTGGCTTGAGCAACGGGATATGTAGGTAACGACCAGGCATGCCAGGGTGTTGGATGTCACGTGCGCTTGGTGAGGGGCGTTTATCAGAAAGCGCTGCCAGCGAGCCAGCGAGCCAGCGAGCCAGCGAGCCAGCTTGGACCCTTGAGCGAGCTCCAGCTTCGTCCCACTGTCGAGCTGTCGAGCTGTCGAGGTCATGCCAGAAGCCCGCCAGCCCCGTCCGCGCCGCCTTGATTCTTTCCAGCTTGAGACGGAACTGAGCCCGTTGCGCCTGACCAGGCCCGCTGCATCCCCGCAGCAGCTGCACGCAAAAGCAACGCGCGTGGAGAGGAACCCAACTGCAGATCACTGAAGCTTTGCAACCTTCCCCCAGCCTTCCCCTCATTTCCTCATCCAGCAGACGGCCTCTCAACTCCGGACTCTTTCCCAAGCCTCAGCTGGCTCTGCCAGAGCTTCGAACTTCAAATTCAATCCTCTTCCAGCTGCATTGGCAGAACATCAACACAGCATTACAGGCCCGCTACCACAGCCATGCTTCTCCACATCCGCCCTCCCGCTTCCGCCCTCCGCTCCTCCCCAGGAGCTCTCTCCTCACGGACTCCATGTGTCTTCCGTCGAACGCTCTCGTCCTACCTAGTTACCCCCGCCGAGCTCTCCACCGCCCTGAAGAAGAACTCCTCTTCCAAGATCTCCACCGCGCCGCGCATCGTGCCCCTCTGCGCGACCTGGTTCCTGCCCAACGACCCTGCCAAGCGCACAGGCTGGAACGAGTTCAAATCCATCCGCATCCCACGCGCCAAGTTCTTCGACATCGACAAGATCAGCGACTCGTCGTCCTACCCGCACATGCTGCCCTCGGCCGACCTGTTCGCGCGCGCGATGCGCCGGCTGGGCATCAGACGGGAGGACACGGTCGTGGTCTATGACAGCAAAGATCTCGGCATCTTCAGCGCCCCGAGGGTGGCGTGGACGTTCAAGGTGTATGGGCACCCGGACGTGCATATTCTGAACAACTTCAAGGTCTGGTGTGATGATGGTTACCCGACCGAGAGCGGCATGCTGGAGAAGCTGGAGGCGGTCGACTATCCTGACCCTGAGCTGGACAAGGACAAAGTGGCCGCTTTCGAAGACGTGCGAGATGTTGCGCGCCAGCAGAGTGGTGCTTTGTCCCCCCGATCTGTGCAGATTCTTGACGCTCGGAGCCGAGGACGGTGGGAGGGAAAGGAGCCAGAACCGCGTCCAGGTAAAGCTCAATGTTATCCTCGAATCCCTCAAGTGCGTATGAAAGTAACCCCTCTGCAGGTCTGCCCTCCGGCCACATCCCCTCTTCCGTCAGCGTCCCCGTCTCCGAACTCCTGCATCCGGAAAGGAAGACGTTGCTCCCGCCCGCCGAGTTACAAGCCCTGTTCAAGCAAAAAGGCGTTGACCCCTCAATACCTACCATAAGCAGCTGCGGGACTGGTGTCACAGCCGCCGTGATTGATGTGGCACTAGCAGAGGCTGGCTTCGCCGAGCGAGGGAGGCGGATATATGATGGTAGCTGGACAGAGTGGGCTTCGCGGGCTAAGCAGGATGGGATGGAGGACGCGCTGATCGGAAGAGCTTGATATGGATGAGGGCGGAGCGGACTTGAAACGACTATGCGGGCTAGGATGGATGTGTCACACGATACCCTTATGTTTGCCGTTTCGTAGTGTGTTGTTCTAGACATTATCTATATTGGCAGTTTCGCGTTGCTTGATTGGGTTCTACAGCTGAGCGTTTTTGGTGTTCTTGATCGATAATGTAACAAGTACTACTACCCATTCCATGGGAGAGAACCCCGTCAAATGACTGCTGCGGACCGCTGTGAACCCAATCTGTACGACGCCTTGCCCAATTGCTGGTCAACTCAAGAAAAGCGATACGATCCGCTCTACGGGTCCAGTGGAGTACCGCACAGGGATAGCCGACTTAACAGCGAAGCGGATGGGGGAACGTTTGAGAGCGATGCATTGCTGGCTCGTACGACTACCAGACTGCCACCCGTGGTAGCCGTCCTCCGACGGACAAGATGGTCGTGCGCGACATAGTGGTCTCCGTCTTTCAGTACGTAATTGCCCAAAAAGGCCCAGCAGGTCGAGAGCGACCTTTGCCGGGTTGTGGAGCACCGTCGCCTGCACCACGCACTCTACACATCTGCCGGTCCTCAAAGTGGCTAGAACATGAGATGGCACTGTACTGAACAAGCCCACGGCAAGGCTCCTCGGCTGATTGGCAGCAGGGCCCTGAGGGGATGGCGGTTAGGTATCGTTGCATAGCTGTTGCGCTGCGGAATTGCTCATTGATGCCATTTGCCACACTCTCCAACGTACAGTCTATTATGGCAACGTCGTAGTCTCTCTGCTGGTCCAGTCTTCCCAAGACCAAGTGCACCACTGCGGTCTTAATGCCACCAGATGTGCCGAACCCTTCTTCGTCCACGGTGATGCCGCGTCTGGTGTGTTTAAACAGGATATCGAATCCCGTCAAGGAGGCAGAGAACCGTAGACACCGACCGCCGATAGCGGAGTCAAGACTGCACTGCTCGCAGAAGATCGCCCGTTCGGTGAGCCAGCGGGTGTGTTCCTCGACGAGTCGCCCAAATTGAGCGTGAAGTAGTTGCCGCCCTGCTGCGAGACACTACTGGTTGGGCTGATGAGATTCGCTGATGTGTTGGGCCTGAAGGAGGCGACCCGCTGGAAGATTTGGAAGCATTCTGCCTTCAGATATGTAGAGAAGGGAAACTCTACGAGGATCGCCTCGACCTGCTGCCATTCGGAGATGCTGAGCTCATGGAAGAGCGTGGCCAGTAATTCTGCTCTCTTGTAATTAACCGCGTTATTCTTGAGAGGTGCGCTAACAAGAAGTGCCCATGTGACGAGATGCTTGATGCCGATACCAGTGAGTGCTTCGAGTTCCAACGCGAGGAGAAACTCGGTGAAGCGGGAGGCCCCACGGTCATAGAAACTGTCTGCTGCGCTGAATGTTATGAGCAGTGCTTCGACTACGCTAAGACTTCCTAGGCGCAGACACTCATTGAAGATGAATTTGACTCTCTCGTGATTATCCGGGGGCTCCGCTCTCAGGTCTTCGGGCTGCAATGATCTTATCTGAAGCAGAGATCGTATAGACGAAAGTTCCTCCACCAGATACAGATACCCAGTGCGAGCAGCTGTGTTCGCTGGCGCAGCTTCGAGTGACTTGATGAGGTTCTTTAGCCGTGGCATAAGGTCGGCCATCTCAGAGCTGAGCAGGTACTTCGTCGTGAGCATGCTGAGGTGATTTACTGGGATGGTTGGCGAAGGATTTTGGCCGTTATCAGGCATGCTTTGCGAAGCCGACAGCTGTGGGAAATACGCGGTTCTCCCAGTCAGCAGCTGCTGTAGAGAGTCAAGCCAAGTAAGCATCTTCTTCACGAAGCCCTCGAGTCCAAGACAGTCTACACCACCCCGCATCGCAACCATGGCCTGCAAACCAATCATGTGGACATGGTTCGTGAGGAGATCGCCGAACAAAATTTCATATCCCGCCATTGAGATGACTGCACCAATGGTCGCGGGGGTCAGTGACTCGGACCTAGCCTGTAAGGAGGAGTTAATGGTTTGAATCGTCTGGCCCTTAAGTTGAAGCAGTTGAGCCGGGCCGATCAAGACCTTTCCCATTGACGCGCTATGGCTAGCTGCAAAGAGGATTTCGACTAAGAACAGCGGAGGGGATGTCATTGACAGAGGCCACCACCGGTCTCTGAGCGTCCTCACGTATTCTTGGTCCATCCCCATGGCACCAAACTGAGCCAGCTGGTCTACGTCCCGGATGTCCGGCGCCAGGTGAGTGAGGTCTGCACAAAGTCAGTAAAGGGTAGAGCGGACAAGCATTCTGACTGTAAGCTTTAATCGAGAACGCAGCATCTATACCACTCAGAGTAGCACTTACGATGATCAACCAGCGCCGGCATGAAAGGCTGCCATGCCACGGGATAGGTACGGAACGGATCGACCCTGCCCTGGCCAAGGGCTCGGTTCTGAAGCGAGAGCTGTGTCACCCTGGCCAGGTGTTTTGATACGAGCTTGGACGACGACGACTCAGGCCCGGGGGTCGTCGTATTCGAGCTGGGGCTCGATCTCGAGCTGGAGCCGACTGGAGACCCTGCTTGTTTCGATTTACGCTTCACTCGCGGCTGCTTGACCGATCTTGGCTTTAGGGCTGCGCGAGAACGAACCAGCCTCTGGTGTTTGGAGAGGCGCGAGTCTGCTGGTGACACGATATTGATGAAGTCGAAGACAACTGGCTGTTGCGCTACGGTCCCGGGCTCAGGAGCAGGAGGCATTTCTCGGCGCTGTAACTCGGCGGCTGACCGCCTCTGGGCCCCTAGCGGTTCATTCTCACTCATGAACTCGGTGGTGAGTTTCCTGTGCAACAACAGCGGACATCAGCGGACATCAGCGAGGAGCCTCAACGCTTCAGAATGGAAAACCCCCTCCATGCACTGGAAAACCCCCTGGTGCAGATCGCCGATTGATCTCCAGAGGCGCAGGCTTGGCGCTTGCAGCGTGGGAACAGGTACCTCAAGCATATCTTGTACCACAAAGACGACCATCACTCATTTGGGTAATACGAAGCAGTGAGTGCCCTACCGAATGTCAACTCTGATCCTCTTCCAACAACAGGACTAGCCTCTGGTCAAACCACCCGTCTGATCATTCTGCCGTCATGTATACACCGCCATCCCCCTGCTCCCGCCCCTCATTGGTCCACAGCCCGCAAGCTTCGGTCCCGCTGCGGAGAGGTCATGAACTGAACTGTCCGGCATCCGTAAGGTCTTTATGGCACGGCATGGCCTTCGTCGGATCCATCGCTAATCCCAGACTCGGCTTCTTCGTTGTGGCTGTTTGAGGAGCTTACCGCTGTATCACTACTACGCAACCCGCTTGAGAGCTCTAGGCCTCCTCGCCGCAAACGGTTGAGTTTGGAGGGGACGCAGGAAAGAGCCTTGTTTTTACTCGGATCCTTCCCTATTATCCCGTTCCATAGTTGTCTAGATATCCTCGATCGATTGTCGTATCACTGCAATGCACGAATCCGTCTCACGCCAGTCCAGGGACTCCATAAAGGACGTCTGGGGTCCTCGGACACCATACAAGCACGAATGGCCCACCCGCGTCGACGAGCATGTCATTGAAGAACCCGAGAAGTGGGTGCAGAGTGCTTGTGTCCTTTGCAGGTACGGCCTTCGCATGATGTATACAAAGCCGTAACAGGCTCGGTTTCACAATGTCGGTAGCTAATCCGAAACACTATGTCTCAGTAACGGCTGTGGAATGGACATAGGGGTCAAGAATGGCAAAGTTGTCGGAGTCCGCGGACGCGCAACTGACCGCGTGAACAAGGGCAGACTGGGTCCCAAGGGATTACACGGGTGTGTTACCGGCAGCAGCAAGAGCAGCAACCTTGAACATGAATCATGTACCTTAACAAGTGGATCACAGATGGCAGTCTATGAACAGCGCCGATCGTCTCACCCACCCCCTGGTCCGGAAGAACGGCCGTCTCGAACGCGCATCATGGGACGAAGCTATGGGCCTCATTGTCTCCAAAACGAAAGATGTCCGCGAACGGTTAACTAACCACGGAATCGGATTTTACACATCTGGCCAACTTTTTCTTGAAGAGTATTACGTCCTGGCTCTGGTAGGGAAAGGAGGTCTGAATACACTTCACATGTAACAAGTCTTAGCTAAAACTCAGTTCCAATTGAGATGTGCGTCCGGTTGACATCTTGCAGGGATGGCAACACTCGGCTTTGCACAGCGACAGCGGCAGCTGCCATGCGCGAGTCCTTTGGCTCTGACGGACAGCCAGGATCTTACACAGACATCGACTATACTGCCTGCATTTTCATGGTGGGCCACAATATGTCAGCCACCCAGACGGTTCTTTGGTCACGCATTCTTGATCGTCTGGAGGGGCCAGATCCTCCACGTCTCATTGTGGTGGACCCACGGCTATCAGGCAGCGCAAAGAGGGCGACCGTGCATTTGGCGCCCAAGATCGGGACGAACATGGCGCTCCTGAATGGAGTTCAGCATCTCATGTTCAAAAATGGCTGGATCAACGAAGACTACTTATCTAAGCATGTCGTCAACGTGGAAAACCTGCGGGAAAAAGTACGGTCGTACACGCCCGAGATGGTTGAGAAGATTACAGGTGTTCCCAAAGCGCAACTGGAAGAGGCCGCCAAAATCATCGGAACGACGGAATCCCTTTTGTCGACTTGTCTGCAGGGCGTGTACCAGTCAAATCAAGCAACCGCCAGCGCCTGTCAAGTCAACAACATCAACCTTCTGCGTGGCATGATTGGTAAACCCGGCTGCGGCATATACCAAATGAATGGCCAGCCTACGGCTCAAAACAACCGCGAAGCCGGTTGTGACGGCGAATACCCTGGTTTCCGGAACAACAACAATCCAGAGCACATGAAGGAGTTAGCGAAGCTCTGGAACATTGACTACGAGAAGCTGCCACACTGGAACCAACCGACGCACATCCAGAACATGCTGAACTATATCGCCAGTGGAACAATCGAAATGTTTTGGATCAGCGGCACCAATCCGCTTGTCAGTCTACCGAACCTTCCTAGAGCCCGGGAGCTTCTGACAAAGCCGGAACTATTCGTCGTGTGTCAAGATATATTTATGACCGAAACAGCTGCTATAGCGGACGTGGTACTCCCAGCGGCGCAATGGGCAGAAAAGACGGGTTGTTTCACAAACGTGGATCGTACCGTGCATCTTTCCCATAAAGCCGTCGAGCCCCCGGGCGAAGCAAAGTCGGATCTGGCCATATGGGTCGATTTTGCAAGAAGGATGGATTTCCGGGACAAGGATGGCAACCCGCTCATTCCGGGGGAGACACCGGAAGAGATTTTCGAGGCCTGGAAGAAACTATCGAAGGGCAGACCATGCGACTATAGCGCACTGACTTACGGAAAGCTTACGGGTGGGTCGGGGCTTCAGTGGCCGTGCAATGATGACCATCCAAACGGGAAAGAGAGGCTTTTCGACGATGGCCATTTCTTCACCGACGCTGAGTACTGTGAGAGTTTTGGTCACGACCTGGAAACGGGCGCACCTTACACAAAAGATCAGTACCTCGCGATGAATCCTGCCGGCCGCGCCATTCTGAAGGCTTGCCATTACCTTGCGTCCGAAGAGGAGCCTGACGACGAGTTCCCGCTGCGGCTGTCCACGGGGAGGAACGTGTATCACTTTCATACTCGGACGAAGACCGGAAGATCGCGGGCTTTGCAAGAAGCCTGTCCGGAGCCGTATGTTCAGGTATCCAACGAGGACGCAGCTGAAATAGGTATTGAGGACGGCGAGGAGGTACTTGTCCGGTCGAAACGAGGTGCAGTCCAACTCAAGGCTCAAGTCGGTAAACCGGCCAAAGGACAGGTCTTCCTTCCTTTCCATTTCGGATATTGGGATGCGAAAGATGAAAGAGCCAGGGCCGCGAATGAGTTAACGACGGGTGAGTCATATTCCGGGTTTCACTTCGCAGCCGTTGATCGCCCTTTCACTGCTGACAGCCGGCAGAGCGGTGGGACCCGGTGTCCAAGCAGCCACGCTTCAAAGATGGCGCAGTCCGAATCGAGAAACTGCCCAAAACGAACGGCGAAGTCCAGATTCATGCGAAAGAGCAACAGTCCTCTTCTGAGAAACGCGTATCGCGTGACAAGCAGAATGCCGCTGATGACAGCCACGACACCAAACGCGAGCGGCATCTCGAGCATTGGTTCGGCGCTACGTACGAGTCTGTCGAACTTCTGACTGAGATCTATGCCAGCCTTATCCCCAACATCACGAATGACTTCGAAATTCTCCAAGGATTGCAGATCTTGAAGTCCATCGCGCACAGCACCTGCGAGATACTCGAGCCCTTCGTTGAGAAATATACAGCTGATGAGCAGTACGGAAAGCGGATATCTCATGCCTTGAGGGATAGCGTGTTCCCGTACGGCCAAGAAGAGGGGGATACGCATGCCTATGCAGCACTCGCTGGACTGCTTGGGCTGCAGATTTATCTAAGCAACATTGAAGGTCATCTCAATGCCCTTGTACCAGCCAGCTTAGCTCTCTGGGATTCGCAGTTTAGTGATGCAGTTGGGGCGGCGATGCAGAACATTGCGAGGAGTCAGGCGTGGGTCAAGCACCAGATCACCGTGCGGAGTCCGCAAACGCTTGTTGTGCCTAGTTTGATTGAGCGGCGGGATGTTTGAACAATTCGTTCTCAATTAACATTAATCAATGTTCCGTCTCAGCACGTTCGTGCGATCTGTTGGCGATAGATGCGATGTTCATGACCCAAGAAGTGAATACCAACTCTGATGTCCCACAGCAATTCGATATTGTTAATGCGGTAATGAAAAGTGATGATCATTAGAACCATTTCGGCTGGATCGGGAAACCATGGAAGAAGGCGCCTGACGTCATCCTGACCATCCGTTTCAGGCCTGCAATTTTGCGTTTGGTCATGCTAAAGTACTGCCGGCTCAATTGCGTTCACGTTCGGTGCACAACGTCTCAAGTCTTGTACAATGCGGGTTGTTGAACAGAATACCATCCTTAACCGTAATACACGCGAAGATCCAACCTATTGCCACTACATTGCAAATTCATCCGAAGCACTGCTGTGAGGTCAAGGCGATAATGGCGACGACATATGCCGAAGCGCTCGAATCCATACGCACACTGGCTCAAGAGAGATCAGCGTCGCGGGAAAACCAGCTTGAGCTCGTATCCTTAAATCAGGCTGTCGGCCGCATCATGGCCAACGACATTTACAGTCCGATGACAACCCCACTTTTCGACACAAGCGCGATGGATGGCTTTGCTGTCAGTTCCGCAGCAACGACAGGTGCCTCGGAGGAGAATCCAGTGATAGTCCACATAAAAGGCACGATGATTGCTGGGGATGTTCCAATTACGGTTTCTGGAGAAGTCCGTGATGGTATCGTGCCATGCATGGAAATCATGACTGGTGCGAGGTTTCCGGAAACATACGACGGTCCAGAATTCGACGCCTGCGTTCCGCTGGAGCAAACCCTGGACGTGCCCGGACGCGCTGCCAATGAGTACAGACGGGTGGTCAAGCCAGTGATCCCCAGTCAGCATCGAAGACTTGCAGGTAGCGACTTTCAACGCGGCGAACTGGTTGTCTCAGCTAGAACAATCCTTCAGCCGCAGCATATAATGGCTTTGGCATCTGTGTGCATCGCGGAGGTTGAGGTTCGGAGGAGAGTTCGTGTGGGTATTTGGTCGACTGGCTCCGAGCTGCAGAGCAGCGGTCATGGGGATCCGGAGAGAGATAGAATTCCGGATATCAATGGGCCGTATCTGGATGCGACACTTCGGAACGAAGGGTATGACGTTGCGTTCTTCGGCACAATTGGCGATGAGCCCGACGTGTTTGCAAAAGCCCTCCGTTCACGATTGGCGTCCGGGGGTTTCGATGTGTTCATCACTACCGGAGCTGTATCCGCGGGCAAGTTCGATTTCGTGCGCCAGGTGCTTGAGGATGTTGGGTCGAATATTGCGTTTCATAAAGTAGCAATCAGACCGGGGCATCCGGTTCTTTTTGCAACGTTACCAACGAAGACTTTAAACCATATGAACGGATCAGGGAATGGGAACGGCCACAACGAATCTCCCAAGCCTACAAGGCCTGTTTTCTTTGGGTTACCTGGCAATCCACTAGCAGCTGCTGCATGCCTTCGGTTTCTAGCCTTGCCATATCTCAGACGTCTTGAAGGGTTGCCTCAGACAAGTTCAATTGAAGCGCGAGCAACAGCCATAGGATGTGCTGAAATATCTAATCGTTTGCGGAGTCCTAGGAACAGTCGGGTGGAAATACTGCAAAATCTTTCCCATCTCGACGTGTTTCGCCATGGCAGGCTAGATTGCGGAGCGGACGGTTGGCAAGTCTATCTGACCGAAGATCAGAGTCCAGCCAAAGTAAAGCCATTTAGCACCGCCAATTGTTGGGTTCATATTCTTAGAGGACGCGGTCCTCTGATGAACGGGGACCTTGTACAGTGCTATACGCTGGAAAAAAGCTTCGGAGGGCTTCCGGTGGTTTAAGATGCGCAACACTTTGCATGAAAAGCATCACAGCATTGATTCTTTTCAACATCCTGGGAGTTGTACGGTGAAGAACAGGCGCAGCCGGTATTATAGATTAAATAATGCCAGCAAGCCCTATAGCTTTATCCCACTCTTCCTTTGTGTTTGTGTTCATTAGCGTTCGTGGCTCAAGGGGCGATATTGCCTTCGTGTCAAGCATCTTCACAGCTCTTGTCGGTCCAGTCATTCCGTGACGTACATTGTCTTCAAGCTGTCTCAAGGCTTGAGGACTCCAGATGGCAATCAGCGGCTCTACGAAACCCTTCTCGTTCTTGAAGCACGTCAGAGGCTCCTCGAACTGCTCATTCAGGTGGATAAGCGCAGCAGTGGTCACGAAGGGATAGTCGCAAGCGAGTACTAGCCAATGCGAATGCGGTGAGTGTTTGTGTGCGGCCAGAAGTCCCGCCGCTGGTCCAATATCTGGGCCTTGGCGGTACTGTTCTTGGTGCCAGAAACCGTCATGTAGGATTTCCGTGGCGATGCCAGGAACGGCGGTCAGACCAGACATCTGCTGAGGGTCTCGTAGAGATACGAATACACTCTTGGCATTGGGGCATGCCTCCCGTAGCTGGCGAAGTAGATGCTTGTAAACCGGTTCCCCGTCTTTGAAAGGGAGAAGGTGCTTAGGCGTCCCCATTCGAGATGATAGGCCTCCGGCGAGGAGCAGAGGCTGAAGGCCTTCCGGTAGTTCCATGATGTGTACAGGCTGGTCCTTGACTGATCGAAGACAGGAGATGGATTAGTAGGCTCTATCTGATCTTGTATTCCCCCAGAGAGGTAGAACGCTTCTTACCTCTTGGTAGCGGCTCCCAATTGAGGGTCCTTGCCTGGTTTTTGTCGTCTATCTTGGTGACACCGAACACGGCATATTTCTGCGGTTCAAGAATCAATGTTCAGACTTTCACGCGCTGCCCAGTGGGTTAGGAAGGGTTATCGAAGCGCGATGAGTAAGCAAGGCCCCATCTCCAGCTTCCTGCTGAAGCACGTTCATCTGTCAGCTCGCAGACACGCTACAATTCGCACGCTCGTCGCGAGCATGCCTGGAACCATGAAAGCTGCAGTAGTGCACGAGCCGGGTGAGCCGGAGGTGCTGAAAATCGAAGAACTCCCAATCCCCACGCCAGAGGACGGGCAGCTGTTGATTCGCGTCAAAGCGTTCGGCTTGAACCGCTCTGAGCTGTTCACGCGCCAGGGCCACTCGCCAGGTGTCAAGTTTCCGCGTGTCCTTGGTATCGAAGCTGTAGGTATAGTCGAGGAAGCACCAGGAAATGAGTTCACGAAGGGCGACGTTGTTGCAACGGCCATGGGTGGCATGGGACGGCAATTCAATGGCGGATACGCAGAGTACACATGTGTCCCAGCAGCACAGGCTCAATCATTGCGACAAGCAACGAACTCCCGTGGGAGACGCTCGGCGCCGTACCGGAGATGCTGCAAACGGCATGGGGATCGCTATTCAAGTCACTGCATCTCACCAAAGGCGAGCGTCTTCTCATCCGCGGCGGTACCACATCAGTTGGTCTAGCGGCTGCGGCGATTGCGAAAAACCATGGCGTGCATGTTGCTTCTACGACTCGTAGAGCAGACCGTGCGGACATGCTGTGGGCGAACGGCGCTGATGAGGTCTTCATTGATGATGGGAAGGTGGCTGAACAAGCCAAACGAAGCTTCGACAAGGTGCTCGAACTGGTTGGCACCATAACGCTTGAAGACTCTCTGCAGTGCGTCAAACAGGGAGGGATCGTTTGCATGACAGGTATGGTCGGTAACAGGTGGACTTTGAACGATTTCAGCCCCATGGAATCTATTCCGTCAACGGTATGCTGAGCTTTATCTCGTTGTGTATTTCAAACAGAGCTCTCTGTGGCCTAGAGCTCACCCAGTGTTCTCGCATTAACATGAGATTGTATTCCTGCATGCTTATCTGCTATATTTTACAGGTATCTCTGACGACCTATAATGGCGGCTCGCCGGAGTTCAGGGAGACGCCTTTGAAGGAAATGATCGAGCAGATCGCAGCTGGCAGGCTGCATGTGAAGGTTAGCAAGGTGTTTCGTCTTGATGAGATTGTAGAGGCGCATCGGTTCATGGAAGAAGTGGGCGGTGGAAAGGTGGTCGTGCTGCCATAGGGCGTCAACGCACGTATTCACGTGACGTCTTGCACGCACGTTTTGCGTCCGGGGGCGGTCCCAACGAAACCTAGGGCAAGCAGGTGTAAAACAGATGCCGAGGCATGTACTTCAGGTCCCAATATTCCAGCCCCAACGCCAGCTTGATCTGTACCTGCGGGCAGCGCAAAGTACGCTTTGACATTCTGCGTAACCGTCCACATCCTCTTTGCAACATGTGATGAACCGAGAGGTTTATCGGCATCCTTTCACGCTGTGCGGGTGAAATCAGTCCCAGTCCCAACAACTGCCAGGCTGCTGCGTGGTCAGAGTATGTAGGTGTTGAGTTTCCACGAACCTCCATCTTGAAAGCATTTACACTTCGTAGTCTACCGGTACAGGAATCATCATGATCGGAACCTCGTTGTGGGAGTACATCTTCATTCGCGGCTGTGCCATAGGCCTTCACTTTATTGCTCCCCTCAGCTTACTCTATTGCTCCATTGTCCTGTTCCTGCGGGCTATTGGGATACACGACTACCGCTACCCGTTGATACTTGAAATATGGCTTCTGGCCGAAACTGCATTCTTCCTTTTTGTCTACCTTCCATTCAATTACTACCTCCAGCGCGCTGCTACACATCCGGAGCTTCCTTCTCGCGACGGCCGCCGGGAGCTCTTCAGAAAATGCCACGATAACGTCCCGGATCCCCAGCGGTACTTATCGAAATGGTTTCTCAATGCTTCAGCTGAAGACATCAAGCGGGAAAATGTCAAGGAATTTCTGCGGTGGGCATTTCTGAACAAAGGCGAGATTGACGCGGCGGATGAGGAAGAGCTAGACGAGTATGTTGAAGGGCTTGAAAAGCTTGTGGGCAGGCGCTTTGAGAAGGGGAGAGGAGAGGCAAAGTGCCTCAGATTAACACTTGACCGGGTCGATATGTTGCATCGAAGTTTGGCATGGTACATGGTAAGCGTGAAAACTTACAGTGCTCTGCAGACTGCTCATGACACTCGGATGAAGAACCAAGATGCTGACTTAGATCTTCTAGTGTGTTTTCGTCGTGGATACGTTGACCTACCTGCGCATGCTATATCACTCTTTTCACTTTCATCGTCTACCCTTCGGTCGAATCCTAACCGTCTTTCCACTCCGGCCGCTCACCGTTCTCAGCCGAAATCGCACCCCAGCTAGAACCCTCACCTACTGGCACAGGCCGCATACATCGAAATCTAGGCTCCCGATCCTGTTCATCCACGGTATCGGCATCGGACTCTACCCGTATGTTAGATTCCTGGCGGAACTAAACTCCGATGATGAGCTGGGCGTCTCCGATGAGGAACTTGGTATCATCGCGGTGGAGATCATGCCGGTGAGTTTCCGGATGACCGGCCCAGCTTTGCAAAAAGAAGAAATGTGTGAAGAAGTCCGGAAAATTCTCGCAAAGCACGGATGGGACGAATTTGTCTTGGTGTCGCACTCGTACGTATCTGCCTTGCGTCCTGTGCCTGCAGCTTGAATCATGCACTGACGGTGTGGACCGATGAAGCTACGGAAGCGTGATATCCACACATCTGCTCCATGATCAAGATCTTTCTAGGAGGATCCAGGGCCTCGTGCTGATCGATCCGGTATCTTTCTTACTGCATCTCCCTGATGTCGCATTCAACTTTGTTAGCTCTCCCATTTCCTATTGCCAATCACTTTTCCACGACAGGAAGCTGCTGATGTCACGTAGATCAAGCGGAAGCCCGTGCGCGCTAACGAATACCAACTGTACTACTTCGGCTCCAAAGACATGGGCGTTTCTCACACGCTATCCCGCCGGTTCTTCTGGAGCGAGAACATCCTGTGGAAGCATGATATCGAGGACCGGCATGTGACTGTATCGCTTAGTGGAAAAGACCTAATCGTGGACACGGATGCTGTAAGGCGGTACCTGACCGGAAAGAGCGGCTTCTCGGATTCTGGAAGCTTGCTTGCAGAAGGTTGGAGCAACGGAAAGTGGAGGGGTAACGGACTAAACGTGTTGTGGTTTGAGAACCTCGACCACGCGCAAGTGTTCGATCTTGCAAAGAACAGGCAGTTGCTAGGAGATATAATACGGGGATACTGTGCACGGGAAGGTAGATAAATTTCTCTAGTTTTATAGATAGCGAGTCCTTAAAAGTATAGAAAAAAGTATTATAGTTTCTAAAATAGACTCAAAATTAGAAAGCTAGTAATATTTCTTTCGTACTAGATAGAATTATATTAGTTAAATACACTTTACTAAATAGCTTATAAGTTTTTTATAAGTTTTTTAAATAAATTCAAATATTAGAGAAATTTATTACTATTTGGATTAGTATTACTTTTACTTAATACTAAATTTTAAGTTTTCTATATTAATTTTAAGCTATAAACTTATTATAATTTAAACTTAATATTTCTTAGTATTTAGATCTTCCATTATTCTAGAGTTATATAACTAAGTTATATATTTTACTTATAGAGTATTCTTTCTATTTTTCTTACTATACCTTCTAATTATATTAAATAGCTTATATTAATCTAATAAATTAAGTTTCTATATTAAGCTTTTCTATATTATAATGAAACTAAGAGAGAAAATAGTGCTAATATTTTTTATATAGTAAACTACTACTAAAATATATAAAGAATTTCTAGTATTAGACCTAATATATTAAAGAAAAGTTTACTTCTAAAAAGCTAGAAGGCTAATAAAAAACTTATTTTTAAAAGTACTTAGTATAGCTTAATGTAATTTAGTGCTACTTATTTAGTAACTAAAAAAATTAGAAAAAACTTTAAGTCTAATTTACCTAGTAGAAGAGGTAGATTTACTAGAGCTAGCTTAATAAATAAAATTTTAATAAAAATAGTTATTAGTTACTTACCTTCTAAGTTTATTAGTACTCTACTTCTTTATACTAGAGCGTGAAAGTTAAGTACTAAAGAATAGAAATACTAAAAAGTTTCCTTACTAAGCTACTTACTAAGTAGCGCTTACTATTCTAAGTAATTTGGATAATTAGTATAATAAGGTGCTATTACTAGATAATAAAGGTTGCTATAATAGTTAGGGTCCTAATTAAGGAGATAGGGAATAGTACTAAGATATAGTTAATAAGGTGAGGATTAATATTATATAGTGAGATTAGATCAAGTTATAAAGAATACTAGATTCTTATTTGAGTTAAGCACATCATTCTAATAAACAAGAACGGTGTCTCCTATATACTACCTAGTACTATCTATAGCTAGCTATAGCTAGTAGTGCTAGCACTACTATCCTCTACTAGTCTTACTATCTATCCCTAATCACGTGGTTCCTTCTACTAGTAGTGGCTAGTAGTCACGTAGTAGCTAGCCTATACTAGCTATTATTCGGCCTTATACTAGCGGCGCTAGTCCTATCCTATAAGGTTGTAATACTAGCCCCTCCCTTTAAGGCACTTTGTCCTTAAAGGCTCGGGCCGGATAATATAAGCTACAGAGCGCTAGTATTAAAATACTATCTCTTTACTATACCCCTAGTTTATAAAACTCTTTCTATAAATTATAAGACTACTTCTATAGAGCGAGCTAACACTCTTACCGCTATTCTCCGTATTACTAGTCCTACTATACCTACTCCGTGCTCTTGTTATCGAACTAATAAGATAGCCTATAAGGTTAACCTTACTATAGGCTATTATACTAAGTGCATTATAAAAGGTTAAAAATATAACCTAGTAGTAACTTAGGCCGAGTATCCATCATTCCTTCTATAATTACCTACTTACTTACTTACTACTTATTAGGGGCGCAGTTGCTTAATAAGCGAGAATGTCTTTATAAGGAGTATAAGAAGGCCGAAAGTGCTTTATTAGCCGCTATTTCCTAGAAACTTTAGGCTAAAGCTAAATAGAGACATTATAAAGAGAAAGAGTCTAAAATAGTCTATTAGAAGCTCACCTCCCTTAACAAAGTCCGTAAACTAGAAAGCAGGTAATAATAACTCGAATAAGAGTCTAGTGCCTTTAACCTCTTCTTAATTCCTAGCAACCTCTCTTTATCGCCCGCTACTTAGGTGGAGTTAGACCTCAGCTTTCTATCTACTAACTTTAGTTATACCTCTTAATAGCCTCTTTACTCCTATTAAGATTAGTACGTAGTTTCTATATATTCTTTAAGTCGGGGTAGCCTTTCTATTTTATAAGGTATCATTATACACTATTATTAAACTTAGTGCTATTATCTAGGATTCTTTACACTTCATATTATCCTTCTTATTCTATTAGGTAGTTATCTAGTACCTTAGCTAACACTAGTACTTCTAGAGGGGCCGGTTCTAATAGTAAAATATAGAATACTAGGTGTATCTTCATTCCCTCTAGTAGTTTTAACTTATAGCTTATATCCTTAATGTTCCTAATAATCTTAAAAGGTCCTATCCTAATATAGTCCAGTTTTTTGCTTAGCCTTATTATCTTAATGTTTTTCCGGAGGAGGTAAACTTTATCCCCCTCTTTAAGTATAGGTCCCCTAGATCTATATTTATTATAGTAAAATACTAATCTTTGTAATAGAAACTCGATATCTTTCCATAATTCTTAGTATATCTATTACATTTCTTCTATTATCAATCTAGCTACTTCTACTAGAGTCTAAAATCCTTAGGGTTTATAGAATATCTAGGCGTGATATCTATAGTTCGCGTAGAATAGTATTTATCCTATTATCTCGTTTACGCTTATATTATATACTAGCTATACTAGCGGTAATAGTAATACCTAGTTCGTTTATCTATAATCCACGTAACCTCTTAAGTACTATTCTAGTACTTAGTTTATACGCTTAGTTTATCTATCTATTTGCGGATAGTAAGCTATTAAAAGCTTATAGGCTAGTCCTAACTATACTGTAAGCGAGGTCTAGAAATTCGATATAAATAGCTTATCCCTATCTAAGATAATTTCCTTAAGTAGGCCTTATATTACTATTACATTCCGGAGGAAGGTGTAAACTAATTCTTTAGTATTAGACAATTTCTTATATAGTATAAAGCGTACTTCTTTTTTTAATTAATCCATAATAGTAAGTACAGAGTCGTATTTCACTTTTATTAATAGTTCTTTAGAAAGAGGTAATTTAATAATAAAATCTATAGCTATCAAAGCCTATAGCTATACCGGTATTACTACTATTTTCATTAACCCGTACGGCTTATGCTAGGTTAGCTTCATCTTATAGTATAGATTACACGCTATAATATATTCCTCTACTTTCTTCCTAAGTCTTAGGAAGAAATAGATGCGGCTAATTGCTTTAACTATCTTATAGATCCCGCAGTACCCCTTAGTAGATCTATTATAGTACTATTAAATAATCTCTATTCATTAGGTTAGTAGTACATATACTAGTTCTTTAAATAATAACAGACCTTTATCTATTTATTCAAAACCTTTAAGGGTTTTAGAAAGTGCTCTCTAAGCATAAGCGTCCTACATGTATACTTTCCAAATCCGGTTCTTAAGGTCGTTATTTACAATCGCTATAGTAGCCGCTAGTATACTTTAATTATAAGTGATTCTTCTATCTAGATATTATTCTAAAATTAAGCTAACTATCTATAGTTTTTCTCCTATGTAATCTAGTCTTCTACTAAAAGCGTCTACTTTCGCGTTTTCGGAGCCTTTATAATAGTGAATTTCAAAATTAAATATCGATAATTCCTCTAACTATTATACTTATCGGCGGTTTAACACCTTTATAGTAGTAAAGTACACTAGATTCTTATAATCTATAAATACTTAAATTAGATACTTTACTCCCTCTAGATATACCCTTTATTACTTAAATACTTTAATAATAGCTAGTAGCTCTTTATCGTGGATTTTATAGTTTAGTTCTAGTCCACTAAACTTTCGCGAATGAAATACCACTAGATGCTAACATCCTTCATTATTCTATTAATTTAGACATGCTCCTATAGCTAGGTCTAAAGCATCCATCTTAATAATAATTACTTTTATTAGGTCAAATATTATTAGAACTAGTTTTATACTAAACTGTTCCTTTAGTATATAAAAAGCGTTATCAGCTTTCTTACTCTACTAGAATCCCTAATCTTTCCTCGTAAGATCTATTAATAGCACTACTATTTAGAAGTAGCCTTATATGAACTTTTAGTAGAAATTCGCTAGTCCTAAAAACAATTACACGTCCTTTACTAACTTCGGTGTAGGCTATTTAAGAACTACTTATACTTTAGTTTTATCTATCTAGATACCGTAGTTTATAATAATATACCCTAAGAACTCAATCTCCTATTAATAGAATTAGCTCTTCTTTAGTATAATTCGTAGGTTCGCCTACTAGAGTACCTCTAAAACCTATCTAATATATTATACATATTCTTCCTTAGTTTTCGAGTATACTAGTATATTGTCGAGGTAGACAACCACAAACACATCTAGGTATTCTCTTAGAATATTATTAATATATACCTAGAATATAGCGGGAGTATTAGTAAGTCTAAATAGTATAACTAAATACTTATAGAGTCCGAAATAGATTCTTATTACTATCTTCCACTCTTTACCTTCCTTAATTTAAAACTAGTTATATACTCCTAGAATATCAAATTTCGTAAACTATCTAGCTCCTTAGAGTTAATCCTATAACTCCGAAATTAGAGGTAATAGATAACTATTCTTAATAGTTATATTATTTAGTCCCTAATAGTTAATATATAGTTATAACTTCCCGTCCTTTTTAGGTATAAATAGAATAGGGTATCCTACGGGTGACTAGGATTCCTATATAAATCCTTTCTTTAGATTTTCATCTAGGTACACCTATAGCGCCTCTAGCTTCTCTAGTAATAATAGGTAGATTACTAACTTCCCTAGTGTCTTACCTTCTTAGATAGGTATTATATAATTCTATACTTAATATACTAGTAGGGCTTCCTCTAAAGCCTTATCCGTAAATAACCTCTTATAGTCCTTATATTTATCTAGAATAGATAATAGGGCTATAGTAGACGCAAGCTCTCGTCGCTTACTCTATAGAACCTATATTTACTTAGGATTCTTCCGAACTTCCTCTATTAGTTCTTTAGCCGAGATTACGCATATCTTAAGG